TTAGTTTGCTTCATAAACTATGGTCCAAAAATGTTTCCTTACAAAAACTCGGGGTGTTGAAGTTTTAGGAAAAAAATGGAAATTAATTAATATTTTCAGAACCGCTTCAGATATGTCACTGATATTTAGTACGTAGCGAAAGTTTATAAAGTTGCTAATGGTTTTTTTCCAAATTCTCCGTTCAATTTAAAACAAATGATCTCTCTTGAATTGTTTTCCTCTGATGCGCCGTTTTTGAGTAAAAAAATAAAAACTGTTCTATTGCCCAAGAAAATTAATTTAATAATTGAATAATGCAATTTAGCAATAAATATCTAATTGCTATGGAATATGTCCCTGCCTTTTGACATCTGACAAGTCTCTGTTATGCAAATCTATTCGCTGTGACGTCTTTTTCGTTATTTAGTATTTACAAATGCAGAAATGGCGATAATACATTACGTAGATGGCCTTGCCGACGGTAATGTTGAGCAAGCCAGACGGATTTATCACCAGAGATAACCCGATCGTGCTTTGCTAGGTAGTCGAACCTTTTCTAATATTCATCGTCGTCGTATTGAAACTGGTTCTGTCCGAAAAGGAACATCTGAAGGTAGACCTCTCAGTGCGAGAACACCTGAAATTGAGGAAGCAGTGCTGCACGAAGTCGAAGAACATCCTGAAACGAGTACCAGGAAGATCGCTAGACACTGAAATATTTGCCATCAAATTGTTTGGAGAATCTTAGTGGTTTTTTTGTTATATCCTTACCATATTTTAAGAGTGCAGGCATTACTTCCCATTGATTTTCCATGGACCATAGTTTATAAAATAAACCAACAATATTTTTTCGTGTAGATTTACACGCTGTATACTGATAATCAAAAATAACATGTTTGTCATGCCATCGAATGTTCCTGTGGCGACTTGAATACCACGTCGTAAAGATATACTCTCATTATTATACCGGGTTACAAAGTACGCCGTGTTAAATAATATAATACCAGTAATTTTGCGTTCCGACGTTCCTGAACGTACACCTCTTTCTTATCTAACGGAATTCTATCGCACTGGCGGCGTCAAACAGCTTATCGTACTGTTTATGGTACTTCCTCGTTGCCGGCACTAAGTGCTTCGATTTATGTGGCTACGGATGATATTTCATATGCGTTTCTACTACATTTATTTTATCTATGGTTGTAGTTATTTGTCAGTATTTACAAACACATCTTTATTATGCCAATCTCTTTAAATATTTTGTTTTGAAGGATATTTGAAAGCTTTCCAAAAAATTTACAACTTTGTTTACAAAACATATTTTTCGAAAGATTTGAAAATCCATTTTCTATTACGTTTGCGCGGCATCTTCTATTCTATTAGCAACGATTATCATGAAGCTATTAACAACGACATTAACTCATGTATTGCGTGATCTACGTGCTGGAAATATTAAAAAGATTTTTATTACAAATTTACTCTGCATCAGGGCAATTAAAAGAAAATCGCCGAGAAAACCGAATAGAAATTTCCGATGATTAATTGCAATATGTTTTCAAGCGTAACGGTTTTATAATTAGATTATGGTTGAACACGGACCGGAGAGGTGAATCAGTTCACCGCAGAAAAAGTATTTTGATGAACCTTGAAATCGTGCATCCACAATAATACTGGTATATTTGAATGCAGCTTTAACATTGGTTAATTGCAGCTGCACTTGTATTTACCAGTACTCTGTCTCTTTACTAGTTGGCAACACAGCTTTGGATTGCATTTAAAACACATGTACTTGTCAAGAATCTTACGTGACATATAATGACCTTGAAATGACCTTCAGAACCATAGCCAAGGACAAACAAACATCCTTGATATCCAGACGAGCCTGAGATACAAACTGAAGTAATGTTGAAGTATTTTGCTCTTCAATTATTTTGTTGTCATGGGCTCTATTGAGGCTTATTACTAAAATATAATTAATTATTTTGTTATCTGTCTTCGAAGTTGAGTCATTTATTTTAACAGTGAGTAGATCTGATCAAAAGAAATGTTTTTTTCCTTTACCATTTTTCTGGTAAAATTAAAGTAACAAAGTTATAGCCCTTTGGAAGTTTGAGTACCGCCCTATCTCAATAATAATATTATGTGCTCGTGTTTGGCGACAACGGATATAATTCGCCTTTTCGGTTCATCGCATCGGAAACAAAAAAGCGAAAGAATTTGGAACGATGTTTTTACAATTATTTTATTCAGTTGTATACAGTCAGTGTCAGTCGGTAACGCGTGAGTGAATAGTGGTGTCTGTTGCGTGGCTCAAACGAAATAAAAAATGGCACATGTTTATGCGGATCGGTTTCCCAATCGAGTGCAACCAACCCCTCGTGCCTTTGTTTATGTAGTACAACGGGCTCGTGAATCAGGTGACTTAAGACCTCACAGGGGACGGCATGCCGGTGCTCCAAGACCTCACGATCAAATACAGGTCCGCACTCAAATACTTGTCGGGAGGATACTTTATAAAACAAGGTAATTTTTTTTTATTTTTTTTTTATTTTTACACACATATTTTGGTTTATCTTCCTTCTACAATCATTATCTGAAAATTAATGACTCAACTTCAAAGTCACCCTGTATATATATATATACTCGTATAGTATTCATAGTTAATTGCCTTAACTGTTAGGAGAAAATATCCTTGGATTTCTTTGGATAGAAGGCAAAATATTGCAAAAGTACACTCTTATAATTTAAACTCGAGCTTTCGCAGATCTATGTCTTCATCGTCTGGAGCTGGAAACAATTATTGACAATATTGAACTGCGAAAAATTGGAAAAGCAACATATCTCCCCCAACATCGACTTCTCCCAATAATCGCTCAATCTACATAATAACGATTTTACACTATCTGAATAAAATCAAAATTGGTCAAAGTTTTTTGTCCTCAAGTGTAAATATTTCCTACAGATTTCTTAGTTGTTTGGTAGGATAACATCCAAATCACACTCCTTCCAAAGCAACTTCTATCAACTTTTGAAAATATCTTTGGACTTCATCGGTCAATAATGGCGCGACCTCTTTATTTGAATAATAAATTTTATCACAGGTTCTAAAAATAAAGCTTTTTGCACTTGCCTTTGGATTTTTGCTTTTGAGTTTATGATAAAATTTATTACGTAATGTAAAACAGACATTTTATTTTTTCCAAATTTCACTTAGAATTAAGCATTTATCTACAAAAAACATTAAATCTGAAGCTCAACCACGTTTCTATAAAAACACCTAGATCGAGGTAATAGCGTACTCTATGTATCAAACTTAATGAATAAGTATAATCATTCGATATGACAAAGATTTGATTGAACAAAAATACATTCAAAAAATGAATCGTAATATGGGTAATATGAAACCTACTTTTTGGTTTGTATAGTCTCAAAAGGTCACGAAATGAGGTCCAGAAAGTGCCAGAAAAGCCTTCAAAAAGCGAATGTCCTGTCAACATTTCTGTTTGCTAGTAAATATACTAAGTGACATATAAATCCGAACACCCAGTTTAAATGGTTTTATTTTAATAAAATTTTGTATAAGTACTTAATGAAGCATAATAAGTAAATGATAAAAATTTCAAAATGATTTCACTGCTTTAAAGCCCTTTGACCTTTAATAATGTATGGATGCACCCTGATGTGCTACGCATTCTCCAACGCGCCTAGGCATGCTTCTGATCAGGTGGTCAATGTCCTCCTGTGGTATCTCATTCCAGGCAACCACCAACTCCTCTCGAAGTGCTTCTAGAGTCTGAGAAGGACGTTGCAAATTGAGCAATCTCCTACCCATCATATCCCACACGTGCTCAATTGGGGATAAGTCGGGAGATCTTGGTGGCCATGGTAACAATGTGACATCATTATGTTGAAAGAAGTCTATTGTGACTCTTGCAACATGTGGTCGGGTATTATCTTGTTGGAAAGTTGGATCTGCCAGGGTGTCAAGATAGGGTAAAAGATGGGGTTCTGAAACTTCGTGGATATAACGCTGCGCGTTCATGTTACCTCTGATGAAGATTAAAGGTGACCTGGAACCATAAGCTATAGCACCCCAAACGATAACTCCAACAGTGTGATGAACATGTCTTTCAACAAAAAACTGTGGATTCCTCCTTTCACCACGTCGCCTTCTAACCCTGGCACGACCATCGTGCATGCCTAAACAAAATCGAGACTCGTCACTAAAGACAATACTGTTCCATTCCTGATCCCAGAGTGACCGTTGTCTGCACCACTCAAGGCGATTACGTCGGTGTTCTCGAGTTAAAGGGAGGACCCAGTGTGGCCGGTATGAAAACAAGCCAAAACTTCTCATTCGTCGGTAAACACTTCGCATGCCAATAGGTCTTCCGTGTTCTGCAAACCATTCATTTGCAATGGATGTGGTAGTGGAGAAACGGTCCCCTAAGGCCAATAATCTTAGGCAGCGATCTTCACGGTCTGTTGTTCTACGGCGGCGTCCAGTGCCCCTTGCTCTTTGCGTACGGCCTTCTCGAAGCCATGCCTGACAACACCTAACCACAGTGTCTACGCTTCTTTGCACTCTAACTGCAATTGCCCGAAAAGAAAGTCCAGCTTCCCGAAGTCCCACTATACGGCCCCTATCAAACTCACTAAGTTGACGAAATCGTACAAGTCTCCGTACTCTAGGCATCGTAACCGATCGTAAAGGATGTCAAGAACCAAAATCCGCCAACGTTGATTCTTTACTGCAGCTGAAATATTCATTTTTAGAGCGTTAGTGAATTAAAAAAAAGCATTATAAAAACCGGAATGTCCAACTGATAAGGCTGAACATTTTTTCACTTGTTATTTACAGTAAGATAAATACATTCACCAACTTTTATTAAAATAAAACCATTTAAACTGGGTGTTCGGATTTATATGTCACTTAGTATATAATCCGACACAGTTGATTGTTCTCGACATTGGGATTAAAAACACTCACCGATATTGACGAGCTTGATTCCATCTTCTTCAACAGCTTTCAAGGCACACGTCACATTCTCCAGGTAATGATGTTGATTTACCGGTCTTTTGTTCCATGAAGGTTTGATGGGTTTGCCCCGCAGAGCTTCAACCAAGGCGCAAAGCCTCACCCCTGTGCACAAATCCTGCAGGGATTGTTAATTTTAGCACACAACTTTGAAATACGACGAAGCTTAACCGTTCAAAATGAATGAAAAGTGAAACTGTTTTTCAAAAACTGTTTAGAAGTGAGGAATGATATAATCGATATAAAGATAGCGGGCATTAAAGCTAACTTATTGACCTAGGGCTTAATGTCCGTCTGCAGGTTAGTAGGACTTGACGCTCAGAAAAGTCAGAAATTTGACATGTGCTAAGTAATCTCATTCAAAAAAAATATGTGAAAAACCAATAACCTAGCACTAAATATAGTGAAAATAAGTTTTAACTATTGCCATAAAAATGGTGACAGCCTGCGGTACAGCAGATATTCGCGTTAGTTTCCATTTTAGTAGCGAAATGCTGGCTTAAAGATACAAAACGAGTATCTCAAGGAGCATGTAAAGATCGTCACGTGCATTTTAAGATAAGAGAAAACTTGAAACAATTGAAATAGACGTGAAACGTAACCAGTAACACGGATTAGCATTGACGGAGATCCTTCTCTCCTTTAATTGCTTGCTTCAGTGGGTACGCTTTTAGAGGTAAATAAAATGTGGTAAACATAATAAAATTCGTTCTACGCATAATTTTATTTATTTTTAAATGTGTAGTCTACTAAAATTATGCAAAAAGTCGTTCGAAAAAGATATAATTTAATCAAGTCTATCTTGGACGATTTGAGATGCGCTACTCGAAAACTCCATCTTCCTGAAGAATTTAAAAGAAATTCTTACTGCTAACTGAAATATCGTGAAATACTACTCTTATAGTAAATTTTCTTAACTAACGGTACGTTTTTTAATTCAGCACGTTTTTGGAGATGTGAAGAAGACAAAATCGTCTTTATCTTCGAATGGTTATTTTTTTAAGCGTCAATCTTTTCAGGTAAGGTGAGGATTGTTTTTTGATCCTTCTGCAGTCTTTCTAACCTCAAATTCTCCGAGGATTGGTCTAGAATTATACTCTTTTAAATGCTGTTTCTCCTCAATTCTGCAGACGTTAGGCAATTCAAGAATCGAACACGTTTTTTCGCATCGTCGCATTTTTTGCATGTAGTCTCTGTCTTAAAGGTTGCTAGACTATAGAAAATGCCAGGTGTCGCTCAACTACAGTATATTCAGATAAGAGATAGACCGGATGTAAACAAAAGGTTCGGGTGATTTTCACGCTAACGCCGCCGTCTCGACGTAAAACAGGAGCCCTCATTGGTCAATTCGCAATTAAATGCCTATGCCGAGCGGCAGAGCAGTCGTATCAAGGCAGTGTCACATTCAGGTTCAGACGTGTTACGTATGTCGTGTGCATCATTGCAATTTGATATTTCTTTGGACGTTTTAGTTTGTTATCTTATTAAGTTGTTGAGTTTGTCGTTGTTTTTGTTATACCTTGTTATTGATTGTTATTGTTATCAACTGCTTGCGCAAAATGCCCAGTAGTACAGATACTGCCGATGAAGTTGTAAACTCCTGTAGTCCACCTAGGAAACGCTCTAAAAAAAGACACCTGAGTGCAGAAATGAAAGAGATCATTTTGAATATATATAAGATCGAGCGCGAGGAGAACGAGGCGTCAACCATCAAAGAAATTGTTGTGAAGGTTTCTCACAAAGTTGGGGTGTGTCGCGCATCAGTGTTTAATGTGTTAAGACAATACAAAAAAAATCACACCTTTTCTGAGCCAATGACCAGTAAACATCGAAAAAGTATTGTTAAATCATTGGATGAAGCTGATAAGCATGCGATTAGGAGGAAAGTGCATGAATTCTTCTTTAGGAATGAAATACCTACTATAGATAAAGTACTGCAGGAGGTAAATGGAGATACAACGTTGCCAAATTTCAAACGATCAACTTTCCATGCGTTACTGTAGCATTTAAATTTCGAATGGAAAAAACGGGGTCGTAATAGTTTACTACTGGATAGAGAAGAAATTGTGCTATGGAGGAGGGATTATTTAACAAAAATTGGGAAATATAGAAATCAAAACAGGAAGATTTATTACCTTGATGAAACGTGGGTAAACGCAGGACACACTACAAGTAAAGTATGGGTTGATGATTCTGTAACTTCATCCAGGAGGGCCTTTCTAGACGGACTGTCCACCGGATTAAAAAATCCAGCAGGTAAATACGAGTAATAGACAACAATCGGATGTTTTTCAAACCTTGGGAACAAGGTTCTAAACATTAATTCCAGGGTGCAGATAAAACATATTACAAGTAACAAAACTTTTATAACTTTCGATAAAATGCGTGGATGTTTTATTGTCATTTTCATTTGTTAGAACTTTTTTAAGCCATGTTTTTATGTGTTTTAGATATTTCAATAATTTTTTAATATAATCTTAAAATATGTCGAATATTATAAACTTAAAAAAAGTTACTAAGTTTTATACTGTGTACCGTTCCTAATATTTCTAATCATTTTAATTCATACTTTAAGCTTTATAAAGTTATAATTTGTTAATATTAATATTTGCGCGTATTTCAGGTTCCTGATCATTCATTTTTTAAAGGTTTATAACTTTAAATTAAATTGTGAAGCGCTGAGTAATTATACGACGTTCAATATTCTTTCTTTCAATATGACTAAATAATCCCAATTATAGCAATCTGATACTCATGTCTCAATGTTTTTTCGCTGAGTGTGATGAAAACATTTGAAAAAGGTTCGCTTATTGGAATAAATCTACACCAGTTAGTACTTCGATTTCCAGGTAAAGGGAAAAGGCTCATTATCTGCCATATTGGCAGTGAGGATGGACTTGTTGACGGTCTGTGGTGCTTTGAGTCTAAGAAAACTGGAGATTACCACGAGGAAATGAATGGCGAATCGTTTGAACAGTGGTTTTCAAAAATTTTACCGAACTTAGAGGAAAACGCAGTAATTGTGTTGGATAATGCGCCTTATCATTCTCGAAGAATGGAGAAGGTCCCAACAACGGCTTCAAGGAAAGTTGATGTTCAAAATTGGCTCCGCTCGAAAAATATCAACTTTGAAGAAGCAATGCTGAAACTACAATTATTAAGAATTGTCAAGGATCACAAGGCGGAATATCAAAAATACGCCATTGACGAAATGGCAGCAAGTCAAAATAAAACTGTGCTCCGTTTACCTCCATACCATTGCGAGCTCAATCCCATTGAGCTCATATGGGCAGAGGTTAAAAATTATATAGCTAAGCACAATACAACTTTTAAATTTTGTGACCTCAAAGGACTTTTCAAAGAAGCACTAGAATTAATAACAGCGCAAAAATGGGAAAACTGTTTTAAGCACGTGAAAGACAAAGTTGAAAAGAGAATGTGGGAACTGGACAATATTTTAGAGGAACAAGTCGAACCATTCATTATTGACGCTGGTGCTTCAGGCAGTAGCGATGATGAAAGCTCATCAAGCTCATCTTTCCAATAAAAGATGTCGTTCATCAAATTCGGTAAGTTATAAGTAATTATAAAGCTACTGTATTTTTTAACTAATTATTGACATTTTTGAACCCATTTTGGCAAAACCTAATCAAGAATCTACTTTCTGACAATGTTCAACATGCACATTTTTTTACGTTTTGAACGTTTTAATTTGGTTACATATTTACCTAGAAATCAAAAAACATACTAATCAATATTCTAAAAGCAATTTTAAGAGATATACGATTATTTTTAATTTAGGCTAATTTAAACGCCATTTCGAGATTATATTCGACTGTATTTCACCAAACATCAGGCGGCATCCGAAGCTGGAAATCGAAGCGAAAATTTTGAAACCCTTATGTATATTTACATCATTATATATTTCTTACCCCACCCCCACATGATCCTATATCCATCACCAATCGTATACACATCGAATTGTGCTAATTTACTACAAAGTTACGCAAAGCAGCATCTACTATCTAAAATATGTACTGCGTGACTCTTAATACGTCCCTGCCGAATGTTACAGCGTTCGATGATCACGTGGTCTTGTTTATGTCCGGTCTATCTCTTATCTGAATATACTGTAGAGCGATGCGCTCTGGAGATATCAATGATAGATAAGACGTGAAACCTTATTATTCCTTGAAATTGTGGCATCCAACGAATTTGAATAGATTAGCAGCCATCATATGTGTTTACACCGCGTTGTTTGTTATCCAAATTGTGTAGTTTTGTCTAGTAAGAGCTTGAAATCTTGAAGGTATCAAAACTCAGCTTATCTAAATCTTACTTGTGATAGATCCAGCACCCTGAGATCCTTGGGAAGATGTTCGTTGACCCAGTTTCTGAACGTGTTGGCCTGTATCTCAACCCAAAGGTCTTCATTCCCTTTGATCTGCATTCCTCTGGCTGCGTGTCCTTCAGGGCTACGAGCTAGCAGCCCACTGTGCGATATCTTGCCCTCCATTTTCAGCAAGTTTCAGTCAGCATTTGGTGCTCTGGGTGATAGAGCCATACATTGGAATTTTGCGTATAAAAGAACGCCAAAATTGTTAGAAGAGATGTAATCTGTTCTGTTAGAAAAATAGTAAGCACATTCACCATGTTTTTTAAGTTAAAGTGGGAATAATGATGACTTGTGAAACTCAACTATCAAAGTAAATAAATTAGGTGTTGTGAAAAATCTGCAACAATTCTCAAATGAAATCACCAAAGCTCAAAAAGCTTTTTAAATTTCGTGTGGGACAGCCTTTATTTATTAATGCTTGTCAAATAGCCCTTTTTAATGTTTTTTAAGCAAGATCTCACTCTCTAGATGGTAGAAACATTAGGATATCCTAAAATAGGCAAGAATGCAACTATGTCCATAAGCAGCCAAAATGACGAAGTGCATTTGCGTCCCTTATAAGTCGATGACAACTCGCGAATGATTCCCGCAAACAACTTAGAATTTGTCATCATCTGAACAATCTCACCTACATGCACAAATAAGTCGAAAAAACTGGTTCCGCTCCGCAGTCCTCACCATAAACAAACGCCGGAGGCAAAAAACCGCGCCCGCCTCATCTCAAAAGCACACAACTGACATTTTCACTGCGATTTCCACCCGGAAAACCGCGCGGAGCGTTAAATCCGGTCACCGGAACAATCAAAGCACCCTAAACTGTCACTAGCACGTGCGATCTTCACTTGTCAGCGATCGTAAGACGGCCAAAACGGCTCAGTTGTTTTTCTTCGTCGAAATCGAGAGTGCTGTACGCGAGGTGTTACGTAAACTACCTGTGGTTCCGCGGGTACCGCGATGGTTCTCTCAGGTGGAATGGGTACCACTAGCGTGGAAGTGGGGACGAGAGTCGTGGTACTGTCATTAATATTGCCGGTGCCATCAGATGGACGAGTTAATGAGTAAAAGATCGATCCAAAACAGGAGCTTTTATAAGTGCTCACTATGTTTTTGCACATCAAAGCTCCTGCGATGGCAAAGTACCGCCGCTGTCATAGAAAAGTTAAAGACATCTTGTTGATATGGACTTTAAAGTGGACAACGTTCGTGAAGCCAGATCAAGCCGTCGTTTAGCGTGGCCAATATAAGTCTCATTACTTAATTTACATACCACAGTCATTATATAAGTCAACGCCAAACAAAGTGGCGTACACGTCATCACGATAAAAATTCCCCGACCTAATGCCTAGGTTTCTATCACAAACAATTGCTCTATTGCAGTTTCATATTAATGTGATATATAAATTGTAAAATGGTCATTACTCTCTTATTATGGTTAATAGTCATATAAACATTGTTATTAAAATATCACATAAGTTGCTTTCTGATAAATTTAGACGCATTATGCGAAATAAAATGTTTTGCAAACGCTCCAATCACTTATCGACATGTAAACGCACTAAACCGATTTCGCAGCGTTGACACATTGTCACCTTGAAACTTATTTAAACTGGGAACTGACATTTGTATTAATTTTGACACTGAATCAATTTGTGGCATTTCAAATCTTTATAAATCCTTTGGCCCCGCATACTGTAAATCAACAACTGTTTGTTTCAAAACAAAATTATTCATTTTACGAGTAGATAAAGGCAATTTTGGTATATAAAGATGCCCAAACAGTTAAATAGTCGGTGTAAGGAACTCGTGGCCTCGTTAATGCACTACTTTGAGCAAGAAAGGGACAACAACGGGCCTTTGTTGCTTTTAAATGCTGTTCAAGAGGTAGGTTACTAATAATTATATGTAATGTATATTAATAATAGTGAAATTTTATTTCATTTTTTGTAGCGTGTTGCTGCTGCTTTAAAAATTAGTTTAAGGACAGTTAGTCGTATTTCCGAGGGTGTGAAAAGTGATGCAAATTTAGAATCGCCCAAGAAAAAGCGGAGTTATATTAAACGTGTAACCAACACAGCGACATTGGATACAAGTGCCATTCGAGAAGTGATTTATAATATGTATCACAAAAGTAAGATCTTATTATAATAACTTATCAGAAATTTGCATTAATTTGTTATTATAATGTCATATTACACATGGTTTCAGAAGAACAAGTTACGATACAAACTTTATGGTCTCGATTAAGAGATAGGGCATTATTTGATGGTAGTGCCACGTCTTTAAGGCGGTTGCTTAGAGATCTTGGATTTAAGTGGCTTAAGGACAATCCGTGACGAGGGCTCATGGAACTACCAAGTATAGCTTTGAAAAGGGTGGAATTTCTAAGGCAATACAATCAAGCCAAGGTTGAGGCCTTATACCAGTTTGTCTTCCTCGATGAAACTTGGATATTTCAAAATGGGACCATAGGTCGCTCTTGGCAAAATGGAAACCAAAAAAGCGTGAAAGCTATTAAAACAGATGGTAAAAGGTATGTACTTTTACACAATTTTTACCATCGAGAGATGAACCAGGACAATTTTTTGAAATGGTTTCAACATCAGTTATTAGAAAAATTGGAGAGTCCATCTATGATTATACTGGATAACGCCCCTTATCACAGCATGATATTGAACAAAGTGCCCAACAATGCATGGACAAAAAAAAATATCCAAGACTGGTTGACAAATCAAAACATACCATTTTTAAACACAATGTTTAAAACAGAGCTATTGAGTATTGTTGCTCGGTACATAATGCTTCTTAATTATATATATTTTGGTCGACAGTTTATATTTCTTTTGTTTATTCCTATTCTTAAAATAACTGCTTTTTTAGAAACAAACCACCTAAAATATACGTGATTGATGAATTGGCGGAACAACATGGGCACAAAGTTCTTCGTCTGCCTCCTTACCATTGTATATTTAACCCTATTGAGTTAATTTGGGGCATAGCAAAAGGTTACTATAACAGACATATTGGTAGAGATGGTAACAGTGAAAAAGACTGTTTGGATATGTGGAACGAGGCTCTACAAACGGTTACCCCAGACATGTGGAAAAATAGTGTTCGACATACTGAGCAAGAAATTTTTAAATGGTATGAAAGAGAACGAATTTTACGAACCTTTAATAATCAACTTTGAGAGTGATGAAGATTCAGATTCAGACAGCGCTGAAGAAAGAAACTCCGACTAACTTTATTGTACAGAAAAAGCTTACACCAGTAGCTCACCTAATTTTAGAATGCATTTTTCTGTATGAATTCTGTAAAATAAATACCATGCATAAAATTTGGAGGACCCCATGTGGATTTTTATTCAGTACCTTTAAGCTATCAATTAAATATGGTAGTTTCATAGTGTCATCTGATCAATAATTGTCATACTTAATGATTATGCAAGTACAGATCTATAATTTTATTATACTATTATTTTTGTTCTCATTTGAGGTTAATATTGCTTATAAACCTAGATATGTAAACAATAAATTTTATTATTTTACAAAAAGTTTGGCAACAATGTAAATTTTTCAACACACCCACCTTGATGACGTGCACGCCACTTTGTTTGGCGTTGACTATACGTTTTTACATTTACTTTTGTAACATTTTTTTTTGTGTCAGGGATGATGTCATCTATTTTATCAATCGCGGTCAATGAATGGACAATGATCCTTGACTGACTACTTTTCTAGCAAATTTGAAACCTACATTGCCCCGTATATATCATATAAAGACAGACATCTGTTGATGTCACCATATTTGTATGCTAATCAGGTTGGTTAGGTCTGTGTCTAACGAAGCTTGCTGAATGAGAAATATGTATTATAACCCGGGGTCTCATGCTCCCCTGATTAATGTTCTAAAATGAAGAGTAAAAAAGTTTATTCATAAAATGTGCGGAACACACCTTTCACATTTCTTGAGATGACCATAGGCGTCGATTAAGAGGGGACAAGGGACCATATGCCCACCTGGCTTATTCCGCTTGAGAAGTAAAATATTCCTAATAATAGAGTATCCGACAACTTTACGCAGACTTCTTAGGAATATCAATTTACTTTAATAATTTTTCAATTGTAACGTCCCTTCCATCCAAACAGGACTTATTTGATGTTCAAACCGTTTTGGTCGCTGATAAGTATAGTTTCCCGTTTTTTCTGTTCCTCAAATCTCTATTTTATTCCCTAGGAAAAAATTTTGTGGGAGCCTTTGCAGTGTCAACACCTATTATCAATTCACCTTGTGAGTAGTCCTAAGGTTGTAGCTATCTAGTTATTTTCTTGACTAATAATAATCAAATTCAAGCGGATAACCAAATGGAAATGGTATTTAACATTTTGGGTTGGTATTTACCAATCCGTTCAAGCGAGTGTAGTTATCAGTTTGGTTATAAGATCCGTGACGTCACGAATTAGCTGTTATATGTCATAGTTATCACCGCAAAATTGTGGTATTCACCCAACTCAAGAGTAGTTTTATATTTCTGGTTATTATTTGAAATATGACAAGTTAGAATTTTGCAGGGTATTGGATATTGTTATTGTACTTCAGCTGCATTTTTGAGAAAAATGATACAGGCTGACTTCAGTTTTACCATAAAGTGGAGCACCTTATTAGTTATACTCATTACGGTTGTTGGAGACACTTTAAATGTAGTTCCTATGCTTAACAAAGTATCCTGTGTAGCCATATACCACAAGAATATTAAAATATGGCCATATAAACTCACTAGATGATATCCACCTGTATACGGTTTTGCTAATTTCTTTTTTCATCATTTATGCTGAATCAATAAATGTTTTCTTTGACGGAAAAAGTTTGGTATAGGTAGAGCGAATAAAATTAGAGCGATTATACAACCACAGCCGACGTCAACTACTACTACTACTAGTTGACGTCGGCTGTGATACAACCTCTAGTGTTAACACCTATTATCGATCCACCTCATGATGCATATATCTCATGGTTGGTATCACTGCAATCTAGTGATTTTCTCTAGTAACATTATGTTGGCTGCATTGGCAGGGTTTCCAATGCTGCCACATCCAAACATAAAAATAACAAGGATTTTGAACTTCTAAACTGGTAATACTTGCTTGATACTACATTTCTATGATTGGCAACACTTCCTTGTGACAATCTTATGACCAGTGTGACCACCATAACGGAAATAGTGAGGAAATATAAATAAACAAAGTTATATGTCACTTTCAAAACAAATTAACCTACAAACATGGAAAATGGCACATCCCAAAACAGAAATTTCTTTACAAAATTATATAGATAGCAAGCCCTTTGATGGCATGAAAATAGACGATGCATCAATTTTGGATACATTGGAGGGAAGACATTCTTGCCCTAACTGCGGAAAATCTAGAAAATATTACTGCTACTCATGTTATGTACCAATACAGGAATTGCAAGGAAAATTACCTGTTGTAAAGGTATTTATTAGTGATTATAAACAGGCTCCTATGTTTAGCTTGAGTTTGGATCGCGTACTTTGACTGTGTTGAAATATATGTAAACTTGTTTCAGCTGCCTCTTAAGATAGATATCATCAAACACAAGCACGAAATTGATGGAAAAAGTACGGCAGCACATGCAGCAATCTTAGCACCTGCTGATGTCTCGATCTACACATATCCGGATATTCCAAACTATGAAAACGAAGATGTAGTATTAATTTTCCCTAGCCAGAATGCAATAAGTGTTAGCCAGTTAATATCTGGGAGAGAACATGATAAAATTGAGGAGTATCAGCAAGCTCCTTTAGACGAGCTACCTGCAGGTTATAATAGAAGTACTTTGATGAAGAGGATTCCAAAATCTCGGGAGGAGTATCAGTTTAGCGGCAGGATGAGTAAATTACCAGTATCAAGAGCAGTATTCATTGACAGCACTTGGAATCAAAGCAAAGGTAAACACTTATTTGAACATTGCTGTCCAAAATGCTACGGATTTTTTTTAGGCATTTACAAAGACGAAAGGTTTAAGAGACTTCCATGTGTGGTGATTCAAAATCGAGTATCTCAATTCTGGAGGCACCAGAAGGGCAGTCCGAGGTGGTATCTAGCAACAATAGAAGCGATCCACCAATTCCTGATAGAAATTCATTTACATCAATGGGGGTTAAATCCTGCTTACACTGGAATCATCAACTGCTTCACAGAGAAGTGCTTGAGCCAGTTTAGTTTGTTGTACAATAATGATGTCAAGGCATATAATGGACAGTATGACAATATGTTGTATTTTTTTAAGCATATGTATCATTTAATCCATAAGTATTATCAGCATGATGACTTGATTGCCTATAAGAGACAACTTGTGTGATAATTTTGACAAATTATATTTTTTCAATGTAACAATTCCGTGTTTCTAGTTTTTATGAAACTTTAAAAATACTTTTCAATTCTGCTAATAAACCCTAACGTGTTGGAACCATTCGCTAAAAACAGGCAGGTAGTGAGTGCTAACACATGTTATCAATCCACCAGTTTCTTCTGACCCTACGTTGGAGACACTGATACCAATGTCACTATTATCACAAATATAAATGTTACTAGAAATATACTACTTTTGACAACACTGAATTCCCTAGGAATAAAATTTGAAACTTAAAATGTGTTTCAAAACAACCTAATCTGTATAGGTGATGAACGAGTGATCCCACAAAAATCTGTGAAGACATAATATGTCAGTTACCAATATAAAATAAGTTATTTCTAATCATCCACACCTATCATGCTGCTCAGAAAAAAATGGCAAGACAAAGTGGCCACCACATAGTCCGCCATTTTGAATGACTACCTTGGGCTGTTGAAATCTCTTCAGTAAGCCCCAATGAATGGAAGGAGGAGGATGCTTTGTTTTCCAACGAATCCAAATCGATACGTAATATTAGGTATAGCAAAATAATCTTTTCGTAAAAAATGGGGGGATTTTCAAGCGCCCTCACGGAAATTTAAGTTTCTTGATCTTTGAAGGTCCATTGCCATAATCTAAACAACTGAACGAACTATTTTCTAGTTGAAAATGCACAGAATTAGCTTAAAATCATTTAAGAGGCATACGGATGAATATATTTTTTATTCTGCTACTCTCTAACAGATGGCGCTGCATATCGGTAACCACCACAAAGTCCACCGGTTTGAATGACTACCTTGGACTGCTGAAATCAGTCCAGCAAGTCTCACTGCGTGCTAGGAGTGGAATAGTTTGTTTTTCAACAAAACCAAATCAGTACGTAATATTAGATATAGCAAACTAGTTTAAACAAAATAATCTTTTCATCAGAAAATGGTGGGATTTTTAACCACCCTCACGGAAATTTAATTTTCTTGATCTTTGAAGGTCCATTGCCATAATCTGAACAACTGAACGAACTTTGTCCTAGTTGAAAATGCACAGAATTAGCTTAAAATCATTTAAGAGGCATACGGATGAATATATTTTTTTATTCGTCTACTCTCCAACAGATGGCGCTGCATATCGGTAACCACCACAAAGTCTACCGTTTTGAATGACTACCTTGGGCTGCTGAAATCTGTTCAGTAAGTCTCAATGCGTGCTAGAAGGGGAATAGTTTGTTTTTCAACAAAACAAAATCGATACGTAATATTAGATATAGCAAACTAATCCAAACAAAATAATCTTTTCATCGGAAAATGGTGGGATTTTCAAGCGCCCTCACGGAAATTTAATTTTCTTGATCTTTGAAGGTGCGTAGCCATAGCGGAGAAAAGATCAAATCTCCAAAAACAGCTTCAGTATGTGACACCAGAATATCGATACTTCTATGAACCAATCTCAGAAAAAAAAATCATGAAACTATTATTAAGTAATTTATATTACGCAAAAATAATTTGCTGTTTCTCATTTTGTCAGCTGGTTAGGTATGATTTTGTTTAATACAGCATCCTTCCATAAAATCATTGTTTTAATTTATACAGAATTTTGCATGGATGAAGGTGTTATGTACTGTTTTTTATATTTTTGAATTTCGTAGACAATATTTTTTTGTTGACAATTTTTTCAGGGGTGTTAATTAACCAGAGTTTGGAAACAAATTTACTTGAAAATTAACCAGCGATTGAAAAACCGGGGTCACTTCAGGTGGAATACGTGAATCAACGCTGCAACACTTCTTTCATTTCATCAAGAGAAAGACAATCTTTGGAGCAGAAATAAAACAAATATGTAATTAAAAAATGTATATTAGCGTATATTTGTGTACAAAAAAGTCAAAATAACAAAACGTCAAATTCCTAGTACTTAATAAAATAATAGATTTTCTAAATTAGTCGCAGAAACTTGCAGACAGAAATATGATAAAACTTTCGATACTTATACTACAAGTCGTCCCACTGATTCGTCAATACTTGAAACCTAAACTGTTTGCTGAAGAAACATTACTGACGTTTCGGTTACAAGGGCAACCTCTTACAAAAAAATTAAAACAAAGTTTTAATCCTGCATATGGAAGGCCAATAAACTTTACAAAGTTTGTCGTGTATAACAATAACTTAAAAACTTGCAGAGAGAAATATGATAAGACTTTCGATACTTATTCTACAAGTACCACTGATTCGTCAATACTTGAAACCAAACCTGTTTGCTGAAGAAACATTACTGACGTTTCGGTTATATGGGCAACCTCTTACAAAAAAATAAAAACAAAGTTTTAATCCTGTATATGCAAAGCCAGTAAACTTTACATAGTTTGTCAGCCAAACCAAACAATACTCTCGATCATCATCATAAAAAAGATTTCGTATATAACAATAAATGAATAAAATATAAATATCTACAATCACCTTACGTTCACAATAAAAAGACCTACAATTTGCGCAGGTCGAGTACAAAGACGCTTCCGTCCGACGCGCTGGCTCCCACCTTGTCCCCCCTGGAGTTCCAGCACACTTCGAAGATGCCTCCGGTGCCTTTGTAACTGTGCACCAGCTGCCCTGTTTGCGTTGACCAGATGTGCACGCATTTGTCAAAGCTGCCGCTAGCTAGGAACTTGCCGTCAGGACTGAAGGCGACCTGGAAATAAAAGAAAAAATAAAGTCAAAAGTATAATGGCGCGTTTATAAAGCAACTACCCTTCCTAACGTCACCGGACATAACTTTAGGTCATATGGTAAATGCTAAGTACAAGTTAGATTAAGTCAGGAGAGGCTTTTGGTCAAACGGTAAGCCAATTTATTATACAGGGTGTTTCAGTTTATTGTTGCATAACTTTAAGATTCGATAGAACTTTTAAAATTAATGCATAAACATGGGTCGAAAAATGCGTGGCTTCCGAAATACCGGGTGTTTAAATTTACTTTCTAAAATAGTTTTTTTTAAATATTTCGAACAATATTTGGTGTATAACAGTGAAAATTGGTATACAAGGGTTTTTTACTGTAGCCGCTAGAGGGCGCTCTCTACTGTACCTGTAGTGTATTGAAATGACCGACAATTTTTTCTTAGTGCAATTTTTTGCTTTTTAAATAAAAAAACTGATTCTTCGCACTTTTCAGCATTAAAAAGCTCTCTTGTGAATTTTCGTTATAGTTAGCCGTTTTTGAGATATTTCGATTTTTAAGGTTCGATGCATTTTTAATTATTTATGGGAAAGTAACGTTGAAAAGTCAGTATCTCGATAATTTTTATAAGTAGGCTGTGCCTTCAAATATTTTTGAAATTGAAAGCAGAATAAGGTTAAACGTCAATTAGTTGACAGTTAGTTTTGTTGTCTGTTGAAACCTGAAACGTTTTTTGCAATTGTGAATGCACGAAATTTAGTTTCTTTTACCTGTTTTTTTTTTGTAAGTTTTATAAAAATGCCATTTTTATTCTCCAATCAAGAGTTAGCGGGTATTCATTTTGTGTATGGCTTTGTAAATGGAAACGCAGTAGAAGCAGCCAGAGAATACGCACGAAGATTTCCAAACAGACGACATCCAACTCGCTCAGTATTTGTAAGAGTGCATCGCCAAATAATTGAAAATAGTTTGGGAAATCTCCAAAGGGATCAAAGCATAAATGTTCGTCAGCGCAGATTTACCCGTATGATTCTGCGTGAGTTTGATAGAGATCCGACCACAAGTGTTAGGAGAGTTTCTGGTGCCTTGGGAATTTCAGCAAGCCATGTTCACCGTGTTCTTAGAAATGACCATAGACGTCCTTACCATTTGCAACCTGTGCAAGGACTACAGCCAGGGGATGGAGAATGAAGAATCACATTTTGTCAGTGGATTCTTGATAGAACTGATAATAATAGGGAGTTTTTAAGTAACGTTTTATGGACCGATGAGTCATGCTTCACTAGGCGTGGAGTGGTAAATTTTCATAATCAACATATTTGGTCGCATGAAAATCCGCATGCAGTTCGGGAAAGAAATTTTCAGCATGAATTTAGTGTGAACGTGTGGATTGGTATCTACCGTAATCGACTATTTGGACCCTACCTTTTGCCTGCAAGGTTAAATGCTGCGACATTCTTGGATGATGTTATGTTAGATTTAAGAAGATTGCCATGGTTCCAGCTTGATGGTTGTCCAGCTCATTATTCGAGAATAGTTAGAAACTGACTGGACGAAAATGATCCAGAAAGATGGATCGGCCGTGGAGGACCAGTCGCCTGGCCTCCACGATCGCCTGACCTAAATCCATTAGATTTCTTTGTGTGGGGATTTCTAAAAGAGAAAGTGTACCAGACTCCCGTAACCACAAGAGATATGCTAATAGACAGAATCAGGAATGCATGTGATGAAATAAGACCTTATTTGAATAATGCTAAACCACGTTCGATCATTCGTAGATGTGAATTGTGTATTGAACAATTGGGTTTACATTTCGAGCAACTACTTTAGATTTTGTATGTTTGTCCTAAATATCCAATAGCATTTTAGTTGTAAATGATTAATTTAATTTGTTAAAAATAATATTGGAAAATTAAACAAATTAATATTCTGTTTTTTTGTGTTTATTTGGAGTTGGGAATTATTGTTGTGTTTAAAAACACAATCTAAACGATCATCTTAATTACTTGTAATGCCCAAATCGAAAATGTAAAAAGAAATATTATTTTCCCATAAATAATTAAAAATGCATCGAACCTTAAAAATCGAAATATCTCAAAAACGGATAACTATAACGAAAACTCACGGGAGAGCTTTTTTATGTTGAAAAGTGCCAAGAATCAGTTTCTTCATTCAAAAAGCAAAAAATTGCACTAAGAAAAATTTTTCGGTCATTTTAATACACTACAGGTACAGTAGAGAGCGCCCTCTCTATGGAAATGGTTCGTTTTGTCGTACCAAAAAACCCTTGTATACCAATTTTCACTGTTATACATCAAATATTGTTCGAAATATTTAAAAAAAAATATTTCAGAAAGTAAATTTAAACACCCTGTATTTCGGAAGCCACGCATTTTTCGACCCACGTTTACATAGACTTTATGCATTAATTTTAAAAGTTCTATCGAACCTTAAAGTTATGCAACAATAAACTGAAACACCCTGTATAATATATGTATATAAACACTGAAATACGACTTACCGAGTAGACTGGTTCCGTGTGCTTCGTCAACGTATGGATACACGCGCCTCTCTCGACGTCCCACAATCTGACAGTCGAATCGAAACTGGCGGACGCAAGTATCAAATTCATATTCGGATTCTGCGTTCCGGGACCCGTCGGCGACCATTTGATCGTGTAGATCTCCTTGGAGTGCGCTTGGAGGTCGTGCACGCAAGTGTCGTGCTTCATCGACCAGATTTTCAAGGTCATGTCGTCGGAGCACGAGGCTAACAGTTGACCTTGAGGGTCCCACTTGATCGCGTTCACTTCGTTCTGAAACAACAACAAATTAACGTACAATCAAATAGCAGTTGTACCCAATCGGCTAACAAGAATAGCATACGAAATAGAATGATGGTATCGCGTTTTTTAAAAACGACTTACAAGCGATTTGATACTTTATTCTAATATAACTACAATGTTTCGACTAACAACGATATGTCGGCAAACCTAACCTAAGTGAGTTCAATTGAAGAGTAATAGGATTAAACTGATGCCTGAAGGCCACAACCATCAATATATAACATAGGGTTGTTTCCTAAGATAAGATATAAGTATGGTTTATCTGAAGTCACTTGAAATAGCATAAAAACCTTTGGTCGGTGCGTCCTTTGTAATTTCATGACGTATCATAGGCGTGCGGTCATTTATTTAGAACGATAATAATAATGTTTTTATATCACAATAAATGGATTTTACTATCTTCTATTTTTTTTGATTTGGGATAAAAAATACTTATATTGGGAGTTTAATTTATGTTGACTGAAAGTTAAGAAATGGAAAAATTACAGAATTCCAACGTTTGACATAGGCAAATATTTACATAGCAGGTAGGTATATAAAAAGGTATATAAAGACTTACATTATAGGTATTTATATATCATTCTCGCCTTCGGAGCTGTCGCTAGAGTCATCTTGTAGAGGAATTACAACGGGATTTACAGGAGGCAAAACACAATATTCATTTTCTTTTTCAATAATATGCCTAGAACACTGCTTCCATAGGTCTGTGGCAGCAATATGAGATACTGCATCTCTTATTGTGGCCAATAGCGATTCACTTAATTGAGGGGTCTGATTATGTTTTCTTACTTTTTTTTTTTAAAGCAGCCCAGACCAACTCAATCAGGAAAAAAATGCAGTAATAGGGAGGTAGACGTAATACTTCATGGCCATTTCGCTGAAGCAGATTGTCAACAACATACTCTTTTTCAAATTTTTGTCTTTTAATAAGATCCAATAATATGGCTTTGGTTGATTTTTGTGGTATTTCCATTCCCTTATCCTTCATAAAATCAATAATGTCTTGTTTTTTTGTGCCTGTATTCGGAATTTTGTTTTTCTGTCGGGAATGGTATGGCGCATTGTCCATAATAATCACTGAATTTGGGGAAATGTTTGGTATTAACTGCTGCTCTATCCACTTTTCAAATAAGTCGGAGGTCATGTCCTCATGATAGTCGGCACATGATTCTTTGATATTTTTGGCAGATAACAGCAAGGCATTAGGTATAAATCCATTTTCACTGCCAGCATGAAGAATAATGATTCGTTTTCCACGATTGCATGGTGCATTTAAAATGCACTTGTTGCTGTCGTCAACCCAGCCGTACTGCACAACATCATGGGTATCATACCACGTTTCATCCAGGTAAATCAGATTTCTTTTCTGCTCTCTATAGATTTTAACTTTGTGCAAAAATTCTTGGCGCAATTCAACGATTCGAGACGACTCCATAATCACCATTCTTTTATCTAATTTTTTGTATTGAAAACCACACAGTTTTACAATACAGTGCAGTGAGTCTAAGCATTTGTAATTATAAAAATCTTCAGGATAATCTTTTAATTTATCCCGTATCATTTCCAACGTGGGCACCAAATTTTCTTTATAAAATCCGTATATTATACGACGAATATCTTCCTGAAAACCCACGTCTATTCTTTTTAATTTTTGCCCTATGCGCTTTCTGTGGAAGGAATGGTTGACTACATCTCCCCTTTTTATAACCCGATAAATGGTAGACCGACTGATTTTTGTCAGGATACAAATTCTGTTTAAAATTTGATTTTGCGAGGAATCTGGATTTTCGTTTTTCAGACAATCATACATATTTAGGATTACTCTTTGGGTCTGTTCCTCTAAATCTTTATGAAAGAATTCTGCCTGCACAGGTTCATCAACCATCTCCTCGTGGCTTGGAGCATTTTCCCAAAGTCTCCAAAGAGCCATATTTAGGACACACAAGAACAATCAACACAACAATTAAATCAACAAGTAAACAGAGTATTCAAAAGTCAAAAACACACAAACTAATAAAATCTATGAAAAAACACAGACAGACTAAAGAAAACACGTTTATTCATCGCTACACGGCACTGGCTAAACTGTTTCAATTTTCAGTAGCCACCTGCACTTGTTCGGAGCTCTGAAATACACGCTTTCTCATTGGCTGTGTCCACGCATAGGCGTGCTTTACTCCACGTGGACCGGTGAAACTGCCTTTGATCTTATACGGGGGATATTTGCTGCGAAATTTGGCGATTTTTGCAGCAACAGAGCGTGTTAAATATAGATATATAAAACGCACAGTGTTTCAAGTGACTTCAGATAAAGTATACACCGATTAGGAAGATATACGAGGGGCTCTCGCTATATAACTATAGTGACTTACCGTATGCCCTTGAAAAGACTTGATCGGTTTATCCACTGACAGTTTGCAGACGTGTATGCACTGATCCGTCGAGCAACTTGCGAATGACGTATTCGTCTGCCAATCTACGTCTAGAGCTGGTGCGGAATGGAAGCTGAATTGCTGCGTGCACTGGCCACTCGCTGCATCCCAAATTATCGTCGTTTTGTCAACCTAAGATAAACAGAAAAATGTTATAAACAAATTAACACACAATTTCAAATTATACAGTCTTTCTTTAATTGAATGTTCACGTATTCTTGGAGGCGATTCGTGAAGGCAATTTTAAGTACAGCAGACGCTCGATAACGTAAACACGGGATAATGAAAACTTGCGCTAATGTAAACACAAACTTCGTTCTATGGGATCAAACGGAACGCGCGATAACGTAAACAATGTGTACGCTCAATAACGTAAACAATGTGTACGCTCGATAACGTAAACAGCTCTCGGCGCACGGAAACAGCGCGACGGTAAAATGCTGAAGCCTCGATGATTTATGTCGGATGTCGGGCGTCGGGGAGTCCCCGATTTATGATGAAGAGTGTAGGGGATTCACCTCTGCGATAAAATACGACAAACTCGGTCAGTCGTATGATCGTTTAGGATACGTTTATACGTACGTATGTATTTCATTTTTGAACTTAAGTGAATACATTGCACGCGTTAATATATTTTACGACTATGGCATCCACATCCTATAAAAGAAAGTGTTTAAGGTTGAGTGAGAAAGTTTAAAATCATAGACGAAGTTGCACTAGGTGCGAGAGTGACACAGTTAGCAAAAAAATATGGAGTATCGAAAGCAACAATCTGTAAAATTAAGCGTATGAAAACTCAAATTTTATACATTTGGAGGTCCGGGAAAAAGAAAAACTTTAAAAAATGCGAAGGCACCTAAACTGGAAAATTCCCTGCATAAGTGGTTTTTAAAACAACGGGAAAATCATGTCCCAGTTAGTGGCGAAGTACTTAAACAGAGAGCGAGACTGTTAAATGAAAAACTGAAAGAAACTGAAAATTTCGTAGCTAGTGATGGCTTGCTACAATGATTCAAAACAAGATATGGAATTCGACTGCTGTCTATATCTGGTGAAAAATTATCAGCACAACCACAATTAGTGCAACCATTCAAAGAAAAATTGATGAAAACAATTACGGAGCTAGATTTCAGAATGGAACAAATTTACAACGCAGATGAAAGTGGCCTTTATTGGAAAATGTTACCAGAGAAAACCTATGCTGCATCATTTGAAAAATCTGCCCCGTGAAGAAAGCCGGAGAAACAACGAACGTTTCTAGCCTGCACTAATGCTAATAGTTCACACAAAATAAAGCCACTGGTAATTGGGAAAGCAAAAAATCCGCGCTCATTCAAAAATGTTAATATCCCTGTTGATTATGACTGTTCAAAAACCACTTGGATGACTAGCAGTATATTCCTGAAATGGTTCCACAGGTGCTTTGTCCCTCAAGTATGACAATCAATTATCACAAATGCTCTATTCATAATTTAAAGATGTGTTTTCAATTTGTAGGTAAAAGGTTTCCTAAAACAACAGAATCTTCCAATAAAAGCGTTGTTACTATTGGATAATGCACCTTCATCCTCCCGAGCAACAACTGAGGAGCAGGGATGTGTGAATTTTCGTCATGTACATGCCGCCCAACGTAACACCGTTAATTCAACCGATGGACCAGAATATAATAAAACTCACCAAACTATACTATAGGAAGTTTCTACTTTCGTCTGTCTTATCAAAGAATCCTGAAAACTTATCTGAGGCTTTAAAAAAAGTAACATTACAAGAAGCTGTTTTAGATTTACATATGGCCTGGAATGAACTTAACCAGCAAACTATTCAAAAATGTTGGAAAAATCTCCTTTGTACCAATAATGAAGATGATGAAGAAGACCATGTCCCCTTAAGCGTAATTAGAGAACGTTTGCGATCCAATAATGATAATGTTATTAGTGTGTCATTGGATGTTGTTGATTTATTGAAAACAGTGAATCCCAACATTGTTTGTACTCCTGCTGATATTAATTTATGGAACGAAGATAAGCAGACCAATGATGCTGATAAGGAGGAGATATAGACAGTGAGGATGATGAAAACGATCCCATTGAAGTCAGAAGTGTAGTGACTGACGCGCAAGTTATACAAGTTTTTAACCAAGCTTTAGATTGGGCTGAAAGAAAAGAAGTTTCATACACGGATATTTTAGTTCTTCGTAAATTACGGGCGCAGGCATTGGAAGACAATGCTAAGCGCAAATTTACGCAGACAAAAATTGTTAATTATTTTTCTTCTAATTAAAAAAATACTTATCGCTGTTAGAATATTTGTTTATTTTGTTATAAATAGTATGTATTAAACGTTTCTTTTAATAAATCAAATATTATATAAATCACTTTCGCTAATGTAAACATTTCGATAATGTGAACCACACTTGGATTAAATTAGTTTGGATTATCGAGCATCTGCTGTATTTAGAATTTATGAATATCTCCTGCACCACGAGGTGTGAACAAAAATTACGGTGAATTAACTTTTATATCAGGTTCTGCTGTATCTACATCCATTTTAAGTAATACATTTGATAGTCTGTTTCTTTGAGATAGCGTGCCGTGAATTTAAGCAAGCCACAACTTGTCTATTACATTCCAGAACTAAAAAAGATAAAGTAAGATCGCATTTTATATAATAGAATTATTACCCCAGCTGAGAGTATATAGTTCCCTCTCTTGTTCCATTTTAGTGCAAAAATAGGTCCTTTATGTTGTCCTAGTGTACTTGCCAGACGACCGTCTGTCGTCCAAATCCTTGCATAGCCATCATAGCTTCCTGTTGCTAGCAATTGACCATCACACTGAAAAAAAATTCGGAAATAGGCAATGAAGTAGAAACTGCTGATAATGCGTGAAAGCACATACGCGCGTTTCTGAATTTTTGAAGCAAGAGAGACTAATACAAAGATGTCGCTTCTGCGATCAGATGTTCACCTCAGTAGACGTCAAAACTTAATGGATACTCAAACGCTAGTCATTTTTTTCTTTCAAAAAATATCGATAAGAGTCGATAATCTAAAACTCGAGCTACTCACATTCCAGTCCAACGATGTGACATCCTTGTTACTAGGCACTTCCGTACCGCCTTTCTGGATACAGTGCCTGAGCACCAACTGTTTAGGCGTTTCCGTGTTGTCTGACATGTCCCAAATTCTCGCCGTGCTATCACCGGAGCCGCTGGCCAACAGGTCTTGTGTTGGGTTCCAGGCGCATATGAACACTTCGGATTCGTGACCGCGCAGCACCGTTGCCTTCGACGGGGGGATCTCTATGGAGGTGTCCACGTCCATGGTTTCGTTTTGGGTGGATGCCACAGCTAATGCGAGACAAATGCATCCACAGTCAGATAATATAGTGGAATAAATACCACACTAAGGCCCGGTTTTTTAGTCGCAGGTTAAATAAGACCTTGGCCTTAACTTTTACTTATCTATGAAACAGCGTTTTTCTATAGTAGTTAACTTTAACCAGAAGACCATCTATGAGTTAACTAGAAAGGCTGCAGTTAAATAGCAATACCCGATGTATGTTGACACAGACTTTGGAATTTATAGAAAAATTCACAAATTCATATCAATTTATCCATAAATAGAGGCAAGAACTTTAGCAGGATTTTTGAGATCCTAATATAGGGTAGGATATCTTGAAAGGCTCTGTGAGAGGATCTGGTCTGAGAGGTCAACAGTCACAAACTTCACTTGTTCAAGGCAAGATGTACTAAGTGACATATAAATCCGAACACCCAGTTTAAATGGTTTTATTTTAATAAAAGTTGGTGAATGTATTTATCTTACTGTAAATAACAAGTGAAAAAATTTTCAGCCTTATCAGTTGGACATTCCGGTTTTTATACTGCTTTTTTTTAATTCACTAACGCTCTAAATTTCAGCCGCAGTAAAGAATCAACGTTGGCGGATTTTGGTTCTTGACATCCTTTACGATCGGTTACGATGCCTAGAGTATGGAGACCTGTACGATTTCGTCAACTTAGTGAGTTTGATAGGGGCCGTATAGTGGGACTTCGGGAAGCTGGACTTTCTTTTCGGGCAATTGCAGTTAGAGTGCAAAGAAGTGTAGACACTGTGGTTAGGTGTTGTCAGGCATGGCTTCGAGAAGGCCGTACGCAAAGAGCAAGGGGCACTGGACGCCGCCGTAGAACAACAGACAGATTATTGGCCTTAAGGGACCGTTTCTCCACTACCAGGTCCATTGCAAATGAATGGTTTGCAGAACACGGAAGACCTATTGGCATGTGAAGTGTTTACCGACGAATGAGAAGTTTTGGCTTGTTTTCATACCGGCCACACTGGGTCCTCCCTTTAACTCGAGAACACCGACGTAATCTCCTTGAGTGGTGCAGACAACAGTCACTCTAGGATCAGGAATGGAACAGTATTGTCTTTAGTGACGAGTCTCGATTTTGTTTAGGCATGCACGATGGTCGTGCCAGGGTTAGAAGGCGACGTGGTGAAAGGAGGAATCCACAGTTTTTTGTTGAAAGACATGTTCATCACACTGTTGGAGTTATGGTTTGGGGTGCTATAGCTTATGGTTTCAGGTCACCTTTAAGAAGTTCTAGAACCCCATCTTTTACCCTATCTTGACACCCTGGCAGATCCAACTCTCCAACAAGATAATGCCTGACCACATGTTGCAAGAGTCACAATAGACTTCTTTCAACATAATGATGTCACATTGTTACCATGGCCACCAAGATCTCCCGACTTATCCCCAATTGAGCACGTGTGGGATATGATGGGTAGGAGATTGCTCAATTTGCAATGTCCTCCTTAGACTCTAGAAGCACTATGAGAGGAGTTGGTGGTTGCCTGGAATGAGATACCACAGGAGGACATTGACCACTTGATCAGAAGCATGCCTAGGCACGTTGGAGAATGCGTAGCACATCAGGGTGCATCCACACATTATTAAAGGTCAAAGGGCTTTAAAGCAGTGCAATCATTTTGAAATTTTTATCATTTACTTATTATACTTCATTAAGTACTTATACAAAATTTTATTAAAATAAAACCATTTAAACTGGGTGTTTGGATTTATATGTCACTTAGTATATTTCTGAGGTTTTGGATGATCACTGTCAATTTCATGTGATATACAGACATTCAAAACGCCTTTGATCAAATAGATAATTACTTGTTAACAGCTAAGCTCGAATCTGCTGGCTTGTTAGTTTCTTTACTGCTTCTCATAAAGTCATTCCATTTCCTACATTCTGTGTGACAGGGTTGCAACTAATCCAGTACTTCTCTTTTGTCAGTCTATTTAATAAGGAATAAACTATAACTGCACAACTAGTCACACAAGACTCATTGACCTTTATATCAGGGAAAGACTTGTAAAAAGTCCAATCCAAAAACGTTGAAATATGCAGGGTTTTACATTTATTAATTTTGAGAACATGTAGATTTTGCGTTTTGACCACCATGTATGAATAATAAAAGGTTAGCGCATATCGCAAATACTTCATTTCTTACTTAAAATGAAAGATTAGGATGTAGCTTGCACGAATCTATCATTTTTTGTTTAAGGAACCCGCTGCTTGCTATTTTATAGAACTTCAAAGTTGCACTTTTGGTGGTAATATTCTAGAAACGATTTTTTTTTGCTTTTTGCACAAAATGATGCCTCTTAATTATAAGAATATAACATACACGGTATAATACTAAAAAAAACAGATGTGAAACTGTAAAAAATCATTGTTTTTTGGTTCAAAACCAGCCCTGTAATTACACATCAGCCGATTAGCTAAAATAACCTTTCAAAAAACATACGTAAATTATGGTATTTACTTGGTAAGCTGTGTAGAAGTGTTGTGTTGTGATTTTTCAAAGTCTTCTTAACCATTTTTTTCGCGAATTTTCAATGAGATCAAAGTGTTTGCCTTTATAGGAAATATTTGAAAGTACAATCAATTCTGAACGGCCATTTTGTAACGTTCATTTCTTGACAGATAAGATAAGCGATGTCCATGGTTGTCAAGTTGTACCTTTTTTGGGGAGAAATACGTGATAAAAAAATGAGGTTATTTGCAAAATAAAAAATCTTAATTTATTGTAAATGGCTTGTTTTATGAGAAGTTGACCCAATATTTACCGAAAACTAGAAGACATTTTGAACAGTATGTGTCTAAACAGTGGAAAATGCAGCAGCGGCTCGCGTGACAGAAAATACAAAAGGCACATAAATAAAAAAAAACAACTTCGATTCGTCGATTTGAACCACCTCGCTAGTTCCACCCAACATATCATCGTCCAACATTATAGTTAAATAAAGATCAACGACCATTTCATCAAATCATCAAAAAACTTGAAATGTTCTTTGTTATGTTTTCATTATTTAATGATTCGCAACAGCTACTTTTTCAGTTATTTCTCGTATATATATATATATATATATCACATTTAATTAGGTATATTTTGTGACACCACCTTCACTTTCACACACTTCCTCCTACCCTGTGCCATCCCTCCACCACCCCTGTTCCAGGCAACCTCAAACCCTTGAGGAGTTGGGGGAAGAGCAATTGGCTCCTCCCTCCTCTCCCCCCGAGTGAGCTATCCCCTCCTAAATTTTGCCCCTGTTTCCCGAAATTGACTCGATCGCGCACGCGCCGCGGAAGCACGCGGTGGACGTTTCATCCAACTCTCGGTTCTCGACTTTTATGGACGGCCTCTTTCTTGGGGGTCCTGCGCTGGGGGCTTTGATCTAAGCCCCGCACCAGCTTCACTTTAAATAATTCTTCAAGTATATAAATACAAAAAGTAACTAGATTATAACTATAATATAGGAAAAACAATAACCGAATTACTTTTGTAAAGGGCATAATGCATTCTTCAAAAAAGTTTCTTTAGCTAACGTTATCGGCCACACAATCCTCTGCCGATTGCACATTTTTGCGCTAGTATATAAGTAAGAATTTGACAAACCAAATTAGGGTATATAACTGTCAATGATTTGGCAACATCGCAACTAGATGGAGAGAGTAGGACAGTGATGGTGGTGTAGTGATGGGAATGTTCATCTGAAATAAAAGAAATTACTACTTAACAATGAACTATTTTCATCATTAAAATAATGCAAAACTGCATTATTGTGATGAAGTGTCACAGTAATTTACATTGTATGTTATAGTTATACAATTTTGAGCAATCTTTTGTGTAAACAAGAAAAAACAGCTTATAAAGCAGTATTCTATACCACAGTATTACCACACAAAATTCAACTTTGAAGTTCTATAAAATAGCAAGCAGAGGGTTCCTTAAAGAAAAAATGAAATTTTCGTGCAAATTACAACCTAATCTTCCATTTCAAAATAAGAAATGTAATATTTGCGATATGCCCTAAAGTATAGTTCAGCCATGTTTTTTTACACAAAAAGGCTCTGTCTATATATTCAAAACAAAATCCGATTGAAAAAAAAATCATATCTGATACATGGGACAAGATAAGGACTCCTTAAATAATTGTATATAATAACCTATAAATAATTTTCTGGATATAAGCAATATTCCATCATCACATGGATGGAACACCCTGTTACTCACTTTGACCTTTTGACTTGAATTTAAATCTTTCTCAAATCTTACCAGCAGTAGTCTCCTCTCCATTGGTTTCTGTCTGCTCTGCTTTTATAGCCTGTTTTTGCTGATTCTGTTGGTTCTGCCTACTAGCCACCACATCGGGCATGACAGCATCAATCAGGCTCAAACTTTCCACTGATCTCTGCTCAGTTCCATCCTCACCAATACTGATCTCTGCCTCAGTGTATTGGAGGCCTTTCTGTAGAATGCTGAGCAATGCTGCAGGGGGTACCAATGCTCCATTTATGTTAGATTGGGAGATGTGGGATTCTATACCAAATGTATATGCAGAATGCTGGAAGCCTGATATAGAAAACATAGTGTTTATCTTTTAATAGTTTTTCAGGCAAAAAAATCGAAATAGTTGAAATTTAACTTCATCTCAAAATACTATTCAACTAGTGTTTTTTTACTGATTTAGGAACATGCATATTGGTATTTTGAACGTTTGAAATATCATGTTTTCAAGCACATAAGCCCTATGACAGCTTGAATAAATAAGGGTTTATATTTTTATATTAAAATCAGATAAAATGCTTTAACAATACTGTGAAAAAACCTTTCTTGTCTCAAATGTCCAGGTTATGTTGTTGTTTGGCGTCCTCATTTCCACGGCTTACCTGATTCCTGGAGGTATCTGTACACTAGAAAATTCACCTCATCACTCGAGAAACTCATTTTGACAATTTTCACATTGAGATAGCAACAAAACTGTTCCAGAAATGGTCTCAAAAATACTTTTCACTTCAGTCACTGTGATCTACAACATGTCAACAACCTTTCGGAATGGGTGGCGCTGTTCCGCTGTTGTCAGTCTTGCAATGCGGTGTTGCCATTTCGATGTCCCATAAGTTGTATCGGCAACAAATTAAAACCAAAATATAAAAATCAAATCCAAGCGAATAACCAAAATTTCTGTGTTATGTACCGCGGTTATAATATGGTTCAAGATGACACACGGGTAGATGACGTCAGTTACTCGAATCGCTTGAACGCGCTGGTTTTAATCGCGGTTTTGTTGCGATTTGTTTATTTTAGAGAAGCGCGTGTATAATTTCTGATTATTTTTATTATCACTTAATAATCGGTGCTTTTTCGTCTACAACGGTGTATAGAGAGTTTCAGAAAAAAATGAACTATTTGATCAAAAATTACATGATCTTACGAGTAGGATTTTCATTTTACTCTACTATTTATTAGTATCCGTCTTATACGCAGAGATATAAGGCATTCATTTTGAGGAGGCTAGAAATGTACAGCTGAAGGATTTGAATTTGAATCCACCTTATAACTAGTCGCTCATGTGGAACTACAGGCAGACGGAATCACCATTTTAGACGCATCAAATATGCCTACTCTTGTTAGACACTTGGTGCCCACGTATCCTCCTACAACCGAGGTGAGACATTGTAGTTTCCTAAACACATAGGGTTGACATTCTATGTTTTTTAAATAAATTGCGCACATTGCATAAACTGAGAGATTAGTCATATACTGGGGTATTTGGGAAAAACTAAAATTGGGCCAAATTTTAGGAAATGTCAAAAAACTAATGGCACTACATGATGGTGTTTTTAAATGTGCTCGAAGTGCACAACATTTAAAAAAGTACGACCCTGTATCCAATAACATCTTTTTCTACGACTTCAACGATGTATCACGTTTTTTTTTCTGTTATAAACAAACGTGTTTTTCCTTTTTTTTTAAGTAGGCGTTGCAAACAAATGCTTGATGTAAGATTGTGTGATTTCCGAATTTAACCTAGTCTGATCCTTATCTTGGCCACTTTGTAATACATTATTTTATAAATAAATTGACAGAAACGTGCACTAATCAATACGTAATATTTAGATAGAATAAACTAATCCAAACAAAATAACCTTTTCATCAAAAAATGGGGGCATTTTTAACCCCCTCACGGAAATTTCAGTTTCTTGATCTTTGAAGATGCGTTGCCAAGACGGCGCTAGCGTCTTAAACAAAAAACTGTAGATTAGAGGATCGATCCGAAAACTTGGAAGATTTTGAAAAAACTGTAAATCTACAGTTAAAACTGTAGAGTTGGCAACCTTGCATGGAAGTTATTAAATTATATATTGTTTTTTGTTGAGTAATAGGGGGGGGAATCGGAAGGAGGTTAACCTAACAGTCTATTTTGCTGAATTTGCAACTTTGTCAAATTAATTCATTTATTTTGTACTAATCATATGTACGACATAATATACTCAGCCAAACCTGATATTTAAACAACCTTGACTTTTGACAAAGTGCAGTGTTCAAAACCAGTTTTTATCTCCAATATATATTATTGTTTTATCAAAGTTTTTCAAATAATCACCTTTATGCTTATTATGTATGTTAACACTGTGGCAATATACTTAACTGATAACCTTTGAAAAAAGCTGATAATCGACGACTTGTAATTTTTGTCTTTGCAAGTTTCTGAAAGTACTACTAAAAATGGAGTACAGTGTTACAGAAATTAAAGTACCTGTTCCATGGGGACACATTGCTGGTAAGAGAATGACAAACAACATAAAAATTGAACATACATTTTGGTGATTAGAGCAGCCAAAATTCTCACTGCTTTTCTGTTGATTACTTTTAAGCTTGCCTAGGTGAAATTTCAGAAGCAGAAGTGACTATTGCTGTGGCCTAAATTCAACTGCTCACTTGAATGTGATGGCACTTAGGACCATATCGTCAGTTGTTCCTACAATTGTAGCCTTTATGCCCTCTTTGATTTTCATAGTTTTCTGCTGTTCTGTGTCAGAGCTCTAGTTTGAGGTTATGTTGCAAATATCTATTTGCATCAAATTGTTCATGCTTTTGATTTGTATCATCTGTTACATCAACCTGGAATTTGCTACAATTCAAAAAAGAAAACAGCTTCACAGCAGGAAAACGCTGACACGGAATAGTAGAAATCTAGAAATATTCCAACGTTTTTGAGGTTAGAAAAGACGATGAAAATCAAGAAGGCCATAAAGGCGTCTACAATATTGTAGGACGCCTTTATGGCTTCCTTGATTTTCATTGTTTTCTGCTGTTCCGTGTCATGGATCTATTTTGAGGTTATGTTACAAATATCTATTTGCATCAATTTGTTCATGCTTTTGTTGATCAAGGCCATAAAGGCGACCTACAACCTACAGTTGCAAGAAAACTGACGATACGGCCCTTAGACTGTATATGAAACATGACTAAAAATGAAATTGTCACATAGACTTTAGAAATAAATGCCTTTTGATACATCTCCATTATTTTTTTTCCAGTTAAAACATGGGGAAATCCTGATGACCCACCCATATTTTGCTTCCATGGTATCCTTGATAATGCAGGTGCTTTTGACAGACTGATAGCACTTCTACCAAAAACATTTTACTACATTGCCGTAGATCTTCCGGGTCATGGCCGCTCATCTCATTTTCCGGCTCACTTACCTGTATATACCACAAACTACATACTAGCCTACAAAGCCTTGAAAGAATATTTTAAACTAGAAAAATTCACTATAATGGGACACAGCTATGGCGGTCAAATCGGATTTATGTATTCACAAATGTACCCACAACACGTAGAAAGATTAGTGCTTTTAGATGCAATCATACCCATAACAGTGCCGACAAGCTGGTTCATAGATCATTTGAAAGACAAACTCGAGATGCATTGCGAGATTGAGAGCAAACTAGCTTCTAGACAACCTCCAACTTATACATATGCGGAAGCTTTGAACCGCGTACAGTTTTCTAGAAATTGGGGAACAATATGCGAAGATGCAGCAAAGTGTTTGCTAAACAGGGCTATAGAACCAGTAGGAGGTTCTGATGGGAAGTTTAGATTCACCATAGACCAAAGATTGAAAAACATCATCAACCCTACTGTCGATCTACGATATGTGGTAGAAGCATACAAAACTTCACCAGTTTGTTGTCCTACTTTGATAATATTGTCAAAGCAGTCAGTTTTGAACAAGAACTTTGGAAGGCTTACCAAGAGTTTTGGGAAAAATGTTGTTTTTAAGTTGGTGGATGGTAATCACGATGTTCACAACGATAAACCAGAATTGGTAGCACCTTTAGTAGAGAAATTTTTACTCTGTAAAAGGCACAAATTGTGAAAGTTTTTAACACAGTTTTGGAATCAATCAAGTATTTGTAGTGATTATGCTTCACAAACAGTATATCTATTATTTTTATACTTTTCCAAGGGTAACTTAAGTGTTAATCTGTTAAAAATGTATTATTGTTGTTATTGTAATATTAGTCTATTTTCTGGCCCAGTTGTTTTATTTGACAAACTCCTCTCATTCAATAAATGAATAATATGAAATAAATGTACACAGTGATTCAAAAAACAGTGGCAATATCTCTAAGGCCCGTGTCGTCAGTCGTTTCTACAAGTTAAGACGCCTTTATGGCCTCCCTGATATTCATAGTTTTCTACTGTTCCGTGTCAGCGCCCCTCCAAGGAGAGAAAGTACTATGAAAATCAAAGACGCCTTTATGGCCTTCTTGATTTTCATAGTTTTGTACTGTTCCATGTCAGTGCTCTATTTTGAGGTTATGCTATAAATAACTATTTATATCAAATTGTTCATGCTTTTGATTTATATTAATATGTCTTTCTATTCAAAAAGAAAACATAGCATCACTTGAAAGCGTTGACGCTGTCAAGGAACAGTAGAAATCTATAAATACCACAGCCTTTCTGAAGGAGAGGAAAGACTATGAAAATCAAGGAGGCGTTCTACAATTATGGGACGCCTTTATGGCCTTCTTGATTTTCATAGCCTTTTCTCTCCTTCAGGGGAATTCCTATATTTTGTATGTTCCGTGTCAGCGCTCTAAGATTGTGATTTAAATTGTAGGAAATTTCAGGCTGATATAAATCAAAACCATGAACAATTTGATGCTAGATACCTGTAACATAACCTCAAAATAGAGCGCTGACACGGAGCACTACAAAACTATAAAAATCAAGGGGACCATAAAGCCGTTCTACAATTGTATGGCCTCCTTAATTTTCATATTATTTTCTCTCCTTCCGAAATTGTGCGATTTCTTGATTTTTACTGTTCCGTGTCAGCGTCCTCTTATTGTGAAGTTATCTTTTCTTTTTGAATTGTAGGAAATTTCAGGTTGATAAAACAGACGATATAAATCAAAAGCATGAACAATTTGAGGCGAACAGGTATTTGTGACATAACCTCAAAATAGAGCGCTGACACGGAGAGCACTAGAAAACTATGAAAATTCGGGAGGCCATAAGGGCGTCCTACATTTGTACGAACGTCTGACGTACGGCACTAACCAAAAATAGAATGAATAGTCCATAAAAATGGTCCGTTATTGAAATACAGGGTGCGAGTTTTAAATTTTATATTAAAATTATATCCTGGAGTGGATCCAAGATGTTGACTTTAAATTTGTACATTGTTGGTGGTCAAGATCCTGAGAGGGGAGCTTTAGCATGTGCTAATTTAACATGTGTTGTCAGCAGTCATATGCTACAAAGTGCTAAACAGAAGAAGACGTGTTTTAATAAAACAGACTGGTAAATCATAAAAAAAGGTTTATTCTCACAATCAGAACCAACAACACAATCTTGACACTATTCACATTACAATATTTTATGCATACTTTGAAATCATAACCACTTTCAAAATGAAAAATACTGTAAAATCACGCTCAATATCCACATATCTACCGCCTTCAAGACTCTTGCGTTTCCATACTCTCATCGGCATCTGCTTCCATGTCTTCATCATCTTCCTCCCCCTCTTTCTTCTCTGGGGGATTCTCGTATGCCTTGTCCAATGGGGACACCACCACGCCATCCCAAACTGACATTTCTGTCGCTATAGACGCGTTTCCTTCCAACCCAAGGATATGCTTGTACCCGCCATGCGCCAGGACCCTCAACAGCGTCTGCGCTGTAAGGCAACCAACATCCTGTTGCTCCAAAGTCATGGCTGTATGTATCCTCATGCTCACGCCTTCGCAAGGATCCGTGATTCCCGCAGATCCTGGTAGGAACAATCCTGCAGACAACAGTTGAAACACCCTTCTGAAAGCGACGTTCAAAGGCAACGCTTGTCTGCTAGGATTGTTCATTATAGCGAAATGTGCTAACAGATCGAGCATCCACGGTGTCAGAGGCTCAAATCCGTCGAATCTATTCTTTACATCTCTCAAAAGTCTGATCAAGACTTTGATCGACGAATGATGAGCGTTTTCCTCGAACCATCTGATGTGACGTATCGCGGCCAAGTGGCTCATCATGATTTTCTGATCCAAATGGATCTCTGGGTCCAGCTTACGGATGTTGTGGGGCAGAGTGGTCACCATGACCCGCACGCAAGCGAAGGAATTGCTGATTTCGATGCCGCGCTCGTTGGTAACGTGACTTAGTTGCTCTCCTGAAAAAAAATTATATATGCTGCTTCAAGTTTTCAGTAGGAACACATAAATACTAGAGTTATACGAAAGATCATGTAGAACACAATCTTGTCCCACTCCTTTGGAAAAACAGGAAGCTGAACAGAAATTCTGTTCTACAACATATACTAAGTGACATATAAATCCGAACACCCAGTTTAAATGGTTTTATTTTAATAAAAGTTGGTGAATGTATTTATCTTACTGTAAATAACAAGTGAAAAAATTTTCAGCCTTATCAGTTGGACATTCCGGTTTTTATACTGTTTTTTTTTTTAATTCACTAACGCTCTAAAAATGAATATTTCAGCCGCAGTAAAGAATCAACGTTGGCGGATTTTGGTTCTTGACATCCTTTACGATCGGTTGCGATGCCTAGAGTACGGAGACCTGTACGATTTCGTCAACTTAGCGAGTTTGATAGGGGCCGTATAGTGGGACTTCGGGAAGCTGGACTTTCTTTTCGGGCAATTGCAGTTAGAGTGCAAAGAAGTGTAGACACTGTGGTTAGGTGTTGTCAGGCATAGCTTCGAGAAGGCCGTACGCAAAGAGCAAGGGGCACTGGACGCCGCCGTAGAACAACAGACTGTGAAGATCGCCGCCTAAGATTATTGGCCTTAAGGGACCGTTTCTCCACTACCAGGTCCATTGCAAATGAATGGTTTGCAGAACACGGAAGACCTATTGGCATGCGAAGTGTTTACCGACGAATGAGAAGTTTTGGCTTGTTTTCATACCGGCCACACTGGGTCCTCCCTTTAACTCGAGAACACCGACGTAATCGCCTTAAGTGGTGCAGACAACGGTCACTCTGGGATCAGGAATGGAACAGTATTGTCTTTAGTGACGAGTCTCGATTTTGTTTAGGCATGCACGATGGTCGTGCCAGGGTTAGAACGCGACGTGGTGAAAGGAGGAATCCACAGTTTTTTGTTGAAAGACATGTTCATCACACTGTTGGAGTTATGGTTTGGGGTGCTATAGCTTATGGTTCCAGGTCACCTTTAACCTTCATCAGAGGTAACATGAACGCGCAGCGTTATATCCACGAAGTTCTAGAACCCCATCTTTTACCCTATCTTGACACCCTGGCTGATCCAACTTTCCATCAAGATAATGCCCGACCACATGTTGCAAGAGTCACAATAGACTTCTTTCAACATAATGATGTCACATTGTTACCATGGCCACCAAGATCTCCCGACTTATCCCCAATTGAGCACGTGTGGGATATGATGGGTAGGAGATTGCTCAATTTGCAACGTCCTCCTCAGACTCTAGAAGCACTTCGAGAGGAGTTGGTGGTTGCCTGGAATGAGATACCACAGGAGGACATTGACCACCTGATCAGAAGCATGCCTAGGCGCGTTGGAGAATGCGTAGCACATCAGGGTGCATCCACACATTATTAAAGGTCAAAGGGCTTTAAAGCAGTGCAATCATTTTGAAATTTTTATCATTTACTTATTATGCTTCATTAAGTACTTATACAAAATTTTATCAAAATAAAACCATTTAAACTGGGTGTTCGGATTTATATGTCACTTAGTATATTTTGGGGGTTTCTATGATAAATTTTTAATGTTTTAATGGATGATAACATAGATAAATCAGGTGTTTAACTTTGAATTAATTTGTTTCCTGTGTTGATTGGGGACATATATTCTGAATCTCACATTACTTTGATGCTAGGACCAAGAGAGACTTTTTTATGTCAAATTGAGGTCCACAATTTTTTGATCGTCATATTACATTTGGGGATCAAAATAATAACTGAGAAAAAATTCATATGCTTGTAACAACACAAAACAAGAGAGTCGCAATGTAAAATGTGCAAAGAAAAATGTTCTATACTTTTTGAGAATCTGTCCAGAGGTGACCAAATAGCAAAATCAGTAATCCTCCAGTACATCATGATATTAAAAAAAAAATGGCATTAAGTTGAAAGAATCAACTTCCCATGTGGTTAAAGCAGCTTAAAAATAAAGATCTCAACTGATTTCAAAATCAAAATATGCCGAGATTGTAATGACTCTGTGATTCATAGCTTATTTCTAGGAATTTTCGGACCCTTACACATTAATGTTTTGCTGTTACTTTTGGGCAGTTTTTTATGAGTGTCAACCATTGCACGCTTAGTTTCTTTTATTTTCCCTTTATTTCCCCCCATATTTATGATCTTAGAATCGAAAATAATGTTTGCATTCTAAAAATTCTGTTTACCTTTTGCAACAATCTCATTCTTCATGAGATTCCTGAGATCATCTCTAACCTTGTTCCCCAATGCTTCAACTGCCTCCCTTGTGGGTAGTGTCTTCAAAATAACCACAATATCAGCAACGTTGTGTCCAACAACCATCGTACCCTTCTTGAAACTACCAACTTGCCTGACTTCATCCAATTGCTAAAATATAGAAGGAACCTCCAATAAAGAGCTTATCTATCTTTTTATGTCAGGCCACATATTGAAAGCTGTTAATATTTGTGATTCAGTGTGACTCAATATAGCATGACTCATGTTGTGAATGTCATACTTCCAGAAAAAATATTTTTTAATTCTTTACAGAAAAATTTAGTAACAAGGCACTTTCTTCATGACATATTCATTTTTTGAGAGGAACAGATATTTTGGCTTATAAAAGGTACAGATTAAATAGAAACAAATGTTTTGCTTTTTGGTGAGAAATGTAAAATGTTTATTATAAATGCAGAAAACTTGTGTTCTTTTTGAAATCTTGTCAAAAAATTTGATAGTGTTAGTGCAGAGTTCATGTCTGAGAGTATTCAAAAAAAATATTTATATACATATTTAATTATTTTAGAAGACAAAAAAAAGCAACCTTTAGAGGAAATTATTTTTTCCAACTACTTTTCTCAGAGAATAACAACCAGCATTTTCTCTATAAAACATGTTTTTCCATAAAGTTTTGTCTGAATCTCAAGGTATTCAGAGATATTTTCAACAACAAATCACGAGTTACAGTTCCAAATATAAGTGTATGGCTTTGCAAAAGCAGATCAATTTAAAAGCAGTATCAATAACAAAATACTATAAGTATACTTACACAAGCATCAAAGTTACCGGGTGCGACAACAAGATTATCCAAAACAGTCTGAATCTTCGTTACAAGGTTCAGGATAGCAGTTTGCTCAGCCGGCGTTGGAGACAAATCGGCGTTTCGCTTTAACAGTGCCTGCGTAAAGGCTGTATCATCAGGTGCCGGTTTGCATCTAGGAAACGACGATTCGCAAAGTGCTAAATCGAAAGGGTGTCTCGGCAAGAACATCTTCACTTTGTACGGGGGCCTTCCACTCATTCCGCCCCTGTTCATTCCACCTCTACCTCGCATGCCTCCCCTGGCCATGTTCGACTGAAAATCGTTCACTTTGTAGGGATTCTTCGGTGCTTGCCTGTTGTACATTCTTACCTTCTTGCTTTCTAAGGATTTTAATGAAACAGAAAAAGAGATTTAGCGAATACGATAATAGTAATCAACAATGAAAGCGGCGTTCTTTTACGAAGCCGCAAAATGGCCGTTTGACATTTGATATCAGGAACGTCATTTGTCAAGAGACGTCACTGGGTACTGATTCTAAAAGTAAGCTTGTAAAATAGGCGTAACATGGCTCATGACCACACCTCTTTTTCTAGTTGAATAAAGGCCCCTTTTCCCAATCGACTGTCATCAGAATTGAGACCGACGTCATCTGTTAACGCTTGACTTGAACGTCATAAATTGTGAGGTTGTTTTCCGGGTTGTTTTCTTGCAAGTAATCATTACTTTTGCTTGAAAATTATGGCCTCTGAAAGATACAGCTTTTCTTTAACCACCTTTAGGTAAGCTTACCAATTTTTCCTATATTGACTTTTTATTCCAATTTTGCCATTTTCTTACAGTCCCTCAGGGAAGTTGGTCCAAATTGAATATGCGTTGGCGGCCGTAGCGGCCGGAGCACCCTCCGTAGGAATCAAAGGTACAATTAATTCTCTCTACCCTTCAAAACGTATTAATTAAACTCGTGTTTGCAGCTTCAAATGGAGTGGTTATTGCTACAGAAAACAAGCACAAATCCATCTTGTATGACGAGCACAGTGTACACAAAGTAGAAATGATAACAAATCATATTGGTATGGTCTACTCGGGCATGGGCCCTGATTACCGATTGTTGGTAAAGCAAGCCCGCAAAATGGCCCAGCAGTATTACTTGGTTTACCATGAGCCAATTCCTACGGTTCAGTTAGTGCAACGTGTTGCTACCGTAATGCAGGAATACACTCAGTCAGGAGGTGTTAGACCTTTTGGAGTTTCCCTGTTGATTTGCGGATGGGATACTGATAGGCCGTACTTGTTCCAGTGTGATCCTTCAGGAGCTTATTTTGCCTGGAAGGCAACTGCAATGGGCAAGAATTATATAAACGGCAAGACTTTCCTTGAAAAGAGGTAAGCACATAACATGAAAATTAAATAAGCCTTGATTATTGTAAAAGAATTGACAAATGTTAGTGCTGAAACATATTGGGTTTAATTATATATAATATATGTTCTTTATATTATCAGATGCAAGTTGAACTTGCAATTTTCAGTTACAGCATATCACAGAAATGTGGTGTCCTGTGGCTATCTAAGTGCTTTGCTACTGTGAACATGGTTAATCTATTGATGATTACCACCACTATTAATTTCATTGGCACACACATTATAACTAAATGTCACTTGTAACTGGCAATATATATTAATTTGTACCAATATACCATCTGAGATGTTTCCAAATGTTAATAATAAATATACATATATAATAAAAAATAATACAAGGTTAATATAAAGACAATCATAGTCATGTGAATAAAAGACAAAATAATAAAATCATATTTCAGATATAGTGAAGACTTGGAATTGGATGATGCAGTGCATACAGCAATCCTGACCCTAAAGGAGAGCTTTGAGGGTCAGATGACAGCTGACAACATTGAAGTTGGTATATGTGATGCTTCAGGGTTCAAGAGACTAGACCCTTCTACTGTCAAGGATTATCTAGCTAATATTCCATAAGCTGGTGCTCTTTTCTTATTTAAGCTGTTCTGTTGATTGGTTTGAATTTTTGTAAGGTCTAAATAAAAATTATATCAGTCATTCTCATGTTTTTTTTCTCTGATAATGTTCGAAATATGAAGTGTACAGGGGCAAAATATACATATCACAAAAAGTAAGTTCTGAGAAAAGCGAATTTAAAAGTTTGAAGACTCATACAGGGTGGGTCAAAGATTTGATGGGGTACCATATATGCCTTATGAAAAATTGAAATAAGGTAAAATTGGAAATAAAAAACTATTTTTTTGATATAAAGGGTAGACCAAAAGTAAAAGCAGACTAGACATTTTTTTGACGGAAAATCCTTTTTATTGTATTTTGAGATTCTCCTTATGATTTTGAACATTTTTTATGTGTTGGCGTCTATGCTTGAATTTAACTTTTTTTAGATATTGAGGTTAGAAATGAGCAGTTCGTTAACCAGTAAAATGTATCTTAGATTTTATGATCTATGTCTCTCGATGTTATGGCATGAGTAACACACGAACTACAGGCAGACAAACCCGAAAATTTTATTTGCAAAAGCAACGGTGGCGATCAGTGGATGTTCGGTTTTTTTTTTCATACAACGGCTGTGACATTCATCTTTTTTCCCTGCACTGCAAGTTTTCAATTGGACTGTCATTGTTTTTTAGTGTTTTGGATATCCCATAGTATTGTACTGTGTTGAGACTACATGTTGCCGGTTCTAACTACAAAACACCAAATTTGTAACATTCTTTTTTTCCTGTACTCATATGTTAGGGTATACCAAAGAAACTTAAAATGTTACTTGATTTGGACACAATTTATGGATATATAATGTATAAATCCGTAGTTTGATGCTTTCCTATATTGTTTCTTGCTCAAAAAATCTTACTATATATAAATTGAGCAGCTGGTTTTCTGCAAAATTGGAAGGCATTCCTTTAAGTCTTAAAAGATTGGACCAAAAAGTGATAAATCCACTAACGATGATTTGATGGTCCACTGATACACAAATTACTTGTTATTTCGTTCAAAAACGTAACTAGACACACTACAACCGCATATCACACCCTTTGTTGCACCAATTTGAGCACATTGACTCATTAAATAGACGACGTTATGTGATTGAGTATTAAATTTCTACTATACAATTCAACACGTATTAAGTGCATTAAATTATAGGATCCCAATGTTATTTTGTCTTTATTAGAGTATATGACTGATTTAAATTGAATGAGGATTGGTTTTAATGTCCCTCTATGCACCAGGTCGTCGTTACCTTGTTATCAAACGTACAAAAATGTAAGGTGAAAATTATGTAATTGAAGTTCATTAATATTCTTCGGCTGTGCGTAACCCTCGGTGATGCGTGTGCGGCCGTGAATAAATTTATATAAAAAGAAGTACTGTGGCTTATGGTGTTATCAGTTTGCATTCTGCAGATCTTAGAATATCACCAAATTAACACCTCACAACACAAAAAATGTTCAAGCTTGTAAGTATATGTTTATTATTATGCTTTTTAATTTTATAGTCTACATACCTACTTTAAATATATCGAAATATTTTATTTTGGCGAGAGTTTTTGCTATATGAAGTCATTAAAATATAACATTTTTGCAACTTTTAACATTGCGCGTTATTATATCAACCATGGTCAAGCAAATTTATAAATTCAAAGAAAGGTCTTTATGCGGTTTTCATTTTATATACCTAGGCAAAAGCTCTACATTAATTAGGAAAATAACATCGTAAAAAAGCAAAATTTTAGGAAAAACATCGCTTTTATTATTTTTAATGATTTTCATCTTTTCTCGTTGCTTATGACAAACCGTTTTTTTGAGGAAAAAGAAAGCCGGATATTAATTTATTTTTCAAATAATATCTCTTGAATCATTTTTCGCGCTTTATTTATTGACTTGAAAAAGTATAAAAGATCAAAAACCAAATTTGTATACAAAGCAAACAAAAAACAGACGCTTTATGTTTTTTTCTGTATTTTTGAAATAAACAAAAAGTATCCTAATTTCAGTTGTTTGTTGCCGCGGCCTTCGTCGCTTTATCCACGGCTGCCCCCGAGCCGCAACCCAAGGCTGTTCCTGCCCCTGCTGCAAACCCCCAGTTTCTTGCTGCCGCTTATGCTGCTCCTGTGGTAGCTGCCCCTGCAGTCGCCTACACTGACGTCGCATATGCCGCACCCCTAACCTACGCCGGGTATTACCCCTCTGCCTACGCCGCTGGATATTCTGCATATTCACCGTACGCTGCCACTGTTGTCGTTTAAATGCTTCAATAAAGTTATTTATATATCAGTTGTGTTATTCCCTTTCTCATCTAGATGAAAATATCCTTATTTTTTATCGAATCACGTTTAGAAATCGCAATCATATGAATGAAAATGGCACATTTGAATACTGATGTTGACTGGCGCTTAAGCTAGGAAAAAGGGCGTGATTCCGTCATGACCGTCGACCACGCCTTTTATTCGACCGCTATGAAACGAAAATATGAATTTCACTTCTTCGTAAACTATGTTGCTGTGCGAACTTGTCAACTGTCAGTTAATTGTCGAGACTTTTATGTCAAAAAAACCCATTTGACTGCTCTACTAGCAAAATAAATAAAATAAATATTAACTTCTTGCTGTTAATTTCCAATTAAATCACACGAAAAATGGCTCTTCACGTCCCTAAAGCTCCTGGCTTTTCCCAAATGTTAAAGGATGGCGCTAGGGTGAGTATTTCATTGTAAAATTTTGATTTTGCTCGACATGTGGTCACTGCACCTACACGGACGAAACCGGCTTCATTTATAAAATAAGGAAGTGAATCTGTAGTCCAGGCCTTTTGTTCAGCTTTGCATAAGCTAAAGTATGTCTAAGAGTGTTGTTGTTCACTTACTGGCTTATTACATTTTGAAAAATTGAACGTAAAAAAGGGGCAAGTTCCCCGCATGATGTAGAGGTTTTGTAAATAGGAATTAAAAGTTGGTCATCTTGCCAACTATGGTCGATTTTGTTGGATGGTTTCAAGCATAATTCACACTTATATAGATAGGTACCTTTAGGGGAATGTATCATGGGCCTAATGGGGTTTAACCACTGTGGTCTTCTAAAACAGTATACAGAAGTTGTATAATAACAAAATTATAATCATGTAATAATGATAGTTGTCAGTAAGTTGCAATTAGATATAATTGTCAGATAGATAATCATCAGTTACAGATAATATAACTGACAATTGTATAACTAATTGCAACCTGTAACTGATAATTATAGCTAATTGCCACTTATGACACTTATAGCTAATGTAACTAGCAATTATAGCTGATTGCAACTTGTAGTTGACAATTTTGGCTAATTGGCATAACAAATTAAAATTTAACCAAAGGAATTAGCAGATTTGTGAGTATTTTTTTCAATTATAGCATTATTCTGGCCTCGAAGAGGCAGTAATCAGAAACATCATAGCCTGCAAGGAGTTTGCTCAATCTGTACGTACCGCGTATGGCCCAAATGGAATGAACAAAATGGTGATCAACCACATAGAGAAGCAATTTGTTACCAGCGATGCTGCCACCATAATCAGGGAACTGGATGTGGAACACCCAGCTGCCAAGCTTATGATTATGGGCAGTCAAATGCAAGACGCTGAAGTTGGGGATGGTACCAACTTTGTCATCATTTTGGCTGGGGCTCTTCTCGAGTGTGCTGAAGAACTTATTCGTTTGGGTGAGATATAGACTCATTATTACAATGAGGGAATAATGATATTGATATTCGTATTATTTTCAACAAAGGCATAAAGTCCTGATTAACTTAATATCAAACAGTTAAAAATGTATGTCATCAGTGCCAAAGATACTTTTCTAAATACTTGATCTTAAAAATCGGGATTTCCCAAAATTGTATTATTCCTACATTCCCATATCACTGATTTTTTAGCTATTTTAATTATTTCTGATAACCTGGGATGTTCTTGTTTTGTCATATATTGTACAGGGTGCGTCAGCTATTACTTTTTTTTCTATTTGAAAAAAAAACACGCTTTTTACGAGGTGAAATCGATTTTTTTTATCGATAAATGATTAACAATCCAACAAATTCCAGGCTCTGTAGGGCGTCCATGTCGGTCAAAACTAGTGCGAAGTTTGTGAAAAGTATTTTTTATATTTCTACCATTTTCGTACTAAGTTTGGATAACCAAAATGCGTTGTTGTGTTGTAAACGAATCCATGACTATGAATGGCATACCTTTGACGGTTCATTTATGCATATCACATGACTTTAGATTCACATGGTAACACATAAACTTATAAGTAAAAAAAAGTAATAGCTGGCGCACCCAGTATAATTGATCATGAAAATGGGTGTTAGCTTTTGAATTATTTCTCACAGGTAATTAAATTAAAATATATAAATTATATTTTGATAATTGAATTATGTCCATTATTTCTGATAACAATACTTTTTTCTGTATAGGTATAACTCCTACAGAAATTGCAGAAGGTTATGAGAAAGGCCTAGACAAATGCCTAGAAATTCTTCCTACCTTGATTACACACGAGATAAAAGACGCCAAAAATTATGAAGAGGTGAAAAAGGGCATCAAGACAGCTATTATGTCAAAACAGTATGGAAATGAAGACTTTTTAGCTGATCTAGTTGCTAAAGCTTGCATCTCCATAATGCCTGAACAGACCACCTTCAACGTAGATAATGTCAGGGTCTGCAAAGTGCTCGGTGGAGGTTTACACAACTCAGAGGTACCTAAACATATTTTGAATTACTAAACTTTTTGACAAAGGAAACTGTTAAAAACAGTACACCTTTTCAAACGAAATATTGATGCAGATATTTATATGCACATTTCAAGGTGATTTATTTGTAGGTGATCCAAGGCATGGTCTTCAAAAAGCAAGTGGAAGGTGAGGTGACCAAGGTAGAAAAAGCAAAAGTGGCAGTATACAGTTGTGCAGTAGACATCCTGCAGACAGAAACAAAGGGCACGGTGCTGATTAAAACTGCCGATGAACTGATGAACTTCAGCCGCGGCGAAGAGAGCCTTTTGGAGAACCAGATCAAGGCCATTGCAGACACTGGGTGCAAGGTTATTGTGTCAGCAGCGAAATGTGGAGATATGGCATTGCATTATCTCAACAAGTATGGGATTATGATTGTCAAGCTCAATTCTAAGTTTGACTTGAGGAGGCTAAGCAAAACTGTGAGTATATTTTGATAAAGACCTTCAAAAGAAAAAGGACCAGATACTCTAGCACAATCAACTTTTTGTCATCATTATCTAGGTGATTACAATCATCCTTATCTTTATAGGTTGGAGCTACAGTGTTGCCAAGATTGACAGCTCCCACACCACAAGAGCTGGGGTACGTGGATTTGGTTTGCGTGGAAGAACTTGGTGACACCCCATTGGTTGCGTTTAGACAGGAGGGCAAAGAGTCCAGGATAGCTACAGTGGTGATTAGAGGCGCCACTGATAATTATATGGATGATATTGAGAGAGCTATTGATGACGGTGTGAACACATTCAAGGTAACTTGAGCTTTTTATCCAATTTTGATTTTTCTTCATGTCCCATCCAAATTGATATTTTTATTCCAGACTCGCAATATTGACAAAAAAGTCAGTTTTGTAGCATTTTTTTTTTTTTGTAAATTAGCCTTGCAGAAATGAGACAAAATGTGGAATATAAGTATACTAAGTGACATATAAATCCGAACACCCAGTTTAAATGGTTTTATTTTAATAAAATTTTGTATAAGTACTTAATGAAGCATAATAAGTAAATGATAAAAATTTCAAAATGACTGCACCCTGATGTGCTACGCATTCTCCAACGCGCCTAGGCATGCTTCTGATCAGGTGGTCAATGTCCTCCTGTGGTATCTCATTCCAGGCAACCACCAACTCCTCTCGAAGTGCTTCTAGAGTCTGAGGAGGACGTTGCAAATTGAGCAATCTCCTACCCATCATATCCCACACGTGCTCAATTGGGGATAAGTCGGGAGATCTTGGTGGCCATGGTAACAATGTGACATCATTACGTTGAAAGAAGTCTATTGTGACTCTTGCAACATGTGGTCGGGCATTATCTTGTTGGAAAGTTGGATCTGCCAGGGTGTCAAGATAGGGTAAAAGATGGGGTTCTAGAACTTCGTGGATATAACGCTGCGCGTTCATGTTACCTCTGATGAAGATTAAAGGTGACCTGAAACCATAAGCTATAGCACCCCAAACCATAACTCCAACAATGTGATGAACATGTCTTTCAACAAAAAACTGTGGATTCCTCGTTTCACCACGTCGCCTTCTAACCCTGGCACGACCATCGTGCATGCCTAAACAAAATCGAGACTCGTCACTAAAGACAATACTGTTCCATTCCTGATCCCAGAGTGACCGTTGTCTGCACCACTCAAGGCGATTAAGTCGGTGTTCTCGAGTTAAAGGGAGGACCCAGTGTGGCCGGTATGAAAACAAGCCAAAACTTCTCATTCGTCGGTAAACACTTCGCATGCCAATAGGTCTTCCGTGTTCTGCAAACCATTCATTTGCAATGGACCTGGTAGTGGAGAAACGGTCCCTTAAGGCCAATAATCTTAGGCGGCGATCTTCACGGTCTGTTGTTCTACGGCGGCGTCCAGTGCCCCTTGCTCTTTGCGTACGGCCTTCTCGAAGCCATGCCTGACAACACCTAACCACAGTGTCTACACTTCTTTGCACTCTAACTGCAATTGCCCGAAAAGAAAGTCCAGCTTCCCGAAGTCCCACTATACGGCCCCTATCAAACTCACTAAGTTGACGAAATCGTACAGGTCTCCGTACTCTAGGCATCGTAAATCGTAACCGATCGTAAAGGATGTCAAGAACCAAAATCCGCCAACGTTGATTCTTTACTGCGGCTGAAATATTCATTTTTAGAGCGTTAGTGAATTAAAAAAAAGCAGTATAAAAACCGGAATGTCCAACTGATAAGGCTGAAAATTTTTTCACTTGTTATTTACAGTAAGATAAATACATTCACCAACTTTTATTAAAATAAAACCATTTAAACTGGGTGTTCGGATTTATATGTCACTTAGTATACATACATAGAGGATACTGAGCCGATCAACGATTTTTGTGAATAGGACAAGCAATCTTGGCAGACTGAACAAGATATCTTCAAACTAGCCTATATGGATCATCCGAACATTCTGCATTACATTGGCGTCGAGAAGAGAGGAGACAATCTCCAAGCTGAATTCTGGTTGATAACAGCATTATTATTATAATTAAATTATTTTTTGGCGTACGATATTTATACGCTTTCTATCGTGATATTTTCACGCATAGATCTCCCCTTAAGACTTAGCAGCCCTCAAATAAATTCACAAATATACTGAGTGAACACCTACGTATGTTTATTAGAATTCAGGAATTTTTTTCATATCGATTTATCTTGCCATGAATAACAAGTGATAAAATGGTCAAGTTTTTCTGTTGAGTTTTTGTGGTGGTTGCGTGTATTGTTTGGTCATAAAGAAGCTTCTGCGCTCAGTTGACGAATCAAGCTGAAAATTTAATCTTTCTACTAATAAGGGACACGGAACATATATGCCAAAAATTATTAAAATCCTGTTTTTGGGCATGGGTCAACTTCACTGAGACAGGGCTCGTACATGCTCCTAGTTATGATTTGTCTAGTGGGCTAAACTTCAACCTTTTTACGCTTTTTTTTCTTCTTTACAGTGTCTGACTCGCGATGGACGCCTGGTGGCAGGTGCCGGCGCTTGCGAAGCGGAACTGGCGGTACAGTTGACGAAATACGCGGATACTCTACCCGGATTGGAACAATATGCAGTCAGGAAGTTCGCCACGGCTTTGGAGAGCTTCCCAAGGCTTTGGCAGAGAACAGCGGACACAAATCAACGGCCGTTTTGGAGAAAATCCTGGAGGCGCATCAGGTAAGCAATAGGGACTTTTGTGTATTTTTACGTCGGAGTTTTCTGGAGACATGCCGGAGTTTAAGACTATGAAATTGTAGACTCGCGATGCCTTTATTTTCTTATTGTCATTACTGTTTTTTTATTTTCTTCATGTTATTTTAGACTGGCAAGAAGACGGTAGGAGTAGACATAGACTCCGAGAACACGATCTGCGACGCCGTCGAAAAGGACGTCCAGGACATTTATTCCCAGAAATATTGGGGCCTGAAGTACGCCGTCGGTGCAGCGGCAACAGTACTGCGCGTAGACCAAATCATCATGGCCAAGAAAGCTGGTGGGCCGAAACCAAGACAGCCGCAAGGAAGTGACGACGAATCTTAAAAGGCGCCACGTACGAGTATTTTTCGTATTTTAATCTCACTCACAATGTTCACACATAAGTATTTAATGTACCGCGCAGTTTGTTACTAAGTTTTTGAAATAAACGCAAAACTACACGCGAATTTTTTATTTTGAGTTCGGTGGCGTATCTCTGTGAGTCAGAGGGTTACGGGTGGTGAGGGGAAGCAATATGATTTTCTACACGGAAATTCCCCATGCTGAACCCCAAGGCACTCTTATATTCGTCTAAAGCATCCCACAAACCGGCGCGAAATATTCGCTTTGGCTGCGTATTTCAGTTCGCCTTTGACCGCGTTTTTGACGCCGTTCTTCAAAAATTCGCAATGGCAAAAACGGAATTATTGATAGAAATAGTGAAAAAGTATCCTTGTTTGTATGATTTGTCGAACGATGAATACAGGAATGTGAGAAAGAAAGACAAGATTTGGATGGAAATAGGAAAAGAATTAAATACAAATGGTATGTACCTAATATTTTTTATTAACTTGTTAAATAATTTACAGTCTACACAAATGTGAAAACGAACATTCTATATATTGGGCATAGGCATATCAGAATTAAAATAATTTACGAATTTGTCACGAGTAGAAAATGCTAGCCTTGCTGCCCGCCGAGGATCATTTGCTATATCAGTAAAAGCTCCAAGCACGGGTTCTGGGGGATCTAAGAATTGAAAATATTTGTCATCGCTACTTTTACTTCGTAAAAAATTGTGTAAAACACATGCCGTACGTACAATTAGAATAGTAGTATCTACTTTAGTTTCTAATGGCCTGTAAAATATTCGCCATTTTTGAGACAAAATTCCAAACGCATTTTCCACGACCCTTCTAGCTCGACAAAGTCTTACATTGTATTTCTCTTTTCTGACGTCTGTTAAAGTCTGCTTATAAGGAAATGGTCTCATAAGGTATGGTTTTAAAGCAAATGCTTCATCGCCAATTAAGACGTACGAGCAGATTTCATTTTGCCCAGGGAGAAATCTAGGTGCAGGGACACTCATTAAATTTTGTTCAAATCGTTTTTCCATGTTTGAGGTTTCGAAAATACCCCCATCACAATTTTTTCCGAAACCACCAATATCAACACATATAAATTTATAGTCCGGGCCAACAATGGCCATTAGTACTATTGAATATTTATGTAAATAGCACCAGTAATTGGAGCCACTGTTGTTAGGTCTCTTGATTGTTACATGTTTACCGTCCACGCTGCCAATGCAATTGGGAAATCCCCATCTATTTCAAATTCTTCAGCACATTTTTTCCATATATTCTCTGTTGGTTCTGGTAAATATATATGTTCCATATGTCTGCATATCGCTTCACAGACGTCGGTTACGATTGCACTCACTGTTGTAAAGCCAACTCGAAAGCTATGCCCAATGGTATAGAAGGTGTCACCAGTGGCAAGGAATCTATAAAAAAAATCGTTTTTAGGTGATGAAGTAAAAAAAAGGTGGAAGAATATCAGAGACACATTTGCAAAATATATAAAATCTACCAAACCAAAGACCGGCCAAGCAGTGGGCAAAATAAAGAAATGGCAGTGGGCTGACTACATGGAATTTTTCTGTCCTTTTTTGGCATTTGCTAAAACGTCGTCTAATGTGAAAGATATTGACCTCATACATTATGAGACTGCCGAATTTAACTCAAATATATATCAGGAAAGGACTGGAAATGTAGAAACCGAAAATTTGGAAGACCGCGGCCATGGAGAAGATGAAAATGCTGATGTAGATGCAGAAGATGCACAGAACGCCTCGGCAACACAGACAGCACCACCTTCTTCATTGAACACTACAGCAGTGACTACTCCAGCGCACACCTTTCCGCAGACTGCAACTACAAGAAAATATAAAACGAGCAGAAAACGCTATGAACCACCATCTTCGTCTGTACAACAGCTCATTAATTATTTTGAAGGTAAAAAACCTAAAAAAGAGAACGAGGCCATTGATTCACTTTTCTTGGCACATGCACAGACTGTGAAAACACTTCCCTTAAAGCGTCAAGCCCGAATAAAACTAAAAATAGCCGAATTAGTAGCGCACGAAGAATTTGAACATATTGAAGAAATGTCTTCAGCGTCTACCCAGAATTCTGCAAGTATGTATGATAGTAGTATGTCGTCCTTCCCAAGCGGCACTGGGTTTACTCCAATAATATACCCAACAGAGGAGGCAAATTCTGCCTCGAATTATTTAGCAACATTTAATCCTAGTTTTCGTATTCGATAAGCCTACTAATTTTAATACATATAATTTTTTTACCTGAGTGTAATAGCAAGTCGTTCTTCTGGCGAAATAGCTTCACGATAATTTGTGTCAGATTTTCGTATTTCATCTTTCACCAAGTTCAATATTTCATCGAAACACTCTGGAGTCATTCTAAAATATACGTAAAAGCGCTGTTCATCCAGCCGAAGTTGTGGCATCAAGGTATGGTATTCCCCAAATTTATTTCGTTCCAAGTTAATATCATGTACCCACTTCCTTCGTTTCCTAAACAAAATTGAAAATATTTGTTTTATGTACTTCGTTAAACTTAATACATACCCAACTATGAAATGGCGTTAAATAAACATAACTTACCGTGCATTTTGTTCCTCTTCTAAAGCAAGAAATAGAAGTGCCTCCTCTTCTTCTGAAGACGAGCTCATTGCAAAAGGCAAAAATAAAATGTACGCAACCTGTCGAAACCTTCACGTTCGCGGAGCGAATAAGACGCTTTGGTATGAATAAACAGGCGAAACAGATGCGAATTTCGCTCTGAATTTCGTTGCGAATACTTCGCCGCGATTATTTCGCGCCGGTTTGTGGGATGCTTTAAACTGTTGAGCAGGGGGAGGGGATCTAGGAATAGTGCAAAAAAATAGAATCGTCTCTCGCCCGCCGGCGCTTGGATACGCCCTCGAGGCCAGAGAAACATGACAATACTGACATAAAATATGACGCCCAGAATTATTGAATTTTTATACAATCTTGGAACATACAAATGATCATTGAAAATCAGAATGATCGGCGGTACACTGCGAATGTTCCAACAGGATGGTGCCCCACCACATTACGTGTTCGACAATATTTAGATCAGTCGTTTCCAGATCGATGGATTGGTAGAAGAGGTGCCATTGAATGGCCCCCAAGATCGCCAGATTCATCACCTTTGGAGTTCTTTATGTGGGGTCATTTAAAAAGCGAAACGTTTTGATCAAAGTCTTTATTATTGCATGGAGAGGCATGGTGGCCATTTTCAACATTTACTTGCCTAACGGGTCAGTTCATTCTTCATTTTTAAATTACTTTGTAGCCAAATGTATTGATCTCCACTAATGATGATGTATTAGATTTATTTAAGCTTTAAATCGATAAATCTTCAAAACTACTGAACTGAAGTACATTAATTTTATATCATTATAAAGGGAATTGAAAGACCTTTAGAATAAGGTATCACTCGACCGGGTCCATTTAAGATTTTGGGGGTGGTGTCACCCCCGCTTAGGAGCTGCACGTGTTACCGTGATTTTTTGCCAAACTTGTGTTCCCTCAAAACAAAATCGACGGTTCTAAGCGTTTAAAAAAAAAACAAAACTGTTGAAGAGCAGGGGGAATGGAGCTGGGGGAAGTGCAAAAAAATTGCCTCAACATTAGTCGGGGAAATTAAAGGAAATTGTCTGGTGGAATTAACTTCACAAGCGCTGGCATAGAAAAAATTCCAGTTTTATGTAAAAACAGCTTTATTACAAAATATATAATAGGAAAACTTAACATCATATGGCAGATCAACGTAAAAAATATTTCTGAATGAGATCAAAAGTCAAAGTAGGACTTACTTTTTTCTACTTTCACAGCCGTTGAATCTCGCAAAAAAGTAAATAATACTTTATAGTTTACAAAGAGTTTTTACTATTAGTCCAATCATATTAGACGAAAATACCCCTGGTTTGCGAAATAATTTTCAAGTCTGGTTTTATTGCTGCAAGTTGTTCAAGAGGGTATTCAACACATGGACGCGTAAAATAGGCACATCAATTTTTGTGGGAAAACTTTATTAGACAACAAAGAATGAGAAAACGTGTTTTTGGGGATTTAATCGAAAGTGGTGGCAGTAACGAAAAAACTATTTATATAAGATTTTTAGGTATCGATGAGACCTACAAAATGAGACCACACGTAAAAAGATCCGACTAATATCAAAAAAGTTATGGACGAAAACCGAGGCAGGTTTTGGCTACTATGGATCTCGCAGATGCTTGAAATTTTCCAAATTCGTAGGATTCGTACTTCTAAATAACCACAACAAAATAGGAATACATTGGTCAAGTAGTTTTTGAGAATTTCTAACTATCCCAAAATATCTGTTTTCCGGCCAACACTACTAGATGATTCAGCAATATGCGATTAGTTCAAATGGCATTTTATAGCAAAATACACTAATTTACCTTGCCGATATAAATCGCATACCGTTCCGGAAGATAAATGTTATTTTTATGCAAAAAAGGATGGGTTACGTTTTTCCTTCTAAACAAATTCAAACATTTCGTATTTGTGAGTAATTTGCAACAAAAGATGGTAGATACATCCGCTTTGTTTTAAAATGTGTATAGTAACAAATGTTTTCCGAATATCGTAGTGCATTTGTTCAATTACTCACAAATACGAAAGGTTTGGATTTGTTTAGAAGAAAAAAACGTAAACTTTGTTTTTCGCATAAAAATAACAGTTATCTTTGGGAATGGTTTGTGATTGATATCGGCAAGGTAAACACGTGTATTTTGCTATTAAATGCTCTTTGAACGAACCCTGTATATTGCTCAATAAACTAGTAGTAATGGCCGGAAAACAGGTGTTTTGGGATAAACAATTAGGAATTATCAAGAAACTACTTGACCAATATACTCCAATTTTATGGTTGTTATTTAGAAGTATGAATCCGAACGATTTGAAGAATTTCGAGTAGTTGCGTGGAATTATCGTCGCATAAGTGCCAAAACATTTGCCTCGTTTTTTGGTCATAATATTTTTGCTATCAGTCGAATCTTTTTACGTGTGGCCTCATTTTGTAGGTCTCAAAAATACCTAAAAATATTATATAAAAAGTTTTTTCGTTCCTATCAACACTTTCGATTAAATCCCTAAAAACACTCTCATTCTTTGTAGTCAAATAAAAAGTTTCCCCGCAAAAATCGGTGTACCCATTTTATACGTCCATATTTTAAATACCCCCTTGAACAACTTGTACCAATAAAACCAGACTTTACAATTATTGCCGGGAAATTTGCTAATATGATTATTTAGTACTTATTGTCACTGATTATATATACATATATAGTACAAGTATAACAAAATAACGCGTCGATCTGACGCGATATTATTTAAACTTAAATATACTTTCCTCACGAATAACATAAATATATCCTCTTAGATGAAAAAAGGCAAACAAAAATATATTTCTGAAAAAAAAAACAAAAACGATATCCTCGCGATACGCCACAAAAACAAATATAAACATATATTAAAAAGTTAATCCTGCGAATAATTTAGACCCCCAGCTTGACTTGAAGCATCGTGTGATACATCTTTTTTGGTTCAAAATATACTATTAGATATTTTTCAGGGTCAAACTTTTCGCGGGTTATACCGAATCGACACACATGATATTGCATTTTTTAACTGCTCATCGAGTCTCACTCAATACTGTGGAGGGAACACAAAACCTTGCGACGTGACCCCCGGTGTGTACCACGTGGACGGCGGAGTGGGCGGGAAGACGAAGGTGTTCCTGGGCATGTAAGACATCGCGTCTACTGCCGGAGAGGCGTACATCATCTGAGTCGGAGACATCAGTACTTCGGACATCTCTTGGGGTTGAACGGCGTACAGTACAGGGGTACCTAAAAAAGGAAGGCGTGGCTTTAAGACATTTTTTTTTCTTTTGTAGAAAAGATAATATATCAATAATATTGGAAACCATTCTTTTAAAACTACGGTAGCTATCAATGTCTCTAAGTAGAGTATTATACAGGGTGGGCCATAAGAGTGTTGACGATTTAAAACTTAAATTTCTCAGAAGCGCAGCGTGCATTTATATAAATGATATCTCTGACATTTTAGAACACTGCAAAATTCGAATATTTACGGACGATACACTTATATATATATACAGGGTGTTTCAGTTTATTTTTGCATAACTTTAAGATTCGATAGAACATTTAAAATTAATGCATAAAGTTTTTTTTTAAATATTTCGAACAATATTTGATGTAAAACAGTGAAAATTGGTATACAAGGGTTTTTTGGTACGACAAAACGAACTATGGGCATAGTTTTACTGTAGCCGCTAGAGGGCGCTCTCTACTGTACCTGTAGTGTATTAAAATGACCGAAAATTTTTTCTTAGTGCAATTTTTTGCTTTTTGAATAAAAAAACTGATTCTTCGCACTTTTCAACATAAAAAAGCTCTCTTGTGAATTTTCGTTATAGTTAGCCGTTTTTGAGATATTTCGATGTTTAAGGTTCGATGCATTTTTAATTATTTATGATAAAATAACGTTAAAAAGTCAGTATCTCGATAATTTTTAGAAGTAGGCTGTGCCTGCAAATATTTTTGAAATTGAAAGCAGAATAAGATTAAACGTCAATTAGTTGACAGTTAGTTTTGTTGTCTGTTGAAACCTGAAACGTTTTTTTGCAATTGTGAATGCACGAAATTTAGTTTCTTTTACCTGTTTTTTTTTGTAAGTTTTATAAAAATTCCATTTTTATTCTCCAATCAAGAGTTAGCAGATATTCATTTTGTGTATGGCTTTGTAAATGGAAACGCAGCAGAAGCAGCCAGACAATACGCACGAAGATTTCCAAACAGACGACATCCAACCCGCTCAGTATTTGTAAGAGTGCATCGCCAAATAATTGAAAATGGTTTTGGAAATCTTCAAAGGAATCAAAACATAAATGTTCATCAGCGCAGATTTACCCGTATGATTCTGCGTGAGTTTGATAGAGATCCGACCACAAGTGTTACGAGAGTTTCTGGTGCCTTGGGAATTTCAGCAAGCCATGTTCACCGTGTTCTTAGAAATGACCATAGACGTCCTTACCATTTGCAACCTGTGCAAGGACTACAGCCAGGGGACGGAGAACGAAGAATCACATTTTGTCAGTGGATTCTTGATAGAACTGATAATAATAGGGAGTTTTTAAGTAACGTTTTATGGACCGATGAGTCATGCTTCACTAGACGTCGAGTGGTAAATTTTCATAATCAACATATCTGGTCACATGAAAATCCGCATGCAGTTCGGGAAAGAAATTTTCAGCATGAATTTAGTGTGAACGTGTGGATTGGTATCTACCGTAATCGACTATTTGGACCCTACCTTTTGCCTGCAAGGTTAAATGCTTCGACCTTCTTGGAATTTTTAAAGGCTGAACATGCAAATATGTGGGATGATGTTATGTTAGATTTAAGAAGATTGGCCTGGTTCCAGCTTGATGGTTGTGCAGCTCATTATTCGAGAATAGTTAGAAACTGGCTGGACGAAAATTATCCAGAATGATGGATCGGCCGTGGAGGACTAGTCGCCTGGCCTTCACGATCCCCTGACCTAAATCCATTAGATTTCTTTGTGTGGGGATTTCTAAAAGAAAAAGTGTACCAGACTCCCGTAACCACAAGAGATATGCTAATAGACAGAATCAGGAATGCATGTGATGAAATAAGGCCTTATTTGAATAATGCTATACCACGTTCGATCATTCGTAGACGTGAATTGTGTATTGAACAATTGGGTTTACATTTCGAGCAACTACTTTAGATTTTGTATGTTTGTCCTAACTATCCAATAGCATTTTAGTTGTAAATAATTAATTTAATTTGTTAAAAATAATATTGGAAAATTAAACAAATTAATATTCTGTTTTTCTGTGTTTATTTGGAGTTAGGAATTATCGCTGTGTTTAAAACCACAATCTAAACGATCATCTTAATTACTTGTAATGCCCAAATCGAAAATGTAAAAAAATATTATTTTCCCATAAATAATTAAAAATGCATCGAACCTTAAAAATCGAAATATCTCAAAAACGGCTAACTATAACGAAAACTCACAAGATAGCTTTTTTATGTTGAAAAGTGTGAAGAATCAGTTTTTTTATTCAAAAAGTAAAAAATTGCACTAAGAAAAAATTTTCGGTCATTTTAATACACTACAGGTACAGTAGAGGGCGCCCTCTAGCGGCTACAGTAAAACTATGCCCATGGTTCGTTTTGTCGTACTAAAAAACCCTTGTATACCAATTTTCACTGTTATACATCAAATATTGTTCGAAATATTTAAAAAAAAACTATTTTAGAAAGTAAATTTAAACACCCTGTATTTCGAAAGCCACGCATTTTTCGACCCATGTTTATATAGACTTTATGCATTAATTTTAAAAGTTCTATCGAATCTCAAAGTTATGCAACAATAAACTGAAACACCCTGTTATACACTTTTTCTACTTCCTTGTGTTACCGACCCGCGATATAGTACGGTCATTATATGATACGGTATAAATATTAATGGAATCTGGTTCACCTGTATAAATTATACATTTGATCAATGTGCAATAACCTAAAAAGCTCTAATGGTTTGAATGTAGCGAATCTAAAAAATCGCATTGTTTCGATACAGTCACATAAGTTCACATAATATGACTGGGATATAAAGACCTGAATAATGACGATTTACGCGGCAGAATGCTTAGAGAAAACCAGGCATGGACAGCGCCGAAAGCGGAGCTGCTTTATTCCTTAGAAAATACCACGCATATCGATTTCTCTTAGTTAAAAGCCCGTATCTACTGAGTACATACCAATCTTTATAAAAAAAAATACTAAGTGTAAATGCAATTTTTGGCATTTACGGGGAAACTATTTCCGTTCAAAAAACACTGAAAAATGTAAAATAGGGGTTTTTCTCTATATAGATATGTGGCATAAATCATGATTATTCGTTTGGTGCAAATATCTCAATTGTTGGACATACGGGGGTCTTTTTAATAGGGCAGTACTTGTATGAGGATCATCCAACGCCAAATTAACCACTTCCAGTTCCTCTTGAACAGTATGCCGGATAACATGGCATATAACTCCGTGAAGTTTGGCAATTCCATATTGCCGAAGTCTTATAAATGAACGCTTCAAAACCTGTGCGATAGGTTGGCGTCTTTTGTACGTTGATACTTCAAAGAAGCCGCTAAAGCATTTCCATTACAGAACACGTACAAAAAAATAATATAGGCGTACTCATCATTGCTAAATTCCATTTCACGACACTCAAAAATGGAAAAAAGAAACTTGACTGTTACAAAAAAAAGTGGTAGTAGTAACGATAATAAGGGTATAACATACAACTTTGAGAAACTATATCAGAATAAACGTCAAGTTGGTATCAATGCCTCCTATTTTATTTTGAAACTAATTGTATCTCGGCTCCGCGTGAATGATCTAATTTGTTTTATTTTTACGAAAACAGTGCACTGTAGGACAAAAACAAGAGTAACTATTTGTAGCATATTTGGCATACTATTTTTATTTGCCACTAATCCTCTGTAGTTCCGCCACTGGTGCACGTTAATTCCAAGTAAAGGCTTTTGCATGTGGACTATACTTAGGTAAATCCACATAAATTTTAGTTGATTCCAGTTGACGATTTTGAAGATATTAAAAAAATCCAACAGCCCTCGTGGAAAAAATGTTCCATAGAAGACCCCCCTCAAATTGCGGTACTCCGTACGATGTTTCGTCGTTGGTCACGACTTGTGAATCACCCCGAATAATCCCTACAATAATTCACGAACCTGGAGGAACTGTAATAACAGACGGGAACATCTTCACGGCCGTGTTCGGACTGGGCGGCGTGAGGTTCAAGGTCAACCTCGGCCTCTCGTGCATCAGCGTCGTCTCCGTCTGCGCAGGTTGCGGCATCGCTTCGTACCCGTTCGTCTGCGGCTGCTGTTCGACCACCAACGGCGATTGAGCAACCTCGACGTACTGCTGCTCCGATTGGTCGACGATCGGTTGCCTCGTCGCGTCGTCAGACTGCTGCTGGTACTCGGACGGAGCGTACAACCACGGGTAGTTTTGCTGCGGGTATACGTTGCTGACGTGGTAGTTGTAGTAGAAGGGGTTGTTCACGTCTGCGAAAAAAACGGCGCCAAGTAGGTCGACTCTACGCTTGCTACGCCTTCGTTGGAGGTTCCAACGGAAACGGACGAGTCGAATCGTGGTTCGGTAGGTATAGTAGACGACAACGATATTGTGTTCGTTTACGTTTATTGTATATATGGAAAAACAATCGGCAAATATAGTAAACATGGTCTTACATCAGAGAATGGAGAGTTTCTCATAGATTTTGTTTTGATACAAAAGGAAGAGGTAAGAAGTATAAAAAAGGAACAGAAAAAATGAAAAATGAACCGTTAGAAACACAGGAAGATAGAGATAGATATAAGAGAATATTAAATGAAGAACTAGAGACAGCAAAAATAGAGGAATTGTACAGTGTGGATGAAAAATGGAATTTGATGTAAAGGAACAAATGGAAAAATGTGTCAGAATGTGAGCAAAAAACGAGTAAAAGCAAAATAAATGGTTCCGATGAGGAGTGTGAAAGGGAATTAAAAGAGAGGAATAAGTTGCGTTTGTTAGCGACAGAAGCAAATAAACTAAAGTATACAATACAACGGGAAGCATGTAAGAAACTGCTTAGGGAAAAGAAGAGGAAAGATAAAGAAAGACAGCTTTGTGGAAGGCAGATATAAATAACCTAGAAGTGTGGGAAAGAAACGTATTAAGGAAAATTTTTGGAGGGAAACAACAATGGGAAAGAAGAACAAACCAAGACTTTGCAGATATGTATAAAGGATCAAGTATCACAGGATATATAAGAGCGCAAAGGTTGAAATGGTTAGGGCATGTAGAAAGGATGGCAGAAAATAGGATTCCAAAAATTATTGTTAGCAGAAGCATAGGAGGCAAGAAGAGGAGGGGGAGACCGAAGGAAAGATGGAAGAGCGAAGTAGAAGCTGATCTGAGAAGCTTAGGTGTACAAAAGCATGTGTCAAAATAAGAAGGCCTGTAGAGCTATGTATATATACAGGGTGTCCCAGAAGTCGACGTCAAGCCGAAACCAGGTGATAGGCAAAGTCATAACAGCTATCAGAAAAATATTTAAAAAAATTTTATGTATGTGTTTTGAAAATTATAGGTCTTTGAAAAAAATATAGAAATTTCACACCCTACGGCAGTCTATCAACTCCTGTTACTACAAATATTATCTTTTTTTGGATTTTATTTTTACAATGTAATGATGAATAATGCATCTTCAAACTGGTGTCTCAACCTTACTGCCAACTTTTCTCGTTCAGAAAAAATTGCCACTTATTTCCCAACCAAGTATTCCAAAGTAAAACTTTGCTCAACTTTAACTGGCTGTACTGGAAAAAAATGTACTACGAGAGTTTGGCAAGTAACCTTAAAAGTTGGCGCATTTAATAAGGATTCCAAAATGGTATAACACTTAGAAGATTACTCGTTAACTTATGCACAATTTTTATTTGAAGAAAAACTGATGAACATTTTTCAAAATTAAACAGCGATTATGAAAACGCACAAGGACCCTTAAGGATAACTGTTTGCACAACAGTGGGCGTCAAAATGCTGCTGATGATGATTTACCTCTACAGCAAAAGCTCAAACTGTTTTCCTTCAGCCGCAATACACGCTCGACATCTTCTTAAAAAATATCGGGTTATTAAACGAGCGAATCCACGGTTATTAACAAACTCAGCTGCTTCCAATAGTCTTTGCCGTAGCTCAGCTACATTTTGAATCGGCTTGAAATACACTTTTTCTTTTACAGTTCCGCAGTAAAAAAAATCTAACGGATTCAAATCTGGTGACCGGGCTGGCCACGGTATTGTACCAGACCGCCCTATCCATCTGCCTGGAAAGTTTTGATCGAGATACTCTCTCACTGAGAGTGCATAGTGCGCTGGGCAACCATCATGCTGAAACTACATGTCCCTGTAAATACTCAGTGGCACGTTCTCCAATAAATTTTCTAAATGATTTTGCAAAAAACCTGAATAAACCTCAGCAGTCAAAGTCTCTGGGAACTCAAACGGACCGATTATTTTACCATTTAAAATTCCTGTCCAATGGGTTATCTTGAAGCGATATTGAGATTTATCTTCTCTCATCAAATGTGGGTTTGCTACGTGCCAATCGTGTAAGTTATGCAGGTTCATGTACCCATCTTTCTTAAATGTGGTCTCATCCGACCATAAAATTTTTTCAAAGAACTGTGGATCTTCCCTATGTCTTTCTAACATTGTGCGACAAAAAGCAACTCGGGGCTCATAATCCCGGGGCAGAAGAGCTTGAACACGCTGTACGTGGTATGGATGGAGCACGTTTTTTTGCAAGATTCTATGGGCTGTACTTTTGGGCACACCTGTTTTTAGTTCTATTGCACGCACTGAAGTACTCGGGTCTTCTTCGACAGCTCCTAGCACCACGTCTTTATTTGGATTTTTTGAAAAATCATGTACAAAATTTATTGGTGGACGTGCCACTGAGTATTTACAGGGACATGTGGTTTCAGCATGATGGCTGCCCAGCGCACTATGCACTCTCAGTGTGAGAGTATCTCGATCAAAACTTTCCAGGCAGATGGATAAGGCGGTCTGGTACAATACCGTGGCCAGCCCGATCACCTGATTTGAATCCTTTAGATTTTTTTACTGGGGAACTGTAAAAGAAAAAGTGTATTTCAAGCCGATTCAAAATGTAGCTGAGCTACGGCAAAGACTATTGGAAGCAGCTGAGTTTGTTAATAACCGTGGATTCGCTCGTTTAATAGCCCGATCTTTTTTAAGAAGATGTCGAGCGTGTATTGCGGCTGAAGGAAAACAGTTTGAGCATTTGCTGTAAAGGTAAATCATCATCAGCAGCATTTTGACGCCCACTTTTGCGCAAACAGTTATCCTTAAGGGTCCTTGTGCGTTTTCATAATCGCTGTTTAATTTTGAAAAATTTTCATGTTTTTTTCAAATAAAAATTGTGCATAAGTTAACGAGTAATCTTCTAAGTGTTATACCATTTTGGAATCGTTATTAAATGCGCCAACTTTTAAGGTTACTTGCCAAACTCTGGTAGTACATTTTTTTCCAGTACAGCCAGTTAAAGTTGAGCAAAGTTTTACTTTGGAATACTTGGTTGGGAAATAAGTGGCAATTTTTCCTGAACGAGAAAAGTTGGCAGTAAGGTTGAGACACCAGTTTGAAGATGCATTATTCATCATTACATTGTAAAAATAAAATCCAAAAAAAATTAATATTTGTAGTAACAGGAGTTGACAGACTGCCATAGGGTGTGAAATTTCTATATTTTTTTCAAAGACCTATAATTTTCAAAACACATACATAAAATTTTTTTAAATATTTTTCTGATAGCTGTTATGACTTTGCCTATCACCCGGTTTCGGCTTGACGTCCACTGCTGGGACACCCTGTATATATATATATATAATTTTTTTCTGCTTCCTTGGGTTACCGACCTGCGATATAGTACGGTCATTATATGATACGGTATAAATATCAGTCGAATCTGGTTCAGCTGTATAAATTACACATTTGATCAATGTGCAATAACCTAAAAAGCTCTAATCGTTTGAATGTAGCGAATCTAAAAAATCACACTGTCGATACTGTCACATAAGTACACATAATGTGACTGGGCTATATATTTTCAGTTCGAAGTGCCATAATATTCGAACTTCGATTCACATGTTTCCTGTTGCCTATAAAAAAAAAAATAAAACCGATCTGATTCATGCTATGAGTTTTATTGATTTTTGAAAAAAGGAAGTAATGTTGCCGCACCGTTATTTTCCGAGGATAAAAGGTAGCCTATACCCTACCCCAGACCATAATCTATCTCTGAACCAAATTTCATGCAGATCCGTTCAGTCATTTTGGCGTGATTGAGAAACAAACGTCCACACTTGCTTATTCATAATATTAAAGCAGATATTACATATTTATCGCCGTATCAATTATAATCCCGTAAGTTTTGTCTTTACTCACCGTGGTATGGAATGACATCTGGAGTAACCGGTGCTGAGGCAACCACTGTCTTATAGTTGAACGGTTGAGGCGCTTGAGGCCACACAAACGGAGTTGGAGTCAACGGGGTCCCATACGGTTGCCATCCATAGGGATACCTACATAACAAATTCGAATTTTTACACATCTATCCGAGATATAGAGAGCTGGATCAAATTTAAAAATAACGTTTTCAAGTATTTGAGTGTGAAATATGTTTACTCTACAAAGTAAACAGGACTTTCGAAAAATATCCGATACACGTAACAGAGACTAGCGTTGGATAGGTACATCTTTCATTGAAGCCGTGTCAAAATTTCACGACAATCGTACCACTTCACGCGGAGTTATCGCGCTCAAAGTGACAGTACCTTTTTAGCATCCGTCGAGAAACAAACCATCAGATCGGAATAGGACCTCTGAAGAAGCTTGCCACTCGTGCTAGCGAAATGTTAGGAAGAAATTCCAACCGACGACGGCATTTAAACCCGAATCAAGACAGCAGTTTATCAACTGGCCGCGAAAGCCTTAACCAATTTGTCAATAAAACCAGACATTCTCAAACCGGGGGTATTTTCGTCTAATATGATTAGACTAGTGGTGGAACAAACACTGTTAACTCACTCTGTATTATATTCCATTTATGGTGATATTTTAACATTCTATGTGACCTTTGTTTGAAATTTGGTTAAATCATACTACTATTCTACTCCCTTGTTTGCAAGAATTCGCTTCCGGAAGATTTATCTACTCACTATGAAATTATGCTGCGAACCTCAACATACAAATAATAGATAAATGCGTACCTATTTTGAGCGGCTGAAGGATCAGGTGTAGTTTCAGTGCTTTCAGCTACAGTGTAGTCAGTCTGCGTTTCAGTCGACGTTCCAACAGTTTGGTTGTTATTCTGCTCAATCGGTGTCGAAGGCTGCATTTGCTGTAATAATCAAATTTTGTTAGAATGCATTTCTTTATTTGATACAAAAAACAATATGCTACTAAAGAAACCTGGAGAGAGCTTAATATCGTCCAAAAGTGTTGATCAGATTTTTCCTAAGTGCAAAGTCCACGATAGATTAAAAATACAGTTACAGTAAGTTTAAAAGGTTATACAGGGTGTCCCAGAAGTCTACGTCAAGCCGAAACCGGGTGATAGGCAAAGTCATAACAGATATCAGAAAAAAATTAAAAAAAATTTTATGTATGTGTTTTGAAAATTATAGGTTTTTGAAAAAGATATAGAAATTTCACACCCTACGGCAGTCTGTCAACTCCTGTTACTACAAATATTAACTTTTTTTGGATTTTATTTTTACAATGTAATGATGAATAATGCATCTTCAAACTGGTGTCTCAACCTTACTGCCAACTTTTCTCGTTCAGGAAAAATTGCCACTTATTTCCCAACCAAGTATTCCAAAGTAAAACTTTGCTCAACTTTAACTGGCTGTACTGGAAAAAAATGTACTACCAGAGTTTGGCAAGTAACCTTAAATGTTGGCGCATTTAATAACGATTCCAAAATGGTATAAGATTACTCGTTAACTTATGCACAATTTTTATTTGAAAAAAAAACTGATGAAAATTTTTCAAAATTTCCTAATTAAACAGCGATTATGAAAACGCACAAGGACCCTTAAGGATAACTGTTTGCACAACAGTGGGCGTCAAAATGCTGCTGATGATGATTTACCTTTACAGCAAATGCTGAAACTGTTTTCCTTCAGCCGCAATACACGCTCGACATCTTAAAAAAGATCGGCTTATTAAACGAGCGAATCCAGGGTTATTAACAAGCTCAGCTGCTTCCAATAGTCTTTGCCGTAGCTCAGCTACATTTTGAATCGGCTTGAAATACACTTTTTCTTTTACAGCTCCCCAGTAAAAAAATCTAAAGGATTCAAATCAGGTGATCGGGCTGGCCACGGTATTGTACCAGACCGCCTTATCCATCTGCCTAGAAAGTTTTGATCGAGATACTCTCTCACTGAGAGTGCATAGTGCGCTGGGCAGCCATCATGCTGAAACCACATGTCCCTGTAAATACTCAGTGGCACGTCCACCAATAAATTTTGTACATAATTTTTCAAAAAATCCAAATAAACTTCAGCAGTCAAAGTCTCTGGGAACTCAAACGGACCGATTATTATACCATTTAAAATTCCTGTCCAATGGTTTATCTTGAAGCGATATTGAGATTTATCTTCTCTCATCAAATGTGGGTTTGCTACGTGCCACTCGTGTAAGTTATGCAGGTTCATGTACCCATCTTTCTTAAATGTGGTCTCATCCGACCATAAAATTTTTTCAAAGAACTGTGGATCTTTCCTGTGTCTTTCTAACATTGTGCGACAAAAAGCAACTCGGGACTCAGAATCCCGGGGCAGGAGAGGTTGAACACGCTGTATGTGGTAGCAAACCCACATTTGATGAGAGCAGATAAATCTCAGTGAGAGAATATCTCGATCAAGACTTTCCAGGCAGATGAATAAGGCGGTCTGGTACAATACCGTGGCCAGCCCGATCACCTGATTTGAATCCTTTAGATTTTTTTACTGGGGAACTGTAAAAGAAAAAGTGTATTTCAAGCCGATTCAAAATGTGGCTGAGCTACAACAAAGACTATTGGAAGCAGCTGAGTTTGTTAATAACCGTGGATTCGCTCGTTTAATAACCCGATATTTTTTAAGATGTCGAGCGTGTATTGCGGCTGAAGGAAAACAGTTTGAGCATTTGCTGTAAAGGTAAATCATCATCAGCAGCAGTTTGACGCCCACTGTTGTGCAAACAGTTATCCTTAAGGGTCCTTGTGCGTTTTCATAATCGCTGTTTAATTAGGAAATTTTGAAAAATTTTCATCAGTTTTTCTTCAAATAAAAATTGTGCATAAGTTAACGAGTAATCTTCTAAGTGTTATACCATTTTGGAATCCTTATTAAATGCGCCAACTTTTAAGGTTACTTGCCAAACTCTCGTAGTACATTTTTTTCCAGTACAGCCAGTTAAAGTTGAGCAAAGTTTTACTTTGGAATACTTGGTTGGGAAATAAGTGGCAATTTTTCCTGAACGAGAAAAGTTGGCAGTAAGGTTGAGACACCAGTTTGAAGATACATTATTCATCATTACATTGTAAAAAAATCCAAAAAAGTTAATATTTGTAGTAACAGGAGTTGATAGCTGTTATGACTTTGCCTATCACCCGGTTTCGGCTTGACGTCGACTTCTGGGACACCCTGTATAATGGACTAAGGTACTTACCAAAGGCATGCCGACATAGTTTTCGATTGGTTCAGACGTGGCAGGAAGTACTGATACTAAACTGCTTTCACTTTTGGTACGTTTCTTATCTTTGTTCTTTTTCTTGTGAGATCTCTGCGGATGTCTGACGTCTACCGGAGGTTTTTCAGGTGAAAGAACTAGATTCTTCATGAATCTAAAAACGTGCGCAATTGAATAATACGAATATGATAAAACGTCCCCTTCGCGGACGAATAAGTAACCAAAGAAGCAGCGCAAATCAGGATTTCAGCATGAAAATACGCAAAGTGAAGACCAGTTAAATGAGGCTGAAACACCTGACATAGAAGATGACTTACCATTTAATATATCCTCAAAAATAAGAATTTATTGACATTGACTGATAATGAAAACCTTTACGATTTGTTGAACGTAGATGAAAGTTTGTATGTTGCAGATCCAGTCCAAAAAATTGAAAATCCAGTTGCAATACAAGAACTTTCCGAAGATTCTGATGTCGATGAGGTTCCAGTACCTTGAGAAGCTATTCCAAATTATGGTATAGCTCAAAAGTTTTGTCGTAAATCAGGGAGCTTTTTTCTAAATTAGAAATACGATTTCAACAACAAAATTCAAAGTTGTACGATCTCTTTGATTTCGTTTAAATTACGAGATTTTTGTTAAGGAATACCTAAAGAGCCAGCACTATTGTTATGACAATAGGGTATATTGTTTGGGTTTTATTTTTGAATATAATAATCACGCAATTACATTATCTTAATGGCAAAATTCTGTCTCGTTGGAGAATAATATAAAGACAACAAATTGTATATGATGACAGTCGATGTGTTTGCTTTATCAGCGCTACTGATAGATATAGAATGCAAACATAGGTGAACACTGTATGCCTAAATTATTAGAGGTTCATATAGGTGGTTACTGCCTTGTCATTTATCGTTTGGAATTGCATGTGGTGGTGTAAATTGAAGCCGTGGTTTTGCGAATAATTGTTTTGGTTTGCAATCTCTGCGAGCAAAATATAATTGCCGAGTATCTCTGGTAATTAACTTGTAAGTATATATATTGATTTAAGTGTGAAAAGTACCGGAATAAAAATTTACTCCTCGCTAAACCAGCTATTCACGTTTATAATGAATATATTACATAATATACGCAATCTGATAACTAGTTTTCCAAGCATTCAAAAAAAATGTTTTTCATAAAATACTGAATGTTTGACTATTTTGGATATCTATGACAAACTCAGTAAACTTAGAACTATTCTTTTTCTTTTCTCAGTACCTGACCTGAAAAATCTTGATGATACTTTTCATTGTATTCTGGCGTTCCAACAACCTTAATCTAAGTCGTATTCAACTTTCAATAGATAAAAACTGTTTATCAACACGTTATTTTCCAAGTTACTGATTACAACAGTATTTTTGTAAATATTTCCCACCAAAAGAGTAAACAAGAATTCAGCAACCATTCAAATATCATCTGTGAAGATAACAAATATTCCAGTAGCGCAGATTTTCAAAATAGCATTACTTGCGAGGTCGGTAAATTAAGTAATGAGACTGGTAACGTAGCATTTGATTTGGCAACCTTTATCAGGCCTACGGAGATAGTGTTTTGTCAAGAGCCCGGGCATTTTCAGAAAGGAGATAGTTTAAGGCCTTCATCTTCAAGAATCCGGCTTCTACCTCAAGGCCAAACGGTCCATAAATACTTTTACCGGAAGGTTCTTCAAAAACAGGGTAATTCGTGTGAGACCAAGAACTGAAATCAATGTCAATGAACGAGTTTTTGGCCAGTAAAAACATTCATGTGGATCCTCAGCCTCCATATTCGTCTGTCTTCAGTCCTTGTGATTTTTTTCTCTTTCTAATTTACAGACCTCGTATCCGAATTTACGTGCCTATTTTTAGTTATATACAGTAATGGACAAAAGTATATAGACACATATGAATATTTACCTAAATACCTTTAGAAACGAATTCATTCTTCATTGCTCAATGAACAAATGCGTTATTAGTAGAAAAACTAAATTCCTTGTTTTTACATTATCTGCAATGAACACAATACAAGTCTGAATATAAGCACCTTTTTATGAGGGACAAAAATATGTAGACAAATTCTTTTCAACATTAGTTTAGTACAGTTTCGTGTCAGAAGAGGACTAGTTTGTGTTCATCAAGTATTGCGGAATAAGTTGAGTGATTTTAAGATCATGCCGCGTGCTTCAGAAATTTCTTTCGATGTGAAAACTAGGATCATTGAGTTATACAAAGATGGTCAACGTCAAGTCGACATTGCCAAAAATTTGAAGCTGAAGCGTAAAGGGCAATATTGAACAAATATAAACAAAAAGGTATCTTGGACGCCTCTAAGAGAAGTGGTCGGCCTAGAAAACTAAATGCTAGATCAGTTAGATTAATAAAAGTAATTTCGTCCTAAGACCCGTTTAAAACCCCAAGACAAATAAAAGCCGAAATCGAGACAAAAGGAATTGCCAGCGTTTCTACGAAAACTATAAGTAGAATATTAAATGATTTGAAGTTATTTGCACGTCGCCTGTTTCAGTGACGAATTCAAGTTCAATATGTTTGGATCAGATGGTGTTCATTAGTCCTGGTGGACAAAGATTGAACCCCAAGTACACTGTCAAACATGGAGGCGGGTCTGTTATGGTTTGGGGGTGCTTTTCGGGGTTTGGGATGGGACCTTTACATACAATAGATGGCATTATGGATAAGTTTGTATACACAGACATACGTTACCCTATATGGAAGACAATATGCCCTTAAGATCAATCTTCCAGCAAGATAACGACCCGAAGCGCACTTGAAATCTCGCAAAGAAATTCTTTCTGGATGAAAAAATACCAGTTCTCAAATGGCCTTCACAGTCTCCCGATATAAACCCCATTGAAAATCTATGAGAATACTTAGATAAGCAAATACGATATAAAAATTATTCAAACAACGATGAACTTTTTGCCGCTTTAGAGCAAAAGTGGAGACAGATTGATGAAAATTATATCAAGAAACTTCTACAATCTATGCCGAGACGATGCCAGGCGGTGATTGATAATAATGGTTATGCTGCAAAATATTAGCACAAGCATGGTTGTTTTTTTATAATTCAATGAACTTTGCTTCTTTTTTCTATAATTGTTTTGCTTGTATCATAGTTCCAGTTTTTTTCAATTAATTTTATTATAAGTGAGTATTATGCTATAACGAATTATGTATATAAGTTGGTGTAATAATAGAGTTAAAAAGTTAAAAAATAAATACAGCACAATATTAAGTTGTCTATATACTTTTGTCCATGACTGTACATATGCGATTCTGAGCTTATGTGACGATCTTTATATATGTATTATTTAGTTTTTGTTCCTGGTTTTTCTTTTTCGCTGTTCTTATCCTGATTCAAGTGTGGCTTGTTCTATATCTCTTTGAAACCAAGCGAACAATAAAGAATTTATTTCATTTGATACAGAAACACTGTACGCTACCGAACATTACGAGATAGCAACGAACTCTAATCAGAAAAACGATTACATCCACATTATAATCTGTGATTGCAGGAACCCGAAAAAATGGACATGTACGATCACCGACCTGGATCCGCATTCGATAACAGCAGATTCGGGCACGTGGATGCATCGGCGTCGTTCTTCTGCACGCGCAGACTCAACATAGGCAATCGTCGAACTGCGAACGTAACCTCAAAATACCAACAAAAACAATTCGTGTGTGCGAACATGAGCGACAAACGCAGCGGGTCGATATGCAAGCTGAACGGGGTAGAAGGGAAGGCCCCTTTTCTCATTGGGGTAGCAGGGGGCACGGCCAGCGGTAAGAGCACAGTGTGCAAAAGGATCATGGAGAAACTCGGACAGGTTGATATGGATCAGAAGCAAAGACAGGTCGTGTGCATTTCGCAGGACAGCTTTTATAGGTAACTGCGTTGACCTTTTTTGGGCACTAGTATACACTAGTAGTTAGTTATATTTGGACGGTGCTTGACATAGTTTGGGGGGACAGGAAGTTGTTTTATGATTCATATATCCGAATTCTTGATATCAGGACACCAGGAAATGTAATAAACAGTTGACAATAACGTTGTGGTTGACAAGGAGATAAAATAACGTCATTATAATAAAAGATAAAAATTTTTGAGTCTTTTGATAAATATACAGTAGAATGTATATATTGTTAAACAAATATTAGCTTAATGATGGAAGAATTATGATATTTGCTGTTCGTACTCATTACAATGAGACATTTTCTTAAAATTTTATTTTAACGAGAAGTAAGATTTCGCGCCAAAATGGGACGTAATAAATTCAAGCGTGACGCAATAAGTTTATCCACAACCTGTAGAATGTTACTTTATTTCTATCTCGGAAGTTATGCTTCTGTCAGATGTTAAAACAACAATAGTTATTCCTGTTTATAGAGGAGGTCCAAGTGACCCATAAAATTAAAGACCCATAAGTTAAATTACTGCTATAGCAAAAATAATAGAAAGAATAGTTCAAATTCTTCCAGAGTATTTACTGCTCCATCATGATACACCAACTCTTTTAAATTGCCCAAAAATATCATATAGAATTACGGAAAAGGTATTTGAAGAAATTAAATTAAATTTCGATTCTATTATACTACAGTCATAAAAAGAGATAAAAATAGATCTCAATAATGTTATCTCTTGATTACTTCCTTTATTGTCTGGTAATAATCTTGCATGTGAAATAATAGCTCCTAAATCTATAGGATGTTGAAGATGAGGAAGAGATATCTGTAAATCTCGAGAACACTTAGGTTATAGAAAAAAATTGCCGACTTGGATCACTTTTACCTCGCGCTACATTCTGCTTTATTCCATTTCAACACGTATATTTTTATTTAGGGACCTGACTCCGAAGGAGATCGCCAAGGCCGAACAAGGACAATACAATTTCGACCATCCGGACGCATTCAATGAGACCTTGATGTACGAAACATTGAAGGACGTGTTAGCCGGGAAGATCGTACAGATACCATCCTACGATTACAAGCATCACACATTGAAAAAGGACGAAATACTGACGATATACCCCGCGGATGTGGTTTTGTTTGAAGGAATATTGGTATTTTACTTTCCGGAGGTTCGCAAGCTTTTCCATATGAAGTTGTTCGTTGATACCGATTCTGATACCAGGTATGCCTATTATTGTACACTCTTTTAACTTAAACTCAAGCTTTCGACGGTCTATGCCATCATCATCAGGAGCTGTAAACAAAATTTGGAAAGTAACAACAATAAGCAATTAAAAAGGAGTATCATTACCTACTAAGTCGGCGAGATTGTTGCTGAAATTGATATTGGACGAATTAGACGCAGTTTCCGGTAAAGATGATTGTTCGAAAGTGTGTAAATCTTCAAGTTATTCTAAATCCGTTAGTGTTTTTTGGGGGAAAAACATAGCTATGGTTTTACCAGTAATTAATAATTAAAAAATTCTTCCTAAACTAACCTGAACAATCCAGTTCTTTTGTTGACTATGTGTTCATGTCTACTTCGTCTATGAACAATTTCAGCAATAATCTCGCCGACTTAGTAATTAATGATACACCTTTTTAATTGCTTATTGTTGCTACTTTCCAAATTTTCTTTATAGCTCCTGATGATGATGGCATAGTCCGTCGAAAGCTTGAGTTCAAGTTAAAAGAGTGTACTTTCACAAAACTTTGGCTTCGTCCCGATGAAATTCAAGGGTATATATATATATATATATATATATATATATATATATTGTACAGTAAGTACAAGTTCAGAGTTAATCTATTTGACGCCCTTTTCTAGGCTGGCGCGCAGAGTCCCACGAGACATCAACGAACGCGGTAGAGACCTGGACCAAGTCCTCAGCCAATACATGAACTTCGTGAAACCAGCTTTCGAAGAATTCTGCTCGCCCACAAAAAAATTCGCCGACGTCATCATACCGAGAGGTGCCGATAACAGTGTCGCTATCGATTTGATAGTGCAGCATATCAGGGATATCCTGAATAATAAAAGGAATTCTGAGGAGAGGTCTATCAGTCCGCCTAAGGTCACCGTCACACCTGTCGGTTCTCCCTCTAAGAAAGTTAATGCCAGTGCGGATATAATATTTCACAGGCCGCACTAGGAGGGTTTAGGTTGAGGAATGGCGATGTAAGAGGCTACCAGATTTTATAGGATTGCTTTAAAGCTAAAGAGTAAAATAATTTTAGAATAATCAAAGAGCACACCAATTGCATACAAACCTCAAATTGAGGTAGTCTCAGATATTGTTATTTTGGTCATATAGGTGTATAGATGATAAGAGAATGGTGTAGTTTGTTATTGTAGCTATTAATTGTTGCCAATGATTTATTTATTATTTTTGATTTGGAAAGACTTAGAAAGTGTGAATTTGACGTGATTTGAATTTCGGTTATGTACTTATTAGAATTGTCAATTCTCTTGACTGTGAGTGGATTATGAGTATAAGGCCTCAAATCAAGAAAACTACATTAACAATTTTATAGTGAGTGTATTGAAACTCTTTCTATTTTACTCAAGATATTTAATCCATTTTATGAAGCATGATTATGAAATTTAGCAAATATGCTTTGCTTATGACACTCGTGATTTTTATTATACATATTTTTTGCATTGAGATGCATATCGTATAGTCACAGTATTTTTTGAACTTTTCTATTCCTACATAGAATATGAAACTTAAAGCAGTTACTTATTTTTCTATTACTAAGAATGTATGTGGATAACATGTAAGTCCAGAGTCTCGAAGACAATGTATTAAGATGAGGTCTCAGCTTGCCAATATGTAAATTATTATTTTTAGGTCCATCGATAAGCACAATTTAACTTGAACAATAACTATATTAAAAATAGCACTAGCACTACATAGGGTAAACATCTTGACACATATCTAGTCTACAAATCTAGATAGACAGATCAATTTTTTCACTTTATTTACTTTGGCCAAAGATACTTCTATCACATAGCTCATCGTGATAAAATGATTGGTCTCAAAAGTTTTACATCTTATAAATGCTTTGTTTTGGTGATATCAAAGTTCAAAATATATTCTTGAAAATGATAAATATAGTGTTATTATTCCTTCTCCACATACAGGGTGGCCATATGCAAGAATGGACGCTTATTTTATAGAAAGTACAAATTTCAATTTCATCATCCTGGCTTTCTGATTGAAATGTTCAAAAACCAAGTAGGGGAGCTTTCTGGAAAGCAATGTATAAAAAAATGTGTGATATCACTCACCTATAAGGCAGAGGCCAAGGTTTCGCATCATCCTCAGGAGAGAGATCAGAATAGTTCACTGTCTTCTTCTCTACTTCTTTGGTCAAGTATATAATACACTTGTTCTGATCTTTGAGCAACTCCTGTATGTAGCAGTCGTGTTTTGTACCGAATGGGTCATTGTAAATGCATCTGGTACCCAGGATCAGTTTGTCATCGCCATAATACCAGTCACTCAGTCTCAGTTCTGAAAATCATCGATATTTCGAACTCCATGTTTTGGGAATCAGTGGTATTGCCAGCGTGGCAGTTGGAGGTAAAATTTCTCCCTAACCGGCGGCTGAACAATTACTCATAACACACTTAGTAGCAACAAAAACGGATTGTACAAAGACAATAAAATATGCGCATTTCTCAGATTTCTTGCTAAATATATCAAAAACTTACTAGAGTTATATATGCTCGGAAAAATATTGTAATTTCTTTTTTCTTTTCAAAAAGGACCCCATTTAACAAATCTGTATGTTGCCAAGACCAAAATTGTGTCAAAAAATATTCAAACAACAACAATTACACAAACAACACCCCCTAAAATGCTTTGAAATTTTGTTAATGGGTGTGTGTGAACAATATTTAGGAACTTTTTTTCTCATCTTGTTTTCTGAGGTCCAAAATGGCATATTTTACACTGTTCAAATATTAAATTATAAGTTGAAAACTATCAAGTCTAGAAAAAAGTTCATATGAACCTATTAAGAATGGTCCAAAGATACATTGTCTAGAGCAAAAAAAAACAAACATTAAAAACAAATATACTAAGTGACATATAAATCCGAACACCCAGTTTAAATGGTTTTATTTTAATAAAAGTAGGGTGAATGTATTTATCTTACTGTAAATAACAAGTGAAAAAATGTACAGCCTTATCAGTTGGACATTCCGGTTTTTATACTGTTTTTTTTTAATTCACTAACGCTCTAAAATGAATATTTCAGCCGCAGTAAAGAATCAACGTTGGCGGATTTTGGTTCTTGACATCCTTTACGATCGGCTACGATGCCTAGAGTACGGAGACCTGTACGATTTCGTCAACTTAGTGAGTTTGATAGTGGCCGTATAGTGGGACTTCGGGAAGCTGGACTTTCTTTTCGGGCAATTGCAGTTAGAGTGCAAAGAAGTGTAGACACTGTGGTTAGGTGTTGTCAGGCATGGCTTCGAGAAGGCCGTACGCAAAGAGCAAGGGGCACTAGACGCCGCCGTAGAACAACAGACCGTGAAGATCGCCGCCTAAGATTATTGGCCTTAAGGGACCGTTTCTCCACTACCAGGTCCATTGCAAATGAATGGTTTGCAGAACACGGAAGACCTATTGGCATGCGAAGTGTTTTCCGACGAATGAGAAGTTTTGGCTTGTTTCATACCGGCCACACTGGGTCCTCCCTTTAATTCGAGAACACCGACGTAATCGCCTTGAGTGGTGCAGACAACGGTCACTCTGGTATCAGGAATGGAACAGTATTGTCTTTAGTGACGAGTCTCGATTTTGTTTAGGCATGCACGATGGTCGTGCCAGGGTTAGAAGGCGACGTGATGAAAGGAGGAATCAACAGTTTTTTGTTGAAAGACATGTTCATCACACTGTTGGAGTTATGGTTTGGGGTGCTATAGCTTATGGTTCCAGGTCACCTTTAATCTTCATCAGAGGTAACATGAACGTGCAGCGTTATATCCACGAAGTTCTAGAACCCCATCTTTTACCCTATCTTGACACCCTGGCAGATCCAACTTTCCAACAAGATAATGCCCGACCACATGTTGCAAGAGTCACAATAGACTTCTTTCAACATAATGATGTCACATTGTTACCATGGCCACCAAGATCTCCCGACTTATCCCCAATTGAGCACGTGTGGGATATGATTGATAGGAGATTGCTCAATTTGCAACGTCCTCCTCAGACTCTAGAAGCACTTCGAGAAGAGTTGGTGGTTGCCTGGAATGAGATACCACAGGAGGACATTGACCACCTGATCAGAAGCATGCCTAGGCGCGTTGGAGAATGCGTAGCACATCAGGGTGCATCCACACATTATTAAAGGTCAAAGGGCTTTAAAGCAGTGCAATCATTTTGAAATTTTATCATTTACTTATTATGCTTCATTAAGTACTTATACAAAATTTTATTAAAATAAAACCATTTAAACTGGGTGTTCGGATTTATATGTCACTTAGTATACATTAAAGAAAATATATAAATTAGGTTGCAGTTTTGAGACTGGCAACACGTAGATTCTATAAAAGGGGTCCTTTTTGAATAAAATTTTGCAAAAAAAAACAGAATATTTTTCCAATGTGTCCCGGACGAAAATGGGACGGTGAATCTTCATCAAATTTTGAGATAGCATTTTAATTCCCCTAAAGTTCCGTATGATCGCTTTTCAAACACATCTATTTGTTTTTGATGAAAATTAAAATTAAAATTATATGGATTTTCTCAGGAACCAAATTATGGCAAAAATCATAAATTGGTTACATATAAGTAAATTAATAAAATTGAATGCTTCTAACACAAAATGTATGCTAATAGGGAAATGTAAATACTATCGCAGTTAGGTTAAATGGTGAAATAATTGAAAAAAGTAAATCAAGGGAATGACTTTGAATAAGTTATTTCCAGAATTGCCAAAAAACAAATTACTTTTATGGGGCGTCTCATACATATTCCAAAAAAATATTCTACTGCATTTACTATATTGTTCAACTATCTTGTTCACTGACATTCAAGCTGTATTATCAAAATTACAAGTTCTACAAAATAAAGCTATGAGATTAATATTGAATAAAAATAAGTACTCCAAAATAAAATCTGTAACAAGAATTGAATATAAAAAATTTCATATAATATTTGGTCTCTTTTGCATATTTAAAATAAAAAATCATAATTTGAAACAACAATTAGAACATCACATAGAATTGATCATTACCACAATTATTATACAAGAGGAAATATAGACTTCAATTTACAAAATTGTAATAGTAAAATAACTAGCAAAGCTATATTTCAAAAGGGATCATTTTAATTTAATAAACTAAATAATGATATAAAGTCTACTTGTAACCTAAAGATCTTTAAAAGAAAATAAATGGGACATTTCAAACTAATTTCACTCACAGAAACATGGAAATTCTAGACAGTTCCTTAAATTGATTATCATCATATTATTAAATAGCAATGGAACAATGTTGGTTCCACTGAATCTTGAAATTCATTTTAGTCAAGGCCATTTTAATTTTCATGTGGTAAATGTGTTGAGTACTGCAGACATATAATAATGGGTAACATCAAAACCTCTATTTTCCAAATATAAAGAAAACCATTCTGGAAATTAAATGGGACAGAACTTTTTCTTACCTCTCCTTACTTCTCCCCAGGTATCATACTCAATATTCCTATAAATATTGGGATCCAAAGCCTTGGCAACCTTGAAGGGAAATGGGGCCACATTCAAGGGGTTCTCTGTGTCATCCCACAAGGAATCTGGCTTTGAGGAAGGTCCTGCTTCATCTTCATTCCTAATCTTTGGTTTCAACAGTTGCATTTCTGCTTGAGTTGTTATACTGTTCTTTTCATATAGCATGTTATGGACTATGTCATCTACATTAGGGATTTTGAAGACATCTTCATATAGAAGTTTGTATACCATAGCTGAATAAAATGTTTCCATAAGATTATATTTGAAAGAGGATGGTTTTGAGAACTTACACTGACAAAAACCAGCAACTGCTATGTGATCCTTCTTATAAACTACATCATAATGATCTTTATCCATGAAACAGAGCAATATTGCTTTTTTCTTTACTTCTTTTAGTTGCATCATAGATTCTTTGATCAGTAGCATCAAATATGATAACATCCCGGCTAAAAAATGCAGTCTATCACTTAAACTGTGAATAATATTCAAAATCCATAGACAAAATAACAAAAAAAAAACTGCAGGACCCTCAATAAAACTGTTTGTAGACCAAGCATCCATACATTTGGTAAATATTTTTATTGCTTCATAAACACCTCAACTTGAATGTTACAAATAATAGAAAATTACTTCTTCTTCAAGTTAAATAGCTTTTCTCACATGGTGCTTAGAACATTTTACCATATTTTCGGAGGGTAATGAAGACTTACTTGTATTTCCTACTGATGATATCAATTTCAGCTTCCCCACACACAACCATGTGCTTCTCCAGCTGGTCCAGATGCTCTAAGAATTTCTCTTCAGTCTTGAATGAATAGTGAAATAAATGGTAGTTTTTCCTACCGAAAGCTATACACTCCTTTCGTACTCTTTCATGGTACACCTGGCAGTCATACACCTGTTCACTAACAGCTCTGAACAAACAAGTCTCATCGTAGGCTACGTTTTTCCTATAGAGACCTAGCGAGTCCAGCCAACTGTCTACAGCGCCTGGATTGCGCCCCTTTTTTGATACTTTGGACATGTTCAGCAGTGCTGTGTGAAGTGAAATGCAAGTCAGAAAAAATATAAGGAATGAATGAATAGACTGTTAACAGAAGAGATGGATATCGATATTGGGATATAAAGGAACTATTCATTCAAAATATTGAGTATCTTACATAAAATAAACAATCGCCAAGTCGAAGATGGGGACCCGTGTTCACTTGTTGAATCTAGTTTTGTTTATGTCTCTATACCTTTATGTGCTTATTTGTAAGCATTTTGCTTGTTTGGACGTTCACCATCTCGTATTAACAAATATCAAGTCGAACACTCAAATATTATAGACATTAATCATAAATAGCTTACCAAGCGTACAGCTTCCACGTGATAACGTAAAAAACTATTTTTTTATGCTTTCTAGTCAGTCTTGCATTCTTTGATTTTGGAACATTTGAACTACTTCGCGCTTCGCGTCTGCGCATTGTGACGATTTTTGTTCATTTCTTCTCTTCTCTTTTGTCTATCCTCTTGACAACTTGTACCATAGACGTAAAAATAAAATATAGATCGTTCAATAAAAACATTATAGCAAAAATGAAATAAACCTTATTTTATTTTATTTCATATAGGATATCCCAGACTGGTGCCAAGGTGCCATCCTTTTTACCCCTTCCAGGAAATTAATCATTTTTAGTGCATAGCAAATGCGATATCATTTATCAATGATTTTAATAATTTTCTGACGATAGCTAACCATATAGTGCATTTAGGCGTTCAAGTCTTGAACTTCAAGAGGGATTCGAAATACACTAGAGCCATCTATGAGATGGTTGCAGAACATCAAGTTAATTCAGAAATCGTGTTTGAAAAGAGGTAGAGTGTTTCTTTCTGCTACATCTTCAGGTGGAATGCTTTAATTAATGTTCAAAAGCTTATACTTATTACATAAACGCTTAAAACAAATACATATACATTATGCATATTAGTAAAATATCGCCATTGAGGGTTTATCCAGTGGATGGAAAAAATAAAATGAAACAACTGGCTGAAAAATACATAAATCATCTATTATTTCCATGGCATACTATTGTGAGATAAAAATAAAAAGTTGTCTAGTGTCTGAAATCTTCATGGCGACAATTTTGTCCCACGCGAAAATTAAAATAATTTGAAGGAAATCGGAAGTGGAATAAACAACAGAGAGCGACTGTCGGCCCCTATTTTGTTGTCTCAAGGCGCGTACTAGCATATCAAACGTAGTAAACTTAAATTGAGTCATATTATTCAATAATTCCCGTGTCTGCGACACGAATTTAGAACAGCAAAGTCTGGACAAACAATATTCCGATCTCAGAGAGCTGCATGCGAATGTTTGGTGACCAAAATATAAACGGAACAGAGAAAAAAGACGTAAATATTTCAAATTCTCAGACACCAGACGTATGCCAGGATTTTTCTGATCTCTGGGATTTTCGATTCTCGGTTTGTAAGGTTGTTCGGCCCGAAAATGCCCGAAATCACACAGGATGCGTTGTTGCAGAGCGATAATAGGTGATTTGGTTTGTAGGCTTTTGTGCTAATTCATAGTACAGTAGATTTAGGCAATTATTGAAACATACTATTCTAATGTAAACTGTGTTTAATTCTCATTTGCTCTGTTTTTGACGTTTCAGGGTTTCTTGCGCATTGTTGGATATATTTTTGAATATTAAAAAAATTGGGTGGAGCCTGTAGGGGTAAGAGAGAGTATATATCAAAATTTTTGCCGTAAATGTATGATGTATTTCTATGCTTTCTATAGATTTCCCCATATATTTCCGCTCATGAGCTATTTGGCTGATTTGATTTATCAAATTCCTTTGTTATTCATGTTCCTATTAGTTAATTTTTTATATGAGAGGGGCTGACTTCTGCCGAATATAGTCTTTCATGAGCTCTGCATTGCGTGGAAAGTGTAGTCACTTGACCATTTCTGAATGCAGTTACTTGACAGGTCATTTTATAATTTCTACTCTGTCCTTATCAGACACTAAGGCCCGTATCGTCAGTCGTCCCTACAATTGTAGGGTGCGTTTATGGCCTCCTTGATTGTCATACCCCTTTCTCTCCTTCAAAAATTTCTAGATTACACTTGTCCCGTGTCAGCGTCAGCACTCTCCTATTGTGAAGATATGTTTTCTTTTTAAATTGTAGGAAATTTCAGGCTGACAAAACATGATATAACTCAAAAGCAAGCACAATTTGATGCAAATAGATGTTTGTGACATAACCTCAAAATAGAGCGCTGACACGGAGAAGTAGAAAACTATGACAATCAAGGAGGCCATAAAGGCGCCCTACAATTGTAGGGCGCCTACTTCTCCGTGTCAGAACTCTGTTTTGAGGTTATGTCACAAACATCTATTTGCATCAAATTGTGCTTGCTTTTGAGTTATAGCATGTTTTATCAGCCTGAAATTTCCTACAATTTAAAAAGAAAACATATCTTCACAATAGGAGAGCGTTGACGATGACACGGGACAATTTTTGAAGGAGAGAAAGGAGTATGACAATCAAGGAGGCCATAAACGCGCCCTACAATTGTAGGGACGACTGACGATACGGGCCTAAAAGGTGAAGGAATCACATTTTTATCTAAAATGACTGCACTAATAGGTCAACCATCATGCGTAAGCAACTTGGCAACACTGCTACGATCTGCGATGATCAAGTGCGGTTGTGCATTGGGAAAGGTGTAATGTGATGCTGAATTTCAAGAGAAAATCCGCAATTTTGACGCTTTTCCACAGAAAATTTCGGAAAACTGTTCAGTATACACAGTGAGCTAGTGATACCGCAAAAAAATGGACGTTTCCACGCAAGATTCGACCCGATAGTGATCTGTCGATCATCTGGCGCCGTCTTGACCTGGGCCAAGAAACCCATGTTTGGTTCAAGTAAAAATAACACGCAGAATTTTTTCCAGTTCGGGCGATATTGAGAATCAGCTTTGCTTTTTCAACATGATTTTGCCGTTTTATAAATCGCTGATGTTTTTGGCCCTTTTCGGGACATTCGGTAAGTGCCATTCATAAAAATCCACACTACAACTCGCTGGCGTTTCCTCGTAGTAGGCCGCGGAAATTCGATATTTGCATTGTTTACAAAGCTGGAATGCAGCCTATTTCGATCATATTTCATTTTGTGGCTTTTTCATGTTATTCAAGATCTGTGGTATATTAGCAGAATCCTTGTTTTTTCTCTACTAACTGGAGAAGCTGCTGTTATTCACCCCAATGCCACACTGCACTGACAAGTAGTTGTTCTCTCACTAGGTTAATCATAATAACAACAACTCCTAAGGTATAATTTATAATTGTATGATGCTAACTTCATTATATTTGATAAATAAACTTTGTTCTGAAATTTTGTAAATAAATAGAAGTAACTAATATAAGCTAGTAGCTACCCTTCTTGAGTATTTGAATAATCAAGAAAGCATTGGAAAACAGCTTTCACTGCAAGCAGAATGAAAACAACCAACACACAATTTCACCATCTGAGCTTGACAGTTTGATACTAGGCTACTAGATGTTTCAAAGTATTTGTCAAATGGCTATGAAATGTCATGATTGTTTATTTGCATATAGTTGAGGGTAAATCATGATCTTATAAAATCATATGTAGTGAGAGTGTAGAAAAGGACTCTCAATCTTGCACATTAACTTCAGTATATAAGACCCAACCTAATTTGAAATATATGGCAGCTCACTGATGTGACGACTGGTGGTAATGGACACCAAAATCAAATCAAATTTAGTAGGTGTGTTTAGCTACATATGCTAGCAATGTCGCTATGCCATTCTGGTGAGGGAGGGCTCTGAAAGCGCCGCTCCACTAATAATGACATACTTTTCAACCTAGGTATGTAATGTACTATTGTGCCATTACCACTGTCTTCTTTTGGTAGAGTTTTGTTCAATTGTTCTCTAGGTATTGTTTTGGTGATTAGTCTCAGAAACCTTGATTTGAATAGGATGCTGTGCTGATGATCGTAACAAAATTGAACATGCTAGGGGTTATTTTTGCAGTTCATGATGTTTTATGAAAAAATGAAGGGCATATATAACAGTAAATAGTAGTCATTTTGAACATATATGTTAATAAACTTAATATAGAATGTCCAACATCAATCCCGTCCTTTTTTGCCTCCGTGTCATAAAATGTAGTTTTTTAGATTTGCAAAATCTGACCTGCATCCATTATAACTGCAATGTAAAGAAGAAAAAAACACAGCCAACAACACAAATTAGGATTTGCAAATAACACTTCATTATCTTACACTACAGGCTGTTAAGACATACATGATATTGTGACATTTTTTTTTATTAACATTTGAACTTTGGAACACATTTTATGCAGGTTTCATTTCTATTTGCAGTTGCCGGACTATCCTTTATTTTCTGGATACCCTTTTTACTGAGATCACATTCTCTCTTTTTTCTCCATTTACTGAGCATATTTTAAAAAGAATCAGCATAACTATAATCAATGAATATGCTGACCAAGAGAATAGAGTAATACAATTTTTGATAATACATATTATATCAAAATTAACAATCTTGTTGTTGCCACATACTTACCTCACTTGAGTGTAGAAAATAAAATTAAGATTTTTTGATTTTATACAAAACTTATGGCAAATGACGTCAAATTTCCCAATACACGCTATGTTGCTATGATGCAATCTCATCTTTTCTGTATTGCACAATTTTGACTTCTACAAATCACAAATGATCATAAACATACTAAATTATGTAATATTTTGCGTTTTGCATGTAGCTTTTTTTAATATTTTATAGATAATCTATAAATGAGGAAGCATGAAAAAATAGCCTATATTTAGATGGATCTGACTATCGTAAATATGAGCAGTGATGCAAAAACGCGTAAGCAATCAAGCTTGTGGCATGTTTGCAAATATTTTCCAGTTTCTTGAGTTCACTTCCAATGCTGTATTTTTAGATCGAACTAGTGAAACTGATAATGGAAAAGCTGTTTTATGTTGTAATTTGTTGCATATCTGCATACTTAGATGTTGATGCTTACAAAGACTATAAATGAAAGGATTTTTAGTAACCAAAGGCTTCCACTTACACCATAATTTTCCAGCTTTGTAATCAGTATCCGATGGTCCACACAATCATATACTTTTGTCAGGTCAACAAACATAACACGTTATTTTCGACATTTTTCGCGGTTTCAATGCTAGATGACGCTCTATTTTTAATAGGTATATACACCAGCAATGCCCATGCTGCTGTAGGGAATACACCCCAAGTGACAACAAAATGCGAGTACTACAATAGTACCTGCAGCAGTCAACAAGGTTGTGAAGAGGTGGAGGAATGTGGACACCCTGAAGAGGGACAACAGAACCACTGTTACGTGTTGTGGACTATGGAGAATGGAACAATCACTGTCTCATTGAAGGTGAGTATTTTAGTTTAGGCAACGTGTACAGCTACAAAACGAGTTGACGACACGTGTACAACAGTGCTAAGTTGGCATCTTATAGAAAAACCTACAAAATATCAAAAAATATATAATACCCGTGCTGATGTGTTTTTTCAAGCAGCGGGGATGATTGCCGTTAAAAAGTCGACGCCTGTATCAAGTTTTATTCTATTCTATGTTCAGTTTGTCTCGTACCATAATTGGATATCATTTTTCATTCTATCAGGGTTGTTTCCTGAACGCTGCCGATTGTGTAAACCAAACAAAATGCGTGGAGAAATCACAGAATCCCAAGAACAACTTGTTGTATTGCTGCTGTGAAGGGAACATGTGCAACACGAATTTTTCTTGGGAACCTGCACCTACGGAACCACCGCCGCCTAGTAGTAAGTGTAGCTGTTTTTTTTTTCGCATTTTTTACTATACAGGGTGTTACAGAACGTATGTGGAATCTTTTGGTTTCATGTAAGCGTTTATACAAATGAAAAAAGTAATTAGATACAATTTTGTAGTCATTTTTTATGTGCTAAAAGTCAAATACAATTTTTGCCGAGTGTTATCATTTCGGGAAGTTGGTAGTGTGACATGTTCTTTCAGATGATCATTCAGAATCTACGCTTTTAGTTTCATGAAAGAAGCTATTTTGTTTTTTTTTTTGTTCTATTATTGGCACTGGTCGATGACCAACTGGCCAGATCCTTATGTTCAGTATAATGTTATGCTTCAATAGAAAATAGAACATCCATTACTTAATATTACTATTGTATATTATTTCTATTATAGTTACATAGAGTATGCGAACACATATTTCTCTTTTTTTTTAACCAATAATTTTTCCTTATTTTTTCCTTTTCTCTATTTTGTTTATAAGATTGTTTTTTTTTATTTATGCATATCTACATATATATATTACTTTATACTGATCTGCTTTTTTTTTAATATTTTCTTCTTTTTTTCATTTTTTCAAACAAACTTACTTTAATTTACATTGTATAATGTTAGGCCTACTTTCCGACAATGCTTCTATAAAAGTTCGTAAACTTGCTGGTTCTCAGAACTGAGAATTGATTCTAAATTTAGAGGCAAAGGAAGGTGATTCGCTAAAATTTTATACAATTCAGAATTTTCGTTGTTAGAATTTGTACATTCTAATATTAAGTGTTGCAAGGTTCCTATATTTCCACAACTTAGGTAACTGCACATACAGCGGACAAACGTTTGGAAACATTCTTTGTAATTCTTAAAAAGTGCGCTGATTTTTTATTTTTATTATTAAGGACTATTTATATATATATATATATATATATATATATATATATATATATACTAAGTGACATATAAATCCGAACACCCAGTTTAAATGGTTTTATTTTAATAAATTTTTTATAAGTTCTTAATGAAGCAAAATAAGTAAATGATAAAAATTTCAAAATGATTGCACTGCTTTAAAGCCCTTTGACCTTTAATAATGTGTGGATGCACCCTGATGTGCTACGCATTCTCCAACGCGCCTAGGCATGCTTCTGATCAGGTGGTCAATGTCCTCCTGTGGTATCTCATTCCAGGCAACCACCAACTCCTCTCGAAGTGCTTCTAGAGTCTGAGGAGGACGTTGCAAATTGAGCAATCTCCTACCCATCATATCCCACACGTGCTCAATTGGGGATAAGTCGGGAGATCTTGGTGGCCATGGTAACAATGTGACATCATTATGTTGAAAGAAGTCTGTTGTGACTCTTGCAACATGTGGTCGGAAAGTTGGATCTGCCAGGGTGTCAAGATAGGGTAAAAGATGGGGTTCTAGAACTTCGTGGATATAACGCTGCGCGTTCATGTTACCTCTGATGAAGATTAAAGGTGACCTGGAACCATAAGCTATAGCACCCCAAACCATAACTCCAACAGTGTGATGAACGTGTCTATCAACAAAAAACTGTGGATTCGTCCTTTCACCACGTCGCCTTCTAACCCTGGCACGACCATCGTGCATGCCTAAACAAAATCGAGACTCGTCACTAAAGACAATACTGTTCCATTCCTGTTCCCAGAGTGACCGTTGTCTGCACCACTCAAGGCGATTACGTCTGTGTTCTCGAGTTAAATGGAGGACCCAGTGTGGCCGCTATGAAAACAAGCCAAAACTTCTCATTCGTCGGTAAACACTTCGCATGCCAATAGGTCTTCCGTGTTCTGCAAACCATTCATTTGCAATGGACCTGGTAGTGGAGAAACGGTCCCTTAAGGCCAATAATCTTAGGCGGCGATCTTCACGGTCTGTTGTTCTACGGCGGCGTCCAGTGCCCCTTGCTCTTTGCGTACGGCCTTCTCGAAGCCATGCCTGACAACACCTAACCACAGTGTCTACACTTCTTTGCACTCTAACTGCAATTGCCCGAAAAGAAAGTCCAGCTTCCCGAAGTCCCACTATACGGCCCCTATCAAACTCACTAAGTTGACGAAATCGTACAGGTCTCCGTACTCTAAGCATCGTAACCGATCGTAAAGGATGTCAAGAACCAAAATCCGCCAACGTTGATTCTTTACTGCGGCTGAAATATTCATTTTTAGAGCGTTAGTGAATTAAAAAAAAAGCAGTATAAAAACCGGAATGTCCAACTGATAAGGCTGAAAATTTTTTCACTTGTTATTTACAGTAAGATAAATACATTCACCAACTTTTATTAAAATAAAACCATTTAAACTGGGTGTTCGGATTTATATGTCACTTAGTATATTTTTAAACGTTTTTCTTGTTAGTTGTCTTTTGACATGCTCCCAGAGATGTTCTATAGGGCTTAGGTCCGGGGATTGCAAAGGCCATGTAAGAACATTAATATTTTTTAGTCTTAACCAGTCCTTTACGAATTTTGGGGTCATTACCTTGCTGTAATGTCCATCGTAAAGGCATTTCTTCCTCAGCAAAAGGGAGCGTGTATTCACTAAGAAAATCTTTGTAGAGTTTTTGATCCATTTTCCCAACAATTTTAACATTAATTGTACCCGTTCCAGAACTAGAAAAACAGCCCCAAACCATGATGTTGCCTTCTCCGTACTTTACTGTTAGATGAGTTTTAGCAAAGCAATACGATTTTTTTTAAATGAGAGGCTTTTGCAATGGACACCTACCAAAAGGCCTAAAATCCACCACGCGCTTTTGCACTGTTCTGACGGAAAGATTCTCGGCACCCTCTTCTACGACTTTTTCGAAAATCTGTATGGCTGACATTCGGGGATCTTCATGGAACAAACGTTTAATATAACGATCCAAAACACAATCGGTTTTTTTTTTTGGGTTCCGCACAAGGGCCGCGTTGCTGTTGATCCGTATTCTTGATATTTACTAATAATTTTCGAAATCGTCCTTTTGTTCATTATTAATCTTTGAGAAATGTCAACATTTCTGACACCACTTCTAAATAATTCAATTACTTTGTCTAATAAATCTTTTGAAATTTCTTTTACTTTTGCCATTCTCACTGATGTTAATATTTACCATACGAAATATCAGATTATCGCAGAACGAATAAATACGGCAAAACTGAAATGTTTCCATAATTTTATCGTTACGAAAACTGTGGTATTTAAAAACGCGTGTTTTTATTTTCATAGAATTTGAATATTGATAAGATAAACCTTAGTGTATTAGTACGGGTGACAAAGGTAGACTTTAATATTTATATTATCTGTTCCTGCACAATTTTAATTTAGGTATATGAAATAGCTCATAATAATGTTAATATTTGTTTCCAAACTTTTGTCCAGTTTGTAATAGCTACAGGTATTTGATTCTGTGGATATTTTTGCAATATCTTTACATTATTGCGAGAGGTGAAAACTAAAATTCGCCCCCGGATTCTGAAACACCCGGAATAGATATACAACTGAAAGAAAATCTGTAATAACCTACTTTAAAGAAATTATTGATAATTTTTTTTTATTCCACAGCTGCAGTACCAGCATTCGACGATATAAATTATACTCTGTATTGCAGTATTTTCATCCCACTGTTTGTGGGATTTGTCATTTTAGTAGCTGCAGCCGTTTTCTTCTGGACTCGAAAAAACAAGCATTACTTTAACGGGGTAAGTAAAATTATCGTATAAACCTATTAGTTAAAACATTAACTTGTGAAACCGACGATCAGTTTTCATTAATGAATATAGCAAATATTCTCTGCGATGCTTTTGTAAATGATGATTCAACTGTTTTTATATCTACAGATATATTTTTCTGAATTTTACCTCGTCTAACCTTTACTCCGTGTCTGATGGTTCTATGGATATTTACTCATCTCTTTTTGTTTTTGATACCTCCAACGAAGGCGTACGAAGTATAGAGTCAATCTACTTGACAAATTTTTGTAAAAACTGATCTTCGGTCTGTGATAACACGTATAGTCCATTTCTATTAATTGGTGATTTTTTTCATGCTGTCCATGTAGTGGGGTGTAAGTGGATATTATCTTTTTAAGGTAGATGCTAGTTTATACGTTTCTTATTTTTCTTTTTCGCCTTTACTTCCTTTAGTTTTGCTTCTACTAAGACTGACAAAAACATAAAATAAGCAAGGAAAAAAAACGATTAATGTTTAAGTATTGCTTGTTTCGTGGATGATCTATTCTAATATAATGCTTCCATCAGTTTTTGTCACTCTAACAAAGGCATGTTGTAGCTTTTCTATGGGATTGAATTGAACGTTTATTCTTGAAACAAACTAAAAACTGAACATTCTTGCATGGTATTCTTTAGTTTCGAATTAAATTTATTCTATGAACTTTTCGAAAATTAAAAAAAAATCACTTTTACTGGGTGCGCCTGGGTGTTACGATGTGAGTCAAAAGTCATGTGGTATCCATAAATGAACTGTCAATGGTATGCCATTTATAGTCCATCAACAGCGGCGTGTTTTTCTTAATTGGATGCTGGAAAGAGAATACGGATTTTCGGCCAAAGTGCTCTTTTCTGATGAGGCTCATTTTCACCTCAATGGGTACGTAAATAAGCAAAATTGCAGATTCTGGGGGGCTGAAAATCCACACCAATATCATCAATAACCTCTCCATCCTGAAAAAGTGACTGTTCGGTGCGGATTATGGGCTGGTGGCATCGTTGGACCATTCTTCTTTGAAGATGCCGAAGAAAAGGCCATTACCGTCAACGGGGAACGTTATCGCGGCATGTTAACAGACTTTTTGTGGCCACAATTGGATCGTATTGGTGCCGAAGATCTTTGGTTTCATCAAGACGGAGCAACGGCTCACACATCTCGCCAAACAATCGCCTTATTGCACACGAAATTTCAAGATGTCGGTTGGCCCCCGAGATCGTGCGATTTAACACCTCTTGACTATTTTCTTTGGGGATTTTTGAAAGGAAAAGTGTACGCGAATGGTCCACGGACAATTCAAGACCTAAAGCGCAATATTCGGACTGAAATTGCGGCCATAGACCCGATTATTCTGGGAGAAGTCATTGAAAATTTTGATGTTCGGATGTTGGCCGCGGTGGTCACATGACTGATGTTATTTTTCATACATAAATGGCATAAACCACCCTTCATTTATCAATAAAAAAAATCGATTTCGCCTCGTAAAAGCGTGTTGATTTTTCAAATAGAAAAAAAAGTAATAGATGACGCACCCTGTATTACTTCATGAATGGATTTATTAAATACACAACAAATGGTCAAACCGCCCTCCTTTAGCAGCAATACAAGCTCGACATTTGAATAAACTTTTTTTCACCGCTCACCAGAATAAAAAATCGAATGGACTTGAATCAGGTGAACGAAATTGTCTATATAAATTTCTCCATTCAAGGAAAAGGATACAATGATTCTCCCGGTCCACGTTTACTTTAAAACGATATTGTGATCTCATCAAACGTGGATTTTCTACATGCCACTCGTGTAGGTTGTATAGAATCATGTAACGATCATTTTTAAATGTCGACTCATCGGTCCATAAAATTTTCTCTGAAAATCGCGGACCATCCCGGTATCCCTGTAACATTGTTTGACAAAACTCTTGTAAAATAATCCCGGGCTTGTAGAGATTGTACTCGCTGTACGTGATACGGGTTGAGGTACTTTTGGACACTCGGGTGCTTGGTTCTATTTGTCGCGCTGAAGTACTCGGGTCGTCTTCGACTGCTCGTAAGGAAATGAAATTCTTCATTCACTATGTGCTTGATTTGGGAATCGTCCCTCTGACGGTAAACGGTAAACATTCACAAAAACTCTGTGATCGGGACGTCGAGCATTTTTTGGGTACCACTCAGGATAAACTAGCTGCAGCACTAGCATCCAAATTTTTAAAAATTTTTGAGATTATACGTATAAGAGTGAGAGGTCCCAGATCAGATACTTCTTGGATCTTTTATTTTAGGAAGTGGCTTCACGACCGCTAGGTTTGATTAACGATATACTTCGAAGTTGAGTCATTTATTTTAACAGTGAGTAGATCTGATCAAAGAAATGTTTTTTTCCTTTACCATTTTTCTGGTAAAATTAAAGTAACAAAGTTATAGCCCTTTGGAAGTTTGAGTACCGCCCTGTCTCAATAATAATATCATGTGCTCGTGTTTGGCAACAACGGATATAATCCGCCTTATCGGTTCATCGCATCGGAAACAAAAAAGCGAAAGAATTTGGAACGATGTTTTTACAATTATTTTATTCAGTTGTATACATACAGTCAGTGTCAGTCGGTAACGCGTGTGAATAGTGGTGTCTGTTGCGTGGCTCAAACGAAATAAAAAATGGCACATGTTTATGCGGATCGGTTTCCCAATCGAGTGCAACCAACCCCTCGTGCCTTTGTTAATGTAGTACAACGGGCTCGTGAATCAGGTGACTTAAGACCTCATAGGGGACCTCACGATCAAATACAGGTCCGCACTGAAATACTTGTCGGGAGGATACTTTATAAAACAAGGTACATTTTTTTTTATTTTTGCACACATATTTTGGTTTATCTTCCTTCTACAATCATTATCTGAAAATTAATGACTCAACTTCAAAGTCACCCTGTATGTGTAATTCAATAATCGGTAAAAGTGACTGAATACGCCGACCACGGAGTTCTCGGTGCATCTCTAATAGTACTAGCATTGCGAATAGTAATTACCTTTTTGCTTAATGCACTTTGCACCTTTTTTCCGAAAAATGTAACGCCTTTTCGTTTAGTTACCGACGTCGGAACCGAATCCTCCTCCACCGCCGTCATCTCCGTTTCTCGACACCAGACCTATCCAGCTTTTGGAAATCAAAGCTAGGGGTCGATTCGGCGCTGTATGGAAGGCGCAGTTCAAGACTGAAGAGGTCGCTGTCAAGATATTCCCTATACAGGTAAGTTCGATTTTTTTGGAATCTCGGTTTTTATCGTTTCATAGTCCAGGAAGTAATTTAGTATTTGTACGGAAAATTATTCCGATTCGGTTTTACTTTACACGTCTCCTAAATAGTATATAAATCGCTCAAACGTCGTTTTTTGACATTTCAGATCATTTTCGGAAGAACAAATTGTAGGGGTTAAAATCGGGGTGGGGAAGGGGGTATATCTATTTTTTTAAAGTTGATATCTTTATACGGCCTCCAAGTTCTAAAAAAGTCGGAAAATGGAACACAGCATGGTAAATATGCGAATTTTAATTGTGAGCCGGTTTCACTGACTTGATCCATTTAGTTTTTTGTTATAAATTTTCGTCGCTTATTTTTTTTTTCTCATAAGAGCTCAGTTGTTCCGAACATAATCCTTTATCTGATAACAGCGTCGCCTGGGAAGTTCCGAGTCAACCTACTTGACGCATTATTTTTCCACTTTTCACGAATCTGCATAATTGCAGGCTCAAATTTACGTGAAAATTGAAGATACAAATTTTTAAATCGAATCGAAGAATCATTTTTTTCGTTACGAATGATGAAGAATATTTAGCATGTTTGGCGACATTAAAATTGTCATTTATTTTAAAAAATTTTTTGTCAGAAATGGCATATTTCGTACGTACGTTTTCAAATACTGAATCGCTTGTATCACGATACATTATCAACTTTGGAGAAAAATTCACAAACACCTTTTTTGTCCAAAATGACGGAAAAACCCTGAAAAAACTATCGCAAACGAAATGAACCATTTTTTGGAGTTTGAAAATATTTTTCAAACAATTTGTACGTAATTGTGGTCCTGAAAACATTTTTGAACAAGATTATGCAAAAAACTGAATCAGAATATTTTTCACTGCAGATGCGAAGATACTTTCTGGATCACTCGTTTTTTAAGATTCTCCAACTTGTGTTGGCAAAACTTTTTCCAAGTTTCAATATTACTTACGACGTTTGGAACTTTGTGTATTTTATGTACCTACATTTTTGTAAAACGCTTATCGTTTCAATATTTTTCAAACCAACTAGCCATTTTTGAGAATATATACTAAGTGACATATAAATCCGAACACCCAGTTTAAATGGTTTTATTTTAATAAAATTTTGTATAAGTACTTAATGAAGCATAATAAGTAAATGATAAAAATTTCAAAATGATTGCACTGCTTTAAAGCCCTTTGACCTTTAATAATGTGTGGATGCACCCTGATGTGCTACGCATTCTCCAACGCGCCTAGGCAATGTCCTCCTGTGGTATCTCATTCCAGGCAACCACCAACTCCTCTCGAAGTGCTTCTAGAGTCTGAGTAGGACGTTGCAAATTGAGCAATCTCCTACCCATCATATTCCACACGTGCTCGATTGGGGATAAGTCGGGAGAACTTGGTGGCCATGGTAACAATGTGACATCATTATGTTGAAAGAAGTTTATTGTGACTCTTGCAACATGTGGTCGGGCATTATCTTGTTGGAAAGTTGGATCTGCCAGGGTGTCAAGATAGGGTAAAAGATGGGGTTCTAGAACTTCGTGGATATAACGCTGCGCGTTCATGTTACCTCTGATGAAGATTAAAGGTGACCTGGAATCATAAGCTATGGCACCCCAAACCATAACTCCAACAGTGTGATGAACATGTCTTTCAACAAAAAACTGTGGATTCCTCCTTTAACCACGTCGCCTTCTAACCCTGGCACGACCATCGTGAATGCCTAAACAAAATCGAGACTCGTCACTAAATACTGTTCCATTCCTGATCCCAGAGTGACCGTTGTCTGCACCACTCAAGGCGATTATGTCGGTGTTCTCGAGTTAAAGGGAGGACCCAGTGTGGCCGGTATGAAAACAAGCCAAAACTTCTCATTCGTCGGTAAACACTTCGCATGCCAATATATCTTCCGTGTTCTGCAAACCATTCATTTGCAATGGACCTGGTAGTGGAGAAACGGTCCCTTAAGGCCAATAATCTTAGGCGGCGATCTTCACGGTCTGTTGTTCTACGGCGGCGTCCAGTGCTCCTTGCTCTTTGCGTACGGCCTTCTCGAAGCCATGCCTGACAACACCTAACCATATTGTCTACACTTCTTTGCACTCTAACTGCAATTGCCCGAAAAGAAAGTCCAGCTTCCCGAAGTCCCACTATATGGCCCCTAACAAACTCACTAAGTTGACGAAATCGTACAGGTCTCCGTACTCTAGGCATCTTAACCGATCGTAAAGGATGTCAAGAACCAAAATCCGCCAACGTTGATTCTTTACTGCGGCTGAAATATTCATTTTTAGAGCGTTAGTGAATTAAAAAAAAGCAGTATAAAAACCGGAATGTCCAACTGATAAGGCTGAAAATTGTTTCACTTGTTATTTACAGTAAGATAAATACATTCACCAACTTTTATTAAAATAAAACCATTTAAACTGGGTGTTCGGATTTATATGTCACTTAGTATACATAGAGGATACTGAGCCGATCAACGATTTTTGTGAATAGGACAAGCAATCTTGGCAGACTGAACAAGATATCTTCAAACTAGCCTATATGGATCATCCGAACATTCTGCATTACATTGGCGTCGAGAAGAGAGGAGACAATCTCCAAGCTGAATTCTGGTTGATAACAGCATATCATGACAAAGGGTCGCTATGTGATTACTTAAAGGCGCACACTCTGACGTGGAACGAGTTGTGTCGCGTGGCAGAAACTATGTCGAGAGGTAAGCTTTTTTAATCGAAAACTTGAAAGGAGAGGCTGTATTTTTACCAATTTCACCGTGGAATTTAATCTTATTTTCTAGGTTTGATGCATCTTCACGAAGCTATACCCGGAAGGCTACCAGGGGAGCCATCGAAACCCTCAGTGGCCCACAGAGATTTTAAGAGCAAAAACGTGCTTTTGAAGAGTGACATGACAGCTTGTATTGCCGATTTTGGCCTGGCTATCATTTTCAAGCCTGGAGAGTCCTGTGGAGATACGCATGGTCAAGTAGGAACGAGACGGTGAGGATTGCATGAAAATTTAAAATTCCTGCAAATATTGAAAAATTGCTGTTTTTGGAGATTTTTGAAAATTTCGTGCACTTGGAAAAAATTTGAAAATTTCCCTGTTTTTACTTCCGATGCGAAATTTTGAGTTAGAGATATGTTTTGTGGATGGTACGTGACTCTTATAGTAAATAGCTGTTAGAAATTCTCATGGATGACGATACGGTACCTCATTTTATCACGGATGATTTTTTGGACGCGCGAATATGTCATTAGGTTGGCTATTTTCAACTACACTACGTTAGTCAATGCTTGGTTACTCTAATGTTTGTAACTGTGACATTTTCTCGCAGATACATGGCCCCGGAAGTCCTAGAAGGCGCGATAAACTTCACCTCGGACGCGTTCCTGCGCATCGACATGTACGCTTGCGGTCTCGTCCTGTGGGAGCTCGCGTCTCGGTGCACGGCGCAGGACGGACCTGTTCCAGAGTACAGGCTGCCTTTCGAAGAGGAGGTGGGGCAGCACCCCACCTTGGAGGACATGCAGGAGGCTGTGGTGCAGAGAAAAGTGCGGCCGCACATACAGAAGCATTGGAGGCACCACGCGGTAAGGATCTTGGCGCTAAGCCATATTTGGAGTAATAATAATAAAGCATTTGTTACATATACCATTTAGAGAGCAATACATGTACAGTGATTTAATTTACGTAGTCTATGTGCCATAACATTACTTATAATTTAAAATGATTCCATTTATTTACAGGGCTTAGCTTCAATGTGCGACACGATGGAAGAATGCTGGGACCACGACGCTGAAGCGAGACTTTCAGCGTCTTGCGTCATGGAAAGAGTCATGTTGCAGTCCAAGTACCAACAATCCGCTTTGGGCGGCTGGAGGATAGAAAACGAAACGCCTAACGCGCCCCCCAAAGACTACAGTATCAGCATGTAGAATTAAGGTAATATATTTTTCACGATAATAAATTGTCTCGCATTTCTACTAATATGACTTCTTACCCGTTGCGTTTTGAACCTACCAGTTGAACTTTTCAGGCTTATGCTCTCTATTCCAACATAGTCTTGCACTATACTTTGAGAATTGTCCTTGATTATAATTATAGTTAAAGGTGTGTTTAAAATTCCATGGTTTTTGGCCAAATGAAGCCACTTACAGGGTGAGTTTCTAGTGCGGGCTTGGACGATAATTTCATTATTTTGCGTGGTTACTAAAAAAGTTAAATACGAAAAATGTAGTCAACAGTATGCTCCTTACTTTGGAAATATTTTTATTTCTATGAGGTGATTCATATCTACGTGATGGCCAAAACATACATTTTTGAATAGAAAGACTTTTTATATACTTTATATACTTATTTTATTTTATATACTTTATGACCTTAAAATCAAGGTGACACAACCTTGAACGTTAAAGTCAAAATTTCCCAAGGAAACCTCTTATTTTTATACTGGAAATGGAAAATGCAGAAAATTTCACGTTTGAATGCGATCTTGACCTTAAAGTCAAGGTTGTGTCAAGCTTGAACGTTATTTGACGCTATTTGTCAAGTCAAAATTTCCTAAGGAAACCTCTTATTTTTATACTGGAAATGGAAAATGCAGAAAATTTCACGTTTGAATGTGATCTTGACCTTAAAGTCAAGGTTGTGCTAAGCTTGAACGTTATTTGAGGTCAAGTCAAAATTTCCTAAGAAAACCTCTTATTTTTATACTGGGACTGGAAAATGCAGAAAATTTCACGTCCGAATGCGACCTTGACCTTAAAGTCAAGATTGTGACAATCTTGAACGTTATTCGATGTCAAGTCAAAATTTCCTAAGAAAAGCTCTTATTTTTATACTTTGAATGGAAAATGCAGAAAATTTCACGTCCGAATGCGACCTTGACCCTAAAGTCAAGATTGTGTCAAGCTTGAACGTTATTTGAGGTCAAGTCAAAATTTCCTAAGGAAACATCATATTTTTATACTGGAAATAGAATATGCAGAAAATTTCACGTTTGAATGCGATCTTGTCCTTAAAGTCAAGGTTGTGTCAAGCTTGAACGTTATTTGACGCTATTTGTAAAGTCAAAATTTCCTAAGGAAACCTCTTATTTTTATACTAGAAATGGAAAATGCAGAAAATTTCACGTCCGAATGCGACCTTGACCTTAAAGTCAAGGTTGTGCCAAGCTTGAACGTTATTTGAGGTCAAGTCAAAATTTCCTAAGAAAACCTCTTATTTTTATACTGGGAATGGAAAATGCAGAAAATTTCACGTCCGAATGCGACCTTGACCTTAAAGTCAAGATTGTGACAAGCTTGAACGTTATTCGAGGACACGTCAAAATTTTCTAAGGAAACCTCTCATTTTTATACTGGAAATGGAAATTGCAGAAAATTTCTCGTCCGAATGCGACCTTGACCTTAAAGTCAAGGTTGTGCCAAGCTTGAACGTTATTTGAGGTCAAGTCAAAATTTCCTAAGAAAACCTCTTATTTTTATACTGGGAATGGAAAATGCAGAAAATTTCACGTCCGAATGCGACCTTGACCTTAAAGTCAAGATTGTGACAAGCTTGAACGTTATTCGAGGACACGTCAAAATTTGCTAAGGAAACCTCTCATTTTTTTACTGGAAATGGAAATTGCAGAAAATTTCACGTCCGAATGCGACCTTGACCTTAAAGTCAAGGTTGTGACAAGCTTGAACGTTATTTGAGGTCAAGTCAAAATTTCCTAAGAAAAGCTCTTATTTTTATACTGGGAATGGAAAATGCAGAAAATTTCACGTCCGAATGCCAACTTGACCTTAAAGTCAGGATTGTGACAAGCTTGAACGTTATTCGAGGACACGTCAAAATTTTCTAAGGAAACCTCTCATTTTTATACTGGAAATGGAAATTGCAGAAAATTTCTCGTCCGAATGCGACCTTGACCTTAAAGTCAAGGTTGTGACAAGCTTGAACGTTATTTGAGGTCAAGTCAAAATTTCCTAAGAAAACCTCTTATTTTTATACTGGGAATGGAAAATGCAGAAAATTTCACGTCCGAATGCCAACTTGACCTTAAAGTCAAAGTTGTGCCAAGTTTGAACGTTATTTGGGGTCAAGTAAAAATTTCCTAAGGAAACCTCATATTTTTATACTGGAAATATAATATGCAGAAAATTTCACGTCCAAATGTGACCTTGACCTTTGACCTTAAGGTCAAGGTTGTGTCGATCATCAACTTTATTTGGAGTCATAGTCGCATCCATTCAGAAATTTTCGTTTGAGGAATAGAGAGGTTTCTCTCTGTAATTTTGACTTAACCTTGAAGGTCAAGGTCATGCTAGATGACACATTTGGGTGACCACACAGCTGTGCTGCCGAACATTTTTGCTGGAGAAAATTGTTTCTTATATCTTGATTTGACCTTGATGTGACCTTAAAGGCAATGGTCATTGTCATGTCAGGTGACGTTCTGGCGTGAACTTTACTACTCGTTTCAATTCCGGTGTGAAAAGAGGGCGTTCCATTTCAAAATATTCACTTGACATTGAATGTCGTAGTCAAGGTCATTGTCAAAGTCGCTATCAGTTTTCGCAGTATTTAGGTGGACAGATTCAATTGGGACACCGTGTATACGTGGCTTCATTTAGTCAGAAAGACAGTTTTATCAACATGAAAACCACGGGATTTGTGTTTATATTTTTCGTGTTTCTAGGCGGTCTAATATCTTTGTGATGTCATTTCGTTCTTTTTTTCAGCAGACAGAAGCTAGGAGGGTATTGTACCTGCAATTGCATAGAAAGGAGTACCTGTAAAACGAAGCAGCTCGTTGCCACACTAGATTTTCATATCGAAAAATAGTTTTATATTCCAAATCATGTCAAACATTTGGTCAGCTGAAACGTGATTGATTCTAGAGCGTTTCACGTTATTTGATGGCAATGAACGAAGATGTATTTTATTTAGGCGACATAAATTTGGAATTAAAACTATATCAACATTTTTCATAAGTAATGCCAAAAAGGTTCGATTCGTGAACCTCACCATTCCATGTGCCAACAATAGTTAAATAGAGGGAATCTCTCTGTTTTTAACCAGACTGACCATAATCGTTTTTATGTGTGGTGACTAACCAATATAAGAAATAAACTACGAATGTGTATCTTTGCTTTCAGAAGAAAAAACAACAGGCAGGAGTGCGATCGTTAAAAGGCTGACACAGGTTGACTCTTGACTCAGCTCTTTGCTAATTCAGAACGCGAAAACCCAAAAGAATTACGGTAGATAAATCTCGAATTCTTCCTGAATTCCTCTGGGCTTTGAATATTAGGAGGGGGCACAGACCTCATGGTGAATCTAGCTCAAACTTCGGAATTTAGCTCTTCGGAGCATCCCGATCAAAAGTTTTCATGGGCTCTTAACAATCCTATGACCTTCAATGTTATGGTCCGTTTCATCAATACACTAATGCAAACTGTCAAATATGCAGGTTGTCAAACTGCGGTGTTTCTTAGATAAAAAACCCAACAGGCAATAACTAATAAACCCATAAGTAAGTCATTTTAATCTTCCTCTTTTAAAAGGGCCTATCCGAATGTGTAATAAAACGTACAAACTTGCAATTAAAAAAAATTAAGGTCGAGCAAAATTGGAACACGCTGTATAATTGTGAGTATTTGAGAAATGTGTCCTTGGGTACCATGTATAATAACCATCTTGGTCTTTGACGAGTTTTTGTTTAGGAGAAATACTCCGTTCTCGCATGCTTGAGACACTGTATATCATGGAAACGCTTTAAGAGCCCATGAGAACTTTTGATCAAGGTGTTCTGGAGAGGTTTTCCCCAAAGTTTGAGCAAGGAGGACGCTGGAATTGATACGGCTTTTCTGACACGACTTGTTTGCTATTTTTTTCTGAGGGCATAGACACGTGCTATTAAACAAATTTTCTGTGACGCGACGGACGTTTTTACCGTATTTTGCGTCGCGTCTAACATTTTGAGTATTTCTTTTTGTACGGTGTTGTAGAAAAATATACAGATGTCTTAGGGTTAGTACAATGATGCGGATGGAAGTATGATATGTCTGGGAAACGGTTCACATTTTTTCGGAATATTTAAAATTTCAGATGAACGCTCTTGATTGACAAAATTCGTCTACGCATGCGTTTTTTTAGAAGTTACATATCAATTCTACATGAATTCGTGAAATTTGAATTGTATATATTTTTTATATTAACGATAAACGTCTCTTTAATATAATATTTGTTGTACGGGAACATTGTGCTAAAAAGTTAAGGAAAATAAATCGACTACTGGTATATTCAGTATTTGTTGTTTATACAGGGTGATTCAGAAAACGGTGGCGTTATTTTCGAAAACTGTGCGAGATGGCCGGTATTTTTATGAGACAAAAAATGAGGTCTTTTACATGAAAAAAAATCCGGAGTCCTTGGGAGAGTTGTGAAAAAACTTTGCTGTAATTTAAGTAGGGGTGGGGGCAGTTTTCACCCTTCTCGAACTTTTTCAGTTTTTTTTTTTGTAAAAGTCAAATATTAGGACGTTTAGCAAAACGGTGTTGACTTGACGTAGAAACAGTGATGACCAAAAATTTTCGTGGCTGAAGTTGTGACAGTAGCGTGGAAATTGGAAAATTCAATGCCCCACAGAAAGAAAATCATTTTCCACGTCACTAACTTTTTGGGAACATCTATTACATATTTTAATAATATATTAGATTCTCCGTGCACCGCCTGTTTTCTTGTTATAATAATAGTAATAATAGACGTCTTCGTTTTATATACAATAACATAGTAATGCAGCTGAATCACCCTGTATATTAGATGTGCTATTAAAAGATTATACTTCTGTGCACACACAACACGACGTCTCGAAAAACCTGTTTTTGTGTACGGCCACTTTTTTAGAAGAAATTCAGATGAACGCTACAGCCCACAAAAAATAATAAACATACGTACAAGTCGGATTGTTTTCCTTCATAAAATTATTTGTATAACTGTTACATTTAGATCAGAGGAGAAGCATATTATGTTTGTAGGGAAAATCAGGATGGTATATTTTTAATGAATACGATATTTTGCAGAAAATATTGAAAGAGACGTAACGTAATGTTGAAAGGAAATATGAGAATATTTTTTTAATTGTTGAGACAGAACCTACGATACCTGAACTTGGATTTTTCAGTTTTTAAAGTTATAGGATTGGTCGAAATTATATAGAAAAGAAATATTCAAAGCATGAATATTTTCTATGAAAAAAAATATCTTATTATGGTACTGTATTTACTTTGTTTGGTGTCTACATACGTTTTGGAGAATATAATATACACATTTGAGTAGCTGAACAGTTCCATTGTATCGAAGTTTCAATGACCTGCAGAATTCGTAGGCTAGGATTGAAAGTTCGAAAATGTAAATTACACAAAGTTTTTACCCAGAAACTAGAGTATACTTTCCAAAAAATCTTCGGAAAAGTATACTCTGTTTTTGGATAAGAGGGTGGGCTCAATTTTGGGCTTCTGTTGTTCAATGATTCAATTATTTTTCACCTATTACTTGGTGGACGAGACAAGAATTATCTGTTGTTCGATCCAAAACTAGACCGTTTTTTTTTTTTAGTTTCAACATCACTGTCGTCTGTTCCTTTATACAATTGGACTTCAGAGAATTTTCAATACTTTCAGGTTAAAAACAAGTCTGGTGATTATAAAAATCCCAAAGTGCAATGACCGAAATCCCCTACTTCTAAATAGTGGTAACCGACTTTGACGCATTGAAGCTGTTCAGCGATCTTTTTAGGAATTTGTGAGACTGAAATTGGACATATTAACAGAAATAATCGTATTATTCATTCGAAAAAAAAAAGAATAACCTAACCTGCTTTAAGATTTAACTTTTTAGCATCTAGTTATTTTAGTTCTTCCATTTATAAGTGTAAACAAACGGTTTAGGAATCTATAGTACAGAGTATTTTATAAGAGAATTTTTACGTAAACACTATCCATTTAAACTTGATCTAAAGTTCTGCGACATCGAGAAGATTTTTCAGTTTGTTGACTTTGTACGATTTCTTTTGATCGTCATGTAATCTCGGTAACCACAGCAACGATTTAGGGTCATTTGCAGTCTCATCTATGTTGCTTCATTTTCCAAAAACCGCAGTTTGCAATTTTAAGTCTAAACGGATAGTTTTTCATGTTATTTCTATGAAGGCAGCTGATTTTTTCGTAGTTCTACACACACTGATCTTTGGGTTGCTCACATACGTATACGGGGTGATAAAATGTAAACATAGTAAAAATATAAGTGTTACACTAAGAAAAATGTTATTGAATATAGGGTGTAAAATTCATCCTCTTTATAGTGAGTGCGGTAGACCTGGACCACTGAATAAAAGAAAATATCTATAAACAAATAATTATGAATTTATCTTAAATACGTCTAACGGCTGACCTATATTCAACTTTTTGGAGTTGGAGTTTCGAAATGGCCGGGAGAAACTTACAGGTAGTTTGTCCTAGGGCATATTCCGTAAAAAAATCATTTTTTGTAGTACACACGCTGCACAAGAAATACTATTTAATGGTGACCTTGGCCATGACTCTCAAGGTCAACTTAAACTTTTACGACCTTCATCCTTTACACCTGTCGTTCCATTTTTGAGTTCCAAAGTGAGTGAAGGTCGTTTTCAAGGTCATTGTCAAGGTCACCCCCAAACGTAAGATTTTCTGATCTTTCACTCTGCGATCTCATGTTATACGATTTTCAAGTTAACCTATGAATGACCTTGAAGGGCATTTTCAAGGTCACTGTTAAGATCACCTCCAAACGTAATATTTTCTGATCTTTCATTCTGCGAGATCAAAAACATGAGTTCGTGTTATACGATTTTCAAGTTAGCCTGTTAATGATCTTGAAGGGCATTTTCAAGGTCGCTGTTAAGGTCACCTCCAAACGTAATATTTTCTGATCTTTCAGTCTGAGAGATCAAAAACATGAGTTCGTGTTATACGATTTTCAAGTTAACCTATTAATGAACTTGAAGGGCATTTTCAAGGTCATTACTAAACGTAAGATTTTCTGCTCCTCTTTCCGTTTGCGGGATGATCAACATACGATTCCTTGTTATAAAAGTTTTAAGGTAACGTCTCAATGACCTTGATGTCATGTTCAAGGGCACGGTCAAGGTTATTTCCAAAATTAAGGTTATCTTTTCTTTCCTTCTACAGGTTCAAAAACGTACGATTCTTTGTTATACATTTTTTTAGTCAACCTGTCGAGGTCATGTTCAGCTTTTGAAAATCCTGTACATTGAGATGAGGCTTCATCTAAGGTGAGATTTTACACATTTCTTGAATTATAATCGGAAATTGGCGTACAAAGCTTACAAATAAGACATTTTAATGCTTGAAATCATCAGATCAGATCATATTTTTGATTCTTTATTTTCCCATAAGCGAACTTCCGCTTCAAAAAATTGAAGGTAGGATTCCATGGATTGCTACACGAGTCATTTCAATATTTGTCACTCGGCTGTGGTGATCCCTAGATGAAATTTTTCGGTGCAAAATACAAGTTCTTAGGTTATATAGTTAAATAATTGAAATATAATATTTATATATAATAGCGTTTTTTTGTAAATACACATGTTTGTACAATAGAATGGTGTTGTGAACAATAGGTTAATTTTCATACAGTACAGGGTAGATATAAGCTCAAATCGTAATTTCTTCTGTATTATCACCTTGTATACATTTTTTTATTTGAGAAATGGACTCCCCTCAGGTTCAGATACAATATACTATCCACTAATTCTCTACGGGGTGAGTTAGATGTACGAAAACATAGAAGTAACAGTGATTTTGAACTTCCAAAACTTCAGTAGCATTTTTGACTTGAAAATAAAAGATCAGGCGGTTCTGCAAGAAGATCAGGTCGATCTTTAATTTTCGCACAACAAAAGGCAAATAACCCGAGTCTCTTAAAACCCTTCTACAGTTCTCTTACTATTGCTGACTCCAAAACGGATATTAGAAATTTTGATCAATTAAAAATTGCGCAACTTTTGTGTTATGGCACATCTTTATTGCCCTCGTTGAGATACATCTTGCCATTTTATTTAGTTGATGGACGTATGTATTTTCGTTTTATCATGTTTATTATAATTCTACCATTTTCTACCTCTGAATGTTCAAAAATACTTCTTAGTATTCTTTTAATTCGGTGCTTTCCACATTTAATTTTATCGCGATCTAGCGACTTTAGTTAATATGACTTACAGGAGCGCTGCTATGTACAAGGTGTACAAAAAATATTCTGATTTATTTTTTTGCATAACTATCCGGAATGGAAGCATTTTCCAAAAGATGCATGGAAATTATCAACAGGGTGTCCACGGACTGATTTTTCTCATTTTTACTCATTGTTTTGTTGGCTGCTAATTTTTGCTCCCGTTTTTTTTGCTCATTTTTCTCGTCATTTTGGGATGTTTTTCAATTCAATGAGCGTCCTGTAGGCGCTCAGGTCTATAAAGTGTATCAATGAGTCGAAAAGTCGTTATTTGGTCTATCATGGGAGCTAGAAGCCCTTCTAGCTTAAGCATGAAGCATTTTTATTCATATCAATGGCTTGACTAGAGAAAAGCTTCCAAACCGCTCATTTTTTACTCATTTTCCGTTCCAAATCACTCATTTTTCTCCTTTTTTTTTCGGGGGGTCCGCCTTGTTGACACTCTGAGGTTCGTGCATTTTTTTCTTTCTAATACTTTTCAAAGTTAGAGCGCCTTTTTGAAGAACAGGAAACACCATGAAAATCAAGGCCATAAAGGCGTCCTACAATCTTCGGAACGACTGACGATACGCCCTTTGAGCGAATATGGCAATATTTACAGTTATATTTTTTGCATCTTGTGAATAGTTTGAGCTCCTTGAGGTTTAGATATGGGTTTGAAACAGATTGCTTATTTCATGTCTGTTTTGAAAACGTATCTGCCGCCCACTTTTCAGTATGCATAGATTTTTAGATTATATGCTGTTTCGTCCTTGTTAGGGCTAGTCAGCATGATCCTGAGACAGAGGATATTCTGAAGTTCTTGAAAATCAATGTATGCTGAATGGGGCGTGTGTTAGAATTTTGTAAATAATATACTGATCTATTTTAACAACATATCACTAACATGTCATTTGTTTCGTTTTATATTTCATTTGTACACACCTATAATGGTTTGTAATAAAGTAAAATTTGTTAAGAAAACTTGTATTTCTTCAGAAAAACATTCCCCCTCCCTATGTCCAAAATTATGGTAGGATCATAAACGTCAAGATGTTTTTCTGGTCGCATCAGTACGTGACGAAATACTGGCGTAAAAAACGAAAAAATGTGTGCCGTACTATAAAAAAATTGTTTTTTATTTTTAAACTTCAACACCCCGTATCTTTGTAATGTTCATTTTTGGTCACGACTTGTGGATCACCCTGTATATTTTTCCATGCTCCTTTATCACGTGTTGACGTCTTTGAACGAAACTGTTGATCACATACTTCCACTGACTGTCAAATTTGACAATAATATACAGAGAAATCCGAATATCACTGTCGTCGTCATGTGAACGAGAGAGAAGCGTCCGCGGCCTTGTCCTTCGGGTTGCTAGGCAACGTGGTGTCTCTATTTGTTTCCAACAGGCATTTTGCATGATTCTCTCTGGTACACATTACGATGTGGATTTATCTGTATAAGCATTACAAAAAGCTACAAAAACATATGGCCACAGAAGACCATCTCTTCTTATTAAAATTTTGTCTTCAGATCGGTCAGTTAGATCACCTGACGATATGGGATGATTTGCATATCACTAAATAATCAGCTGAAACCACATCATTCTTGTCTCAAGTATTTATATATCGTTGAGAAGTAAACATTCATGGCGTATCGAGGTTTTTTGAAAAACTAAATTTTGGTCAAATCGTTTCTATTTTTATTACTAAATATCAAAAAACTGATGGAACTTTTTCATTGGCACTTTTTAGGCGCTACGTAATGGTGTTTTTAAATTTTGTGCCCGGAGAGACCATCAAGTTTATTTTTTATATGGTCCGAAAAAAAAGTACGTCCATCTGATAGCATATTTTTCTACGAATTCAACGATGTTACATTGGTTTTCTTAGTTATGAAGAAAAATGTGTTTTTTCTATTTTTTATTTTATTTAAGTAGGCATTGCAAACAATTCACAATAGGTGTTCAAATAGGTTGCCATTATTTTTTAAATATCAATATGATCTTCAGGTTTGAAAACATCACGTAACATTTCTGGTGTAATCATACTAAAAGCTTCCTTTTACACATTCTCGTAACTGCTGCTCAGTTTCAAAAGTATGTTGACAAATTAGGTTTTTAGTGAAACGGGAAATTCGATTTTCCCAGGCTTTCCGGGCTTCCCCTATGTCTCTTAAAAATATTCTAACATGCACAATTGAAACATTTGACATTCTGATAAGTCACTGTTCAAGTGTAATTCTCAATAATAACCAATGAAAAATATGATGATTTCTTTGCTTGCCACTAACCTTATCTCCTGACAAAAGACCGTAAGTTTATAACAGTTTGTCAACCGTTTTTCCATTATTAATAATAAACTGTAATGGATATTCGAAATTTCAATCTTTCAGAACTCGAATACTATATTAAGTCCAAAAAGTACTTTAAAACTGTTCTTTGTCGATGATACAATTTTTATTATCCAACGAAGAAATCAAAATGTGGGACTCACAAACTCATTGCAATGACAGATTCATATCTTTCCACTGCAAATAATCCTAGAATGTTTGTGAATTTAAACATACATATTTTAGTAATGTTTAGAATTTCATTATTAAAACCATCCTTCGCTTCGGTCCGAACGCCCTGTATATGATATCCAAAAATACAGATTCGGTTGTGTAGTAAAATCGTCGTACATGTATAAAAAAACAGCAATTTTTCCAGCGTAAACAAGAACGACGCTAGCCAAGCGGCGGTAGGGAGAGTAGGAGAATGAGGGGAATTGAGTGGTGCTGCGGCAAGGTACTGCGCGGCTTCAGTTTTCAGTTATCGGGGTAGCGCGTCGGCGGTTGGTTGGTGCTACCAAGTCGCGTAACGACACGCGTTTTCTTTGTGCTGTTAGTGAAGTGTTGTGTCATGAGGCGACGTGTGATGGTAAGTGCGTTTTTACTTGCTTAGGGAGCTTGTAGTACTTGTGTGTATACAGGGTGTCCCAGAAATAACACGGGAGGTAGCTGGCGTGCTAGTTTTCAATGAAATGGATACTCGGTTGTCTCAACCAACTATTAATTGTAGCCCAGGAAAAAAATCATGTTAGAAGTTCGGGTTTTTTGAAAAAAACTTAGAATTGGCAATATCTCGAAAAACTAGAAAACTTTCACTGAGGTCATGTTGATTTTATCTGATTGATCTGAAACCAATCTACCTCCCGTGTCACTCATGCGTGTTATTTCTGGGACACCATGTATATTGTTTTTTGAATAAACTGTTCAATTTTTTTTTTAAATAATTTATTTAAACACAGTAATACAGTTTTAACAATAATTCTCCAATCAGTGCTTGCAAATGCTAGTTCCGAGAATAACAAAACAATAATCAATATCAATAAAATATACACTGCAATTTTGCTCATAATTTCAACAAACGATTTAAATCTTTAATTCTCTAACAAAACTTCCATGGTTACTTAAATATTTTATACAATGAGGTACATTATTGAATTTTTTTCAATGCTTCTGTGATTGGATTTTTTAAACTTGCATAAGTTCTTGTGGACACTTGATAAACATTATATTTAAAAACTACTTGACTTTTCCTATATTTCTCAAGCATTTTGATTCAAGGTCTACATTTCGGAAAAAATGTCGGATTCAAAAATATGTTTCTATTTGTTTCAGGTCCAGGGTCCAGTTGAGATGGAAAACTTAGCAGAACTAGGTGGGTTTTGTTTTCATTTGTATAGACTAAAATTTTCCTAGAGCAAAATGTAAAAATAACAATCAGCAAGAAGTGCAGTGTGCTTAAAAGAATCTGAGTGATGTATTTCACATGTTTCTAACTCCAAACCGATAATTTTTCGTTCATTTTAATAGCTTCAGTTTGAAAGGCAATTTCAAAATATTTTTTATTTGTTTCAGGTCCAGTTATAGCTGAAGGCGCAACAGAACGGTAAACTAGGTAACCGCTTTTATTTGAATATCTTATGTTTCAAATGAAACTCTAAACCATTAATAGTGATAAATAATTTTTTGGGTTATAAAGAAATTCAGACATGAAAGAAAAGGGGTTGCTGGCGACAAAACGCTTGAGTTTTTTGCCCTAGTCCTGCATGGGTATCACGTATCTTAAAAAATTGACATTTCGTCGATTTTTTTTACATTTTGTTTTAACTTAGCACAAGCTGTTGTTCACTTGTGAACTCGTTTTGTAGCTGTACGTGTTGTTTAAACGTCAGCGAACAGCAATATGACATTTTGTCGGTTTTTTGACGTTTTTTAGGGTTTTTATATAATACCAGGGCCGTTGTTCATCGTTGGCACCAAGCCCAAAATTCCAGATCTTTATTTTCAAAAATTCTGACAATATTACCCATCATTCTTTAATTCGCTGAGTGGAAATATTTTCTTGTGGCAGTATGTTCACTAAGGAATCAAGGACTTCAGTCTATTCGAAGGTTACTTTGTCCTTAAATCGTCTTCGAAAAACGACTTCGTTTCGATGATACAAGGCGAATAAAAATTTTGGAACACTTCAATCTTATTTTATTTGTTTTCTTGCCACGTAATTGAAATGGTTATCTCACGGAAACTTTAGTAGACTTCATTCGATATTAGGATCATTAATGTAAAAAAGAGTACATAGTAAAAATTAAGCTTTAAAAAACTCAAAAGTATTTTTTTCTTAATGGAACCACCTGTATTTATAATTTACACTGTAAAACAATAAAAATATAGCTTTCTATGACGTTGTTGCAAGATAGTGGTTTCTGAAATATTTTTCTTTAGCAAAAATGCTTCGTAAGGACAGGTTCACAAATATAGGAAAATAGAGCGATTATTTATTGTCTAACGAAAATTTTTCGTCATATTTTGATAAGCTACTGGCAGTGGCTAGACGTGCAAGGGGTGCGAAGCAGCTTTTATAAAAGGTGTCAGTATATTATAGCGAACAGTTTAATTTATATTCATTTATTTAAACAGATATTAGAAAACAAGAGTATTATACAATAAAAAAACTATGCACGAAAATAGTACGAGCGTAACTTTTTCTGACATGAATCAGATTTTATAGTCGTTCGCACGCCGAAACGCTCGCTCGAATTGTTTCCTCCCGAAGTGTGAGAGAGTACTTGTATACTCATGCTGCTTCTACTTGTTCCAGGGACTAGAGCAGTTTGCTGAAATGTAAGTGCATTTAGGGTTTTCTTATTGGTGTACGGTTTTCAGCCGAACAGAGCGAGAGATGAGAGATTGATAAACCTACTGGTTGTATAAGGTTCAACTCCCTTATACACCCAGTGTGTTAGTGTGAATTGAGACATTTTGCGAAAGAGGTTGACTAGCCCCTTTATCCTCGGTAGGCTGTCGATTATGTCTTGAATTTATCGGGGCATTGCACATAGCTTCGAAAAAATTTAGGTCCATGATCGACAGGATAGAATTGGAAGGGGCATCTTCAATGTTCCTTCGGTTTCTACACTACCTTAGGATAGCTGGACACGACAAGCGATGAAAGGGCGGAGGGCTTTTTTGGTCTGTAGAACCATCGTCTTTTTCGGGGTTGGAAGAAGACTTTGGGGAGCCGGATCTTGACTTGTAAGATCGATCGACTTCATCGATCTATCTCGCTTGTCGCTACTGACTAATTTTGCCCAATGCGAAGAGCGAGCATGGTTGACAAATGTGGCGGACGACTCTTCATACTGCCCTCCAGTGACAGGGTGCCCCACTTAGATAGTTAGGGATCACTAGAGAAAAGCGACAGTTCAGTTGAGAAGTTAGGAAAAATATAACGGTTGCAAATTTTAAAATTAGAGAGAATCGGAATTATCATATAATGGATAAGCTTCAACAAAAAGGTTTGCATCAGAGAACTACAATCAAGTGGTCGGGAGTAGCGAGTACCTAGGGAAATGTTAGGGAATTTGTTTGGGCACTCTGCGATGTGGGGGCACGTCAAGAGATAGAGACAACTCTTCACCTTGCCTTGCTGCGAAAAAGCAGGGCACATCGAGAGATTCAGACACATACTATATGCTCTTGCGCAGAGCATGTAGGAGCACAGGGACAACAGTAGTTTGCTGATATGTAAGTTCATTTAAGGTTTTCTTATTGGTGTAGGGTTTTCAGCCGAACAGAGCGAGAGATGAGAGATTGGTAACCTACTGGCAGTATAAGGTTCAACTCCCTTATACAACCAGTTTGTTAGTGTGAACTGAGACATTTTCCGAAAGAGGTTGACTAGCCCCTTTATCCTCGGTAGGCTGTCGATTATGTCTTGAATTTATAGGGGCATTGCACATAGCTTCGAAAAAATTTAGGTCCATGATCGACAGGATAGAATTGGAAGGGGCATCTTCAATGTTCCTTCGGTTTCTACACTACCTTAGGATAGCTGGACACAACAAGCGATGAAAGGGCGGAGGGCTTTTTTGGTCTGTAGAACCATCGTCTTTTTCGGGGTTGGAAGAAGACTTTGGGGAGCCGGATCTTGACTTGTAAGATCGATCGACTTCATCGATCTATCTCGCTTGTCGCTACTGACTAATTTTGCCCAATGCGAAGAGCGAGCATGGTTGACAAATGTGGCGGACGACTCTTCATACTGCCCTCCCCGGACAGGGTGCCCCACTTAGATAGTTAGGGATCACTATGAAAAAGCGTCAGTTCAGTTGAGAAGTTAGGAAAAATATAACGGTTGCAAATTTTAAAATTAGAGAGAATCGGAATTGTCATATAATACATAAGCTTCAACAAAAAGGTTTGCATCAGAGAACTACAATCAAGTGGTCGGGAGTAGCGAGTAGCTAGGGAAATGTTAGGGAATTTTGTTTGGGCACTCTGCGATGTGGGGGCACGTCAAGAGATAGAGACAACTCTTCACCTTGCCTTGCTGCGAAAAAGCAGGGCACATCGAGAGATTCAGACACTTATTATGCTCTTGCGCAGAGCATGCAGGAGCACAGGGACAACAATATTTTGCTGAAATGTAAGTTCATTTAGGGTTTTCTTATTCGTGTAGGGTTTTCAGCCGAACAGAGCGAGAGATGAGAGATTGGTAAACCTACTGGCTGTATAAGGTTCAACTCCCTTATACAACCAGTTTGTTAGTGTGAATTGAGACATTTTGCGAAAGAGGTTGACTAGCCCCTTTATCCTCGGTAGGCTGTCGATTATGTCTTGAATTTATCGGGGCATTGCACATAGCTTCGAAAAAATTTAGGTCCATGATCGACAGGATAGAATTGGAAGGGGCATCTTCAATGTTCCTTCGGTTTCTACACTACCTTAGGATAGCTGGACACAACAAGCGATGAAAGGGCGGAGGGCTTTTTTGGTCTGTAGAACCATCGTCTTTTTCGGGGTTGGAAGAAGACTTTGGGGAGCCGGATCTTGACTTGTAAGATCGATCGACTTCATCGATCTATCTCGCTTGTCGCTACTGACTAATTTTGCCCAATGCGAAGAGCGAGCATGGTTGACAAATGTGGCGGACGACTCATCATACTGCCCTCCCCGGACAGGGTGCCCCATTTAGATAGTTAGGGATCACTAGGAAAAAGCGTCAGTTCAGTTGAGAAGTTAGGAAAAATATAACTGTTGCAAATTTTAAAAGTAGAGAGAATCGGAATTGTCATATAATACATAAGCTTCAACAAAAAGGTTTGCATCAGAGAACTCCAATCAAGTGGTCGGGAGTAGCGAGTAGCTAGGGAAATGTTAGGGAATCTTGTTTGGGCACTCTGCGATGTGGGGGCACGTCAAGAGAAGGAGACAAATCTTCACCTTGCCTTGCTGCGAAAAAGCAGGGCACATCGAGAGATTCAGACACATAGTATATGCTCTTGCGCAGAGCATGTAGGAGCACAGGAACAACAGTAGTTTGCTGAAATGTAAGTGCATTTAGGGTTTTCTTATTGGTGTAGAGTTTTCAGCCGAACAGAGCGAGAGATGAGAGATTGATAAACCTACTGGCTCTATAAGGTTCAACTCCCTTATACAACCAGTTTGTTAGTGTGAATTGAGACATTTTGCGAAAGAGGTTGACTAGCCCCTTTATCCTCGGTAGGCTGTCGATTATGTCTTGAATTTATCGGGGCATTGCACATAGCTTCGAAAAAATTTAGGTCCATGATCGACAGGATAGAATTGGAAGGGGCATCTTCAATGTTCCTTCGGTTTCTACACTACCTTAGGATAGCTGGACACAACAAGCGATGAAAGGGCGGAGGGCTTTTTTGGTCTGTAGAACCATCGTCTTTTTCGGGGTTGGAAGAAGACTTTGGGGAGCCGGATCTTGACTTGTAAGATCGATCGACTTCATCGATCTATCTCGCTTGTCGCTACTGACTAATTTTGCCCAATGCGAAGAGCGAGCATGGTTGACAAATGTGGCGGACGACTCATCATACTGCCCCCCAGCGACAGGGTGCCCCACTTAGATAGTTAGGGATCACTAGGAAAAAGCGTCAGTTCAGTTGAGAAGTTAGGAAAAATATAACGGTTGCAAATTTTAAAATTAGAGAGAATCGGAATTGTCATATAATACATAAGCTTCAACAAAAAGGTTTGCATCATAGAACTCCAATCAAGCGGTCGAGAGTAGCGAGTAGCTAGGGAAAATGTTACGGAATCTTGTATGGGCACTCTGCGATGTGGGGGCACGTCAAGAGATACAGACAAGTCATCATCATACCCTTGCAGAGAGGGAAAGTTATGGAAAGACTTTCCCTTAGGTCCAAGGCCGAGCTGTTAAACAAGGATTCAGAATTTAAAAGGATACTGCTAAGTATCAATATCAATCTCATAGGACTGTTGGCTATGATTATTTATGCTTTGAAATTGTAGCGCGTGCCTTTCTTAGTCTTTTGATCTTTTAGGTGAGAGTGAGGACATTCCGTATTCCAGGAATGGTGATGAACTATGCTAAATACTGATGATAATGACATATTATAATTTTAAATTACATTTGGTATTTACTATTTCTATTAGGTACATACTTTACGAACATCTATTTTTAGCTAGCTGTGATTGCACATTTCTTAGTTTTACATGTTTTATAGAACTGCTCTAGGAAAACGTTCAGACTTCCTTTCAGAATCATAGCTCAAATATTTTTATCCAGCTTTGGAAAGAGGACACTACCAATTTCAGAAATGGCACAAGTTATAGGCACTCCCGAGCGTGATATAATGAATATTGATGATAATGATTTGAATACGCAGCTGTTTCAAAAAATGGATAGCAGGATGAATATTGATGGATAAAGATAGAGGTTGAATATGAACAATAGAAAAATGCTAAGGATGATCAAAGTCATTTATAGTATGCTACATTACATGAAAATCACAATCAAACAAACATCAACATTTTTACAGGGTAAGCATCGGAGAGTATGGCATCAAGAAGGTTGGTTTTGAATTTGACTGAAGTATAAATAGGATCTTGGAATCGTTCCCAAGAGATATATCTTCAAAACTTACCTTAAGAAGACTTAAAGATTTCCACTCAAACTATACTCGTATTTTATTATCCATGAAATAAAGAGTCAACCTACTTGATGTTTCAAAATAAGCAGAGGTATTATTTAAATGGGAGTACTGATGTGAATTCCTTTTGTAGATAAACGTGTGGATAATAATAGTATGGTCTACTGTCAATATATTGATGAAGCTTCACGAAATATTTACAGCCAGGTTCCAAACAAAAGCTTCTAAAAACGATTTTCATACAGCTTTTGACGAAATTCAGCGACATATCTGGAAAGCTAACATTCTGAGGCCAAAAGTTATACTACTTCGCGCTCTTGAAGATGATTACAGGCTGATACATGCAGAATGAACATCAAATCGTCCAATGTTCCAGGGATGTGAAAAGTTCAGGTTTCGTGTGTTCGTAAATGCTAATTAACTAGATAAGAAGGTAGTAGTAGTAGTAGTAGTATTAGTAGTAGTAGTAGTAGTAGTAGTAGTATTAGTAGTAGTAGTAGCAGTAGTAGTAGTAGCAGTAGTACTGGTAATACTTAGTGATAGTAGGGCTAGTAGTAGGATCATTACAGGTATAAGGCAAGATGTCCCAGCAGGCAGGCTGAGACCCCCGATGGTCTCCAAAACTATATTTATTACGTTTTTTAATTATATTTGGTATTAATTATTTATATTTTACTATCGCCAGCTCAACTTATCGAGAAAATATATTTACAACCACAATGGGTTACCACAATTCTTATTTCGTATTTCATAAGTATGTTGAATATGATTATTAGGTCTTAAAATCGTAGGGAAAGTGTTTTTCTTGGTTTGTTTCAGCTTTTAGGCGAGGGTGAGGCCATTCCGTATTCCAGGAATGGTGATGAACTGTGATAAATATTATGATAGTGATATATTTATTATAATTTCAATTTTGAATTACATTCTGTATTTGCTATTTCTGTTGGGTACATATTTTACGAACATATCTATTTTTAGCTAAGATGTGAATGCACTTTCCTCGTTTTTACGTATTTTACAGAACTGCTGTCCGGAAACTTTTAGGTTTTCTTTCAAAATCACTGTCCAAATATTTTTATCAAGCTTTTGAGGGAGGAGACTCCCAATTTCAGGATTGGCCCAAGTTATAGACCTCCCAAGAGTGATAAACGTGATATAACAGATAGCTGTTCCAAAAGAATGTTCTACCTGGATAGCTGGATTAATGTTTATGGATAAAGGTTGAACAGGAACAATAGAAACATGTTAAGAATGATTGAAAGTCCCGACTTATAGTATGCTGCAATACAAGAAAACATCAAACATCAACATTTTTACAGGGTAAGCATTGGAGAGTATGGCATCAAGAAGGTTGGTTTGAACTTCAAGGGCCACTGAAGTATAGAAGCTACTGTTGAGGATCTTCCATTAGATATATTTTTAAAATTTACCATAAGAAGACCAAAAGCTGTCTACTAAAACTATATGCTATTACCAATGAAATGCAGAGTCAACCTACTTGATGTTTCAAAATAAGGAGAGATATTATTTAAATTGGAGTACTTATGTGATCTCTCTTTGTAGATGAATCTGTGGATGATAGTAGTATGGTCTACTATCAATATATTGATGAAGATTTACGAAATACTTATAGCCAGGTTCCAAGCAAAATCTTCTATAAGTGTTCACGATTTTCATACAACTTTTGAAGAAATTCAGGGACATAATTGGAAAACTAACACTCTGAGGCCAAAAGTTATACTTCTTCACACTCTTGAAGATGATTACGGCCTGGTACATGCAGAATGAACATCAATTAAATTGATAATTGAAATAATGAAGAGGTATGTATTTTTTACATAATCTTGAACTCATTTGTTCATGTGTCACTAACGTCTTACCCGATAAGTCAAGCTTATCAAGAAATATAAATTCTGAAACCTATTGCAAAAAGCAGCGGCGCCCTAGAAGAAAGCTTTGACCAAATTTCATTTTTCTAACAACCACAACTTCTAAGAACCAATCGCGCATCTTGCAACATGAAGACCGTTCTAGCTCAGACACTCAATTAGTTTGGTTGGCGAATATCAATTAGGTCTTTCCTTCGAGGATCTTCAACCAAATTGGGTCCCAGAAGAACTAGAAAGACATTATTGGTAAACTTATATGGGCTGATTCCTTTACATTCTTTTTGTAATTGTTATCTTTGTGTGGTATTGAGACTTCATTCCATTTTATCCTATGCTAATTTTGAGGTTGCAACATTTTAGCCGAAGATTGAATAACAATTAACCAGTGTGTTACGATAACAGTTCTGGGTTGCTTTTCGCGTTCTTTTGGGGCGGGCTTTTGGCGTCTTCGGGACTATGGACGAGGGTAAAGTATCAATGAGGGGGACTATCGACATGAAAACCACATGATAAGTTTCAGATGCTACATTAACCAAAAACTGGTGCCTCGACTTGACTTGTATTTGAATGTTTATGGTGGCTGTGTGAGAAAAATGAAAAAATGTTCATATTTTAGATTGTGATACAATTTACATTCATAAACAAAGTTTCTCTGACTCTATTACAAAACGGTTCTTACTTAAAAAATGACCCTCGTATAAACCTCGTATAAAAATGCTTCTTTTTTTTAGGTTAATAACTGTGGCATACTGGCGGATTATAGTTTGTCGATTGTACAAATGAACCCACATTTGTGAAACGACTTGGTTTCTTCACCTGATACAATTAATCTTAGCAGTGTAACATGGAGACACATCTGTGCATTTTATAAGAAAATGAAGGACCACAGCAATGGAGCACATAAACACCAAAAAGGGGAGCCCGTAGAAGTTAGATATTTAATGAAATATTGAACTGTAATAGGAATTCAAAACATCAAGTAAATACAGCCGAAAGAGGTTTTTTTGGTAGAGTTTTCCTCAGATATCGGCTTGCTTTCACTTTAACGTTAACGACTGTCCAACTCTCCCACCCGTCGAATTGGCAGGTGTTTGATAGGATAGCTCATCAAATAATATGGAAAAAATCGTTCTTGATCTGATTGTTCGTATTCTAAAATTGTCCACTTTAAATACGACACCACTGAATCTGTCTGAACTCTCGGTCCAAGACGATTTTCTTTCGTTGCTTGGGTTTCGAGGTAATAGATCTCGTAAGTTTTCTGTTCTTTAGCGCTTAAATTCTCAATTTCCTTCTGGTGGCTATTTAGATTCCTGGTGACATAATTATGACTTCATTATGGATCAATTTAGCATCTCCCAACATCTTATTAATATTTTGTTCTAATGAAACTACCTCAGTCTCTCGATCTTATACAACGTATCTAATTCATATCTCTAGTTCTTCTTCCATATTCGACGAGCTAATCCTTTGAATTGAAGTTTGAATTTTTAATTAATCATAACAAAATCAGTTCAATTTCATCCTTGATAGTTACTCATTTGGCTGACAGAGTAACTCAACTAAACATCCCAGTGTTTTCTTTTCTCGAGTAATCTTTTTATGTTGAGAGTTAATAAACGGGTGATCTTCAACTCTCGATATTCAGTAGTTTCATTTCGTAGCCACGTAGTTTCACCCCATTTAACACCAACCGAGTGTCAGTCTTTTACTTGGACGGCTTTTTGCAGAAAGGAACCAACCCATTAAATATGAAAAATCTAGATTTTAGGAAAATCTATTACGAGCATATAACATATAAATTAGTGTTATATTGATTACACATATTTAAAGCCTTTAGTATGCCATTAATTAAAATCGTTCTTTCGTCTAAATTGAATTTTTTATCATTGTCAAAACTTAAAGCCTAGTTGCTCAATAAGTGTATTTCTGTGTTGGTTCCTTTCTGAAAAAAGCCGTCTACTTGAGCATCTCCAGTCTGACACTCCTGCTAATGAAGTGTATAGAACAGTGCTAAAAGTGATAAGGTCATAGCTTTTGAAGATATATTCAGATATTAAATATATATGCAATGCGAAAGGCTTTCGCGGCCATCATCCATTATTATTTGGTTGGTTTTTGGGTTTTCCACACTCTAATGTGAACATCTTCTGAAGATGCATTCGTGTTGGCGAAACGTCAAGTAAAAATGTTTTACGACCGCCTAACAACTCCAAAACCAACTAAATAATATTAAATATACAGGGTGTCCCATAAGTAATGGTAAATAAATTAACATCAGATTCCTTTCAAAGAAATATTGAGATGAAGGTAAATTTTCTTAATCCAAAAATCAAAGGCAACAAAGAGATACAGGATGATAAACTTATTGCAACTTTTTTAAATTTTGACCGTTAATTTAGCATTTTTTCTTCGTTTTTAAAAAATGACCTTTTTTCAAATTATCTTGAAGAGGGTGCCACCAGCAGCATTTTCTGTTTTTTTAAACTTCGTAACTTTTTTACGCTTGATATAATTTAATTTTTTATTCAAAATATGCATTGTGCAGTCATGTTTACCTAAAAAAGATAAACTCTAAAAATTTCGCTGTGATCACCATTTTCGAGATATTTGCGTTTAAAGTTTTCAATGCACTCAAGATAAAATTTTATTTTCCTAAGTCAAGATATTTTTTAAGTAGGCGGTGCCTGACGGGATGAATATATACCAAATTTCGTTAAACACGAAAAATAAATGCTAAATTTATGGCCAAAATTCAAAAAAATTACATTAAAATTGTATCTTGGTTGCCTTTGACTTTCAGGCTAAAGAAATTCAACTTGATTTCAACATTTATTTGAAAGGAATCTGCTGTTAAATTATTTACCATTACTTATATGGGACACCCTGTATACCTAAAGTGTAAAATCAACTAAGTAATTGACCTTAGTGCACGCCGATCTTAAGAAGCCTTCTCATCGTAAGATAGTAAAGCGGTAAGTATCTTACATCTTTTTCTTCGTCTCATTAATGGTTTCCGTTACTCATCCCCAAACGCATCAAACTCTCAATAACATAAACTTTGAGTTATTGTCGGAATGTCCGCTCGAATTCCGGTCTATCCCATATTTATCACATCTACGTAGGTAACATAACAATTTGAGATGAAAGACAAAGTTTGAACGATTGAAGATAGGTATAAATTTTATCAAACAAAAGTTACTAAAAACTTCATCGAAAATCTAAAAATTAACAATATGGGGATTTCCATTTAAAAATCTAAAGCGTGAAGCAATATCTTATTTTTGGATCACCCTGTATTGTACGACTACAGATGAAAATCAAAATTGACATGTCCGAGCGTTTTTCCCAAAATATACCAGGAGAGTCACAAAGCCGACTTTTCGTTGGGCCACCTTGTATAAAAGTACACGACACCCTGAAAACGCGGCAAACAAGTATTTTTTGAACGAATGTTTTAAGAAAACTTTAAGGATATCTAAAGTCGATGACGAGGACAATTGGGGAATTTCTTCCCAACGTGTCAAGTTTTGTCGTAATCCTGCTCTATGTTCTACCGGAAGTTTGGCATCATAGGTGCGCTAAAACTAAAAAGTGGGTGCCCAAGAAGCACCAGAAGTGGAACCTGGAAGCAGGTGGTTGCCGAAATTCGCTATATTTTGAAGTATTCTGTCAGATGAATCGATGTTTTTGTTATATTTTGGTTTAAATTTGTCGCCGATACGGTTTATTTTAGGTTGCCCGTCCGTAGATCGACTATTTGGCAACGCTGATACTCGCGACAGCTGTTGACAGTTTGACAGATAATATTGAGGTTAGTTTTTATATTTGGTCCAAAAAGTAACGTAGGAATTTTCATATGAATTTAAAACGTTATATAAGAAATTACCACAAAAGACACATGTAATGTATTTCTAATGGCATGTATCAACCACGAAATTCCACTTGTAGTCCAACAAACAGCACAAGAATCTATTTTTAAAAGTTAAACAGTTCAAATAACAGATGTGGGACTATTGACTAGAATTAACAGAAACATGGATAAAGAAAATACTGAAAGGAAACTATCTTGGCCAGAATTGAAGGCGGTAGTAAGTGACCTAAGAAGGCAGCTGTCTAGCCTCTCGTCCATGGTTCCCAACTCTATAACATTTCGGACTCTCCAGGACGGTAGAACTAGAATATACTTCCTAAGTACTCCGCAAAATACTTGGGAGAATACCCTACTGTGCGCCGATGTGCCAAATGGCCACCAGCCTACTAGTATGAGACTACAGTGGCAGTGCGTTATCGAATCGAATTTCCCCACTATTTCTACAGCTGATAAGTATTCTCGAGAGGAGCAGTTGATACGAGAGAGGAAACGTCTAACCACTTGGGGCATCAATTCATATGAGATACATAGTGATTCGGGGAAGATAATCTTTCCTGCAGCCAGCAGCCTTTTTCAATGCATTGATAGTGGCTACTCTGTAAGTACATTTTTCAAGAAGGAATAGTCTTTTTATATAATCATACATGAACACTTTCATCATATTCAAAAAAAGTGATTAATGGTTCATGCTTTATCTGTAATGCTTGATTTTTCGCCTTAAATGCACTTTCAGTTTCTGTGTTAAGGGGTAATCCCCTCTCCCTTATGTGGAGGCTTCACTCAGAATTATAGTATCAGATACTTGATAAAGGTTTGCAGAGTTTCAAAACAGGTGTTCCATTTGAAATTTTTGAGAAAAGGTACATTTTGCATTTTGAGATACCCTGTATACATAGAAAGAAATTTCAGAACTTTTTCTAGATCAGCTTAAAATCAATGATAACACTGGACAACAAATTTTAGTTTTTTAATTGTATCTTGTGGGAAAAGTGCACTTCTTAGTTAATTTTGGGGCGCTGAATTCAAAAATGACAATGAAATAAAAAAATTAGTTGCGGTTTAGAAAAAAAACTTTTTATTTTTAAGGATAGATTAAAAAAAGTAACAAGATTCATATACTTATAAGAATCACTATATGCGCTGTCTTTTTGCTGTTCTTTTATGGATCGTTTCTGGAGCATCTCTACCAAGAGTCCAACAGTAGTCCGCAAGCATGGAAGGATTCCACTTTCCCTGGTACCTTTTTTCCATTGTTGAAATATCCTGCTGAAAACGTTCGCCGTGCTCATCACTTACGGCTTCGCAATTGTCAGGAAAAAAGTCCAGGTGTGAGTGTAGGAAATGTATCTTAAGAGACATATTACAGCCCATCTTTTGATATGATGACAGCATATTTTTGACAAGGGTTTTATAGTTGTCAGCTTTTCTATTTCCCAAGAAATTAGTGACCACCAGATGGAAATCATTCCAAGCAGTTTTTTCAATACCTGTTAAAGTGTTTTCAAACTGTGTATCTTTCAAAATATTTCGAATCTGTGGCCCAACAAAAATACCTTCTTTAACCTTTGCCTCACTTAGTCTTGGAAATTTCCGACGGAGGTATTGAAAAGCTGACCCATCTCTATCTAATGCCTTGACAAAGTTTTTCATTAGGCCCAACTTGATATGCAGTGGTGGTAATAAAATTTTTTTCGAATCTACTAATGGCATATGCTGTACATTTTTTTGACCTGGCTCTAGGAATTGACGAACAGGCCAGTTTTGTCTGGTGTAAGTGTAAGTGCCTTTGCCCGACTGTCCTATTCACACAAAAAACAGCAAAACTTTGTGTAGCCTAGCTGCAGCCCAAGTAAAAGTGCAACAACTTTCAAATCGCCACAAATATGCCATTGGTGCTCATCGTATTTTATGCATGTCAATAGGTACTTCATATTGTCATACAATTCTTTCATGTGAACTGCATACCCTACAGGAAGAGATGGTAAAATATTTCCAATATGCAATAGCACTGCCTTTAAACTCAATGTTGAACTGTCTATAAACAATCTCCATTCTTCTGGGTTATAGTTTATATTTAAAGCCGCCAGTAAGCCGTTAATGTTACTGCAGAAAACCAAGTTATTCTCCATATTGAAAAATGGTTCTAAGTCTTTGTGGCGTTTACGAAAAACACATACTGAAACATTGTCTTCTAACAAGTTCCACTGGTGAAGACTTGATCCAAGTAACTCTGTCTTACATTTTGGAAGTTCTAAATCTATATCTTCTTCCTGACGAATCACTCGATCGCCATGGTCTGATTCGTTTTCTGATTCGCAAGTGTAGGATTCTGGGGGTTTTGGAATAGGATTTTCGTCACTGTGAGGCACAGGTCTCATCGCAGATTGTATGTTTGGGTAGTTAATAACCGATTTTTTTTTTCTTGGACATACCTGTGGCTTGTCCAACGCAAGGTACCATGCAAAAGTAACAATCATTAATATGATTTGTAGGCTCTCTCCAAACCATTGGGACAGTAAAGCGCATAGACCGTTTTTTGCCATTTAACCAGCTCCTCAGACTTGAGGCACATGTATTACAGCAGATGTGGGGTGCCCACTGTTTGTCTTGATCACCTAGTTTACAACCGAAATAAAGCTGATATGCCTTTGTTATTAGCGGAGTAATAGACCGTCTCTGAGACGCAAAAGTCACATCACCACACACGTAACAAAACTGATCTGGATTGTTTACACACTTTCGAGACATCTTGCATGAACG